CTGGGAAAGGTAGGTCATATGTATACAGGGGAAGATAGGGGGATAGATGCCAACAAAAATCCACGCAATCCATGGGTATATTTGGCATATGAAACAAAACCTCGCCTTGTCGGGGGTCTCATCCAAAATCTCACGTGGCAATGGGCCAGGGGTCACTTCTGTAGGTGCTGGCTCCAAAGCATCCAGGCAAGGTCTCCAACTGCAATGGGGCAGAAGTCCGATTTTGACTTGATTGAATTGAATGGTTTGAAGACCAAAGTCATTAACGCTCCTGAATGCAAAGTATTGCAAAGTATTGCCACAAAGTGTGTCAATAGTAGGTTGGTTGGAAAGTCCCATGCAGTTGGAAAGTCCCTGGTGCCTGGTTTGGGTTCTCGGGCAGGGCAGGCGAGGCAAAAAGTTTGCGGGCAGCACCTTCAGTATTGCATCGAGCTCCCTAGGCATCAAAAAAAAAGTAGGGCTTGGTGCACTCATTGGGCAATCACTTTTTGAAGACATCCACATCAATGTGTGTATACAATATATATATAATAATAATAATAATGATAATAATAATAATATATATATATATATGCATGCATGAAATTACATGAGTATTTAACATCCCATAAAGCAGGGTTCCTATAATGACAAAGTACGGTGAAGCAGGCAACAGCTTTCCAATCCACCCCACTTGCATGCAAGCCCAGTAACATCCTTCAGGGGACGTTTCAGGCTTGGAACCCACGGTTGAAACAGGGGGCCTGGGATGGTCGAGTAGCACAAGTTATCCTACCCCGCTGGGATACAAAAATCTGAAATTTGATTTGGTAACATGCTCATGCAAGAAAAAAAGGTATGCACGTCGAATTGGGTCGGATCTTCATTTCTTCGATGCCAGCAAGAACGGATGCCAACTCCGCTTTTTGTGCAGGGGTCATGGTCCCCCCCCCCAATTCCCAACTCAGCCAGCTGGGTGTCAATGCCTTCCATTTCTGGGCCTTCAGAAAGCCCAGCGAACACAGGTGGGGTATCGATCCAGGTGGTGAGGCATCGTCCCGAAGCCAATGGGGAAGGAATGGGGAAGGAATGGTCAGGTGCTGGGCAGTAGTTCAACCATTAAGATTTGATAGCTCCAAAATCTAAACTGTATGTTTTGGCATGGTTACAGGTCCATTACATAAGTTTCAAAACTTGTGGGTATCCAGCTGCCGTCAGAAACTGAAGGTGTAGAGCCTCCTCAAGTGCCAAGCATCCATGTAGGCCGCCCTCTTAGGGTTCTGAATGTCGTACTTCATCATGGTGTACAGAGATCGGACCTGAACAGTGGGCACACCCAGAAAATACACGAACAACTTTTAAACCCACCACTCAAACTAAGGGGGGACCCACATAATAATCCGCACATGCATTATGTTAGGCTTGATCAAGTTGACTCTTCGCCAAGTGACACGATATGACTTGTTTCACCCAAAGGGCCTCATCCCCTCAAAGAAGTCCAGCATTTGCAACAAAGCCGGGGCATTCAATTCCAAAGACTTGGTGTAAATGGGACGTTTGAGGATGGTAGCATCGTCACCCCCCCGGCATCATTGCCACCAGTGGTCTCAGCGATCCAACCGATGTCATCTGATGTCTATGGCTGGTCAGGTTCGCACTGCCACGTCCCATCGCAGGACTGAAGATCCGAAAGTAAGCGAGTCAGCGCGACAAATTGCGAAGGACCAGGGTGTTCATCAATGATCCTGAGCTGCGGGAAGCTAGGTCAGCTAGGTGCTGGGTGGTTGCATTGGATCAGAAATGATGGGAAACCTGTTTTCTTTGCGTGATAATATCTTTTGAAAAAAGGGATGCTGGAAGCGTCCAAAGAAAACATGTGTTTCATGCAATCGAGATTCGGCCGATGTTTGTGCTCGCAATGTGATCCACTGCGTCTCCTGCCGTGTCCAAATCATAATGTATACATGGGTTTCCAAGGTTTCAAGTATACATTATATAGATGTGGGATGATGTGGAACCGTCTTGTAATATTGGAAATCATGCAGAAACCATATTTTTGCAGCAACTTCCACCCAAAAATTAAATGGGCCAATGATGAAGCGTGGAGAACTCCTTGGCTGCAGGATTGGACCAAAGTCGAATGAGAGAGAGCTTCAGTTGGCCATAGCTGGGCTAGGTGGACCATGGTTGGTCATGATTTTCCCATATAAACCGTTGATGCATGTTGAATCATGTTGATATTTGAAGACTTTGTGGTAAACTAAATCATCAAAATGTATCTATTGATAATCTATCTTGAATATGTTTTCCCGGGACACCTGGTCATGCTGCGGCCTGTTTCATCACCCCATTTCACCACGAAAAACATGTGCTGCGGATGGAGCTGAAACATTGGGCCTGGTGGAGCAAGGCTGGCCCAGGGGATGGAAAACCTGGGTTTGGATGGTTGTAGGGTAAAGTGTGCGATTTCTGGTGGAAGGTAACGGTTTTTTTTGGAAAACATCAAAGTGGCAATGGCCAAATGGTCAACTGTACAAAGTTCACTATTAAAAGAAGCTACTTTGGCGGTCTAGGCAAGCTTTAGCCACTGAAGAATTCTTCAGGGCCTCCTGGGCAAACCATGGAAAAACATAGAAACCAGTCCAAAGTCCTCGAAATATCTCATACTGATATGTGACTCGCATGTTTTCAGGCCTTTGTCACGCCATTTCACAAGGCCATTATCCAAGAAAGATGTGTATATTTCATGGCATTTCGAGGTTCTTCTGATGAATTAAAGACGATGACATACTATCACTTCTATGTGATGCAATATGAAGGATGCTTCAGATGTGCATGCAGGTGATGGTACGTTCCTGGTCCATGCAACCAAAACACGCTAAGACAATTTTCAACATTGTGGGTACAGTACCGGGTATACTAGTGTACATCTATATATATATAATATAATATACGAATATGTGCGTGTGTGCATATATATATATATATATCTGTGTGTGTACACTAGGTCCTGACAGGAATGATCGTCGTAGCCCAGAGGCCCCGGCGCACTGACACAACTGGCTCCAGAGAAAAACTGCGGGCAAACATACATGAAGCAACGGCGCTGTGCATGGAGCAGTTGTCCAGTCCAATTTGCCACAAAAATGTGTAAAAACTGTGCGTCACAGAACCAGGAAAATAAGGTTGCCCTTTCCATCGCACCGCTTTTGATGAGACAAAAGCACACTGGAACTTGTACTATTGGTTCATGCATGTCCAGAGAGATGTGGATGAAATCAACCAAGAGGACTACCACACCCAAAAGCTCCCAAATTGCTACAGAAAAACCTTGAAGCTGTCAAGCTCTGAGCTCAAAGCTAACTTCAAAATAGACCATCAGAAATGATCAAACATCATCAGAAATCAGATGAAACAGCTTCAATGCACCAGAAATCATCCAACTCACAAGTTGCACCCAGAACCATCACCTGGTCGGTGCGCTGGGCGAGGTCGCCCAGGTCGCCCAGGATCCCCAATGGCGTCTCCGCCTGGGATGGTAGGGGGATCCCAGTTGTTGAATGCATCTGGTGGGTGATTTCATGATTGTTCCAATTTTGATCCCAAGAACTCAGGGTTTGTGGCTGTGAATCTCAGGATTTCCTTGGCACCAAGTGCTAATCCTTTCAAGCAATCGGCCGTTGTCCGAACTTCGGAAGAGATACCGGTAGATACCGCCCCTATGTGCATTGCGGAGGCCTTATCAAAGAGCCTTGATTGGACAGAGAAGATTATATTTTGCAGAACAACATGATCATGACACTTAGGCAGGACTTAGTTGTGTTGGTACTTGTAAGTACTTGAGTGTGCAGCCGTTGTTATTAATGAGTATAACTATGGAAATAACCTCCATAAGTTGGGCCTAGTACAAGTATAGTATAATCCATTGCGGCCGCTTTCCTTTTAGTGGAACTGCCCCAAGTATGGCTAGTTGATGGTGTTGATGTTAGTTTCCCCTGGTACAAAGTTGACCAGTTATGAGTCCTGTTACAAGTCTGCTGAAAAACTGCTTGGCTGTTACAAGTCTCCTGGGCATGTCAGTTTTTCAGCTTGATCCAAAGACCTTTCATAATTTGTGGCACATATTTGCCCATATATTTGTTCCTTTGAGTTTTCATACATATATATATATATATTTTTTATATATATATACATAAGTGTATTCATGTTCTGTATATATATATATATAGTCCCATCGATTTCCATACAGTATATTATATTCCCATCTACTTTACCATTGAAAACAGGTTCATATATATATATATACATAGACATTTGGATAATGGTTAGTAAGGAAAATCATCCCCAAATCACCTTATTTCAGGTTAGTGAGCTATTATCATTTGCCCGTATATTTCCAACTGGGATAGCAGCGGATATAGCAGCAGATTCTACCTGGGTCTCAGGTGGGAGCCCAGGGTGGGTCGGCAGCTGAGGAAGGGCTTGGGTCAAGGATGGCATGGCAAAAACTTGTTTTTCTAAGATAAAAGTTGGGCATGAAAAAAAACATGTTTCCATCATCGTAACGACCCTCCAAGTGCTCATATATAAGAGGTAAAGTCCATATCCCAGGTCATAATGGGTATATTACCCAATTTTTCGGGGTACTTGGAGGGTTTTCCATCACAGCGACACAGCAAGGACGGCGAAATCCCAAGGTCCTATGGTCCAGTCAGTGACGGAGCAGCTGGAGCGCGAGCAGAACCCTATGGAGTCGCGCCCGGGGTCCAGGGCGTGAAATCTGGCGACGTTTTGGGAGAATGATCTTCAAATATCTTCAATATCATGGATTCATAGATGATTCATAGATGATTCATAGATGGATGCTTCAACAAATCTTCCCCAAGATCAAAGTCGTACATTTCTGGTTGATTTTTCTCCCATGATTTGCCCAAGGGGCACGCTATCAACAGTGATCCCCCGCATGATTGGGTGGGATTTGTCCCATGATTTTCCCAGTGGCTGCAGCTGTTTGGCTCACCATGGCTACCTTTACCCTTGCAGCCGAGCTGCGCGTGCTGCGCGTGCCACACGCGCTGCCACACGCGCAGCACCTTCCTGGGCCGTCGCAGCGGCTGGTTGGAGGCGGAAGGGAAAATCCATTGGGTGAATGGGACTTGACCTGAAAAATAGGGAGTTTTCATGGAATTCAATGGTACTCGCAAATTGGTGATAATATTTTCCCGAATTTTCCAATATTTCGCGGCTGACACCGAGCGCCGGGTATTTTTTTCCGAGCCAGAGCAAAAACCTGGTGTTGGTGAAATTGAGAGACCTCTCAGATCAGATATATACCAAGACCTTCCAAGGGGCTACGTTTTGGAACCCCTATCGAGTGTTCTTTAAGGGGCTACGTTTCGACACTCCTTAGCCGAACCAAAAAAACACAACAGGATATGGTGATAACGATGTTCATAGCACCATTTTTGGGAGACATGGTTGGAGACGAGCTGAACAACAAAAACATTGATTTTGGGGAAATCCGACACGCAAATGACACGCGACTCCCTGGTAGTGACACACTGCCGACACGCATTAAGGGGCGCCAAAACGACACCCCTTAGCCTAAAGGGGTGGCGTTTTGGCACCCCCTGCACATCCACCCGACACGCGCCATTTTTGGGGTGCAAAAAATAAAGCTCAAAAGCATTGCTTCCGTGGCCTCAGATAACAAAGATGAAATGTATATCCCAGATGACCCCAAACAGGTTGAGAAACACCTTAGAAATAAAGGGGCGCCATGGGGCGCCATTTTGACACCCCCTCCCTAAGGGGTGCCATTACGGCACCCCTTGGCATGTGCTGGTATACATATATATATATATGTATGTATAGTATTGTATAGTGATATGAACATGATAACCAACATAGGCTTTGTTAGGGAATCCTGTCAATTCACGACAGCCGCTATAGCCTTGTTAGAACATGGTCGGCTGCACCTTGAATTGACACCGTGATCCAAGAGATATCACAGGTGATGCGGTGATGTCGCTGGGTTGAATCATGTGGAATCAGTCTCCAAGCAATTAATGTAGTCTTTTGGTGTTGTACACCTGAAGAAGTCATGACCAATGATTCAATGATATATAATAAATTATAATATATATATATACCCGGTAAGTAATTTCACGTAGCCATGGAATAAAGCACCTCTAAATGGCCCGTTTTCCATAGCAAGCTCTTGCAAATTCCAGAGGCGAGAGAATCACCTTACCAATGTCAGGCTGACACGTGTGATTTGTTTGGCTGGCACTCAACAGCCCAGTCGATTGCTGTACCGTTGTATGCCATTGTGCCCAAACTTGGAGGGTCCCGAAAAATGGACTCATGTAAACTATAGTAACTATAGCCAAAAGGACTGCATCGATTTTTCAAAACATATGAAACAAGTATCAACAATTGCCAGGCAGCATCCCAAAGTTCTACTTGCTGCCAGGTGTCACCACAGTTCCCGATTCATCCAGGGGATTTGGCCGAACAGCTGGAGCAGTGTGACTTGGGCAGCTGTTGACCTTCTATCCTAGCCATGAGCAACAAAATATGAGATATATGTGGGATAATGTGGTTAAAACAATGTCATAAAACATCCCCCAGTCATCACCATTTTTATAGATGGTATGTTTACCATTCCCAGTCATGAGTGGTTTATGACATTGTTTTAAGCACATGAAACACCATTGGTGGATCCCAGTCATACGGGCATTTTTCACATCACCAACTGGACCATCCCAGTCATACGGACATGATTTTTATAGTCATCCCATAGACCCTGAGAGATGGGTATCGGTGGTCCCAGGTAGCTATATCTGGGGGCTACATCTTCAGAGCTCATCCAGAAGTGTTTTTCATTACCATGGTGCTGGAGACAACCCATGGTGCTGGAATATGAATCCCAACATTTACCCCCAAAAATGACCCAGTTATGTAGCCCAAAATATTCCAAAATATTCCAGCACGATGGGTTGCATATGTTATCTGGGCACTTTGTTCCCCATCCCACTGAGAATATGGAGGAACTGACCGTTTTTTCACTCAAAGTGTTGCAACTGCGTCGTGATCAGAAAATCAGTGTCTCCTGATTTTCTGCAAACTATGGATGACTGAAAAAACAAATATACTGTAGATGATTCTAGATGATTATCCTATATTATCCTATATGATCGTAGGTGTCTTTGATGATTATAGATATATTGTTATGGTATGTTATGCTATACTATTACATATATATATAATGTTATGTTATGTGATATTATGCTATATTATGTTATGTTATACTATATAATGTTATATTGTACTATGCTATACATCAGGTTTTGTATTACACGTGGTCTGTGGACGTTGATCCGCCCAGATTCGCCTTAGCTGTGGGCCAGAGCCTTCGCGCTTCGCGCAGAAAGTGCAGGCCGCTGGTAGCGTTGGTAGCATTGGGTGCCCCCCTGAAATGATGGTTATCACATATAATATATATATATATTATACATATATATATATTATACATAGATATATATATAATGCATCATGTGCCTGATGTTATTGTACCTTTTTTTTTAAAACAGGACAATTTTTCTGCCCACATTGTTCGGAGCAAAGCCTATTGAGGAAATAGTTGAGGCAAGTTCTCCAACCGTTCGAACGAGATATGTGGCCGCGGGTTGTGCCCATGCCAGGGACTTGTTTGAAAATAGGGCACCCAACGGGTTCTAACGGTACGGTGCGATGTTCATGAAGATTTCCTATGAATAGTGCCATAAATTTGGAATTCCCAAGTGTTGGACAAGCACATAAATCCGATTTTATCGACTAACTATATACGTGAACTTTGGATATAATGGGGAGATGTTGGATTAGAATGTGAACTACATGGGACATATGTATATATATATATATTATAAATATAAGTATGTGTATGGGGCTACCATTCTAATGTCGGACTGGGCTAGCTTTGGCGCCCTAAGAGCCCGAGGACGCCACGTGCTGTGCTGGCGGATGGCAGCAACGAAGAGGGCGAGGCAGTAGCGCCCATCACCTTTGGATTGGATGAAGTTGAAGACATCGTCCTGTCACCTGATTTCATAGTTTTTTTTTGTTGACCAACTGGATATGTTGGATTTATATCCCTATAAACATTATAAACAGTCCGTAACAGTCCCCATTGTTTTTTTGGATATGATGGGGATTGTTTATAAGTTTTATAGGGATAATCGATGAGGATGTAACCTGCTGATTCGATCGAGGACGCTGGAATGGTCTGGATTCCTGTTACCCTGTTCCTTTTTAAAAAGGGAGTATGGGGAGTGGATAGTAACACAAAAATATGATGATGATCTTGGGGGTATAAAGGGGATATAAAGGGGATATTCTATTTGATAGGTTTTTGATAGGGATTTGGTTGACCCAGAATGGATTTTTTTGAGCTGGGTAAAAATGATGACGAAACTCACCATGAGCTGGGGATAAAATGATAACACCATTGGGATCCCAGTTGATTTTCCGAAAGTCATCAAGTCATGAAGGGAATCCCCCAACGGGATGGTTTCCTCTGGAACTGAGTAGATCATGGGCCCATGGGGGATAAATGGGGATAAATCGGATCGCCGGTGCACCATTTTGGTGGAAGTTGATGTACTTTCTGACATGGGAACATCACTCAGGATTTGTCCATTGCCAATTTCGAGTGCCAGATGCTGTTTACAGTTTGAGTACGCATGGCTGCCAACATATCTAATAAAAACCTATAAAAACCTAGCAATTTATTGGAATCCTCTCACAAAATGAGGAGGATGTTTGGCCAGCCTTGCTATGGAGGATGTTTTTTTTGGTAACCCTCTGGTAAACTAACACTTCCGCAGGGGTTTTGTTTGGGCCACGATTTGGATCTCTTGGAGGCGATTGTTCCAGTTCCAACATCGGGGGGGTTTCAGTCATCAGCAGAAATCTTGAAGATTTCAGCCACTGATTTTGGACATTAAGAGCTCTTTATATATCACTTTGACTTACCCTCTGGTAATTTAACATAGCTATTGGAAAATTGCTATTTATAGTGGATTTTCCCATTAAAAATGGTGATTTTCCATTGCTATGTTAGTTTACCAGAGGGTACATTGGATTTTAAATCTGGATGCGATAAATCGGTCTATGATAAGTTCCAAACCCGGGCGTGGTCTGAGGTACCAGCAGGAGTTCTCCCCACCTTGTGTGAAGTTGAGGACGCCGGGAGAATTTCATTATTCAACGGTCCAATAAATCGATATCTGTAAATTCCCTACGTCCACCATGGTGTTTGGGGTGTTTCATACGGATGGGATTAGCTGGGTTCAATGGATGTTGGATGTTGGTGAAGGTGGTGTGAACCCAAAGCCCGTTCATCCTGCGGAGCCAGGACGATGTTCAAGTATTACAACTTGCCCTTCAGAGTCGTCAATGGTCGACATCCCACCTCAGACACTGGGCACAGAAAGGCGAAGTCGGACGAAGTCTCCCAGGTTTTGGATGTGGGGGTTCCAAAAAAGCGGTGGAACACCGTGCTGTTTGGTGAATCATGATGAATCCAAATCTGGCCAGTCAACAGCTGAGGATTACAAAAAGATCCCAGTGCTGGAGATCAACAACCGCAGCTCGCAACCAAAAAAAAACCGGCCGGTTTTGGCGCTTGGCTTGCGGCACCCAATGCTCAGAGAATTCTCTCATGATTCTGTAAAAATTATTTGCATTCAAATGATAAACATGGCAAGATGATCATCTTCCAGACTTGATTTTGGGTGTTCCACGTGAAAAAAAAGGGGTCGTCCATAAACAATTCCATAGCGGCCATTCAGGTCAAATCAACGACTCCCATGTCATCGTGAAGACGGTGGTGCCTTGGTTCACTGGAAGGCCCATGACGGAAAAGGAGATGATGTGGGAGAAGCGTATCACCTATGTACCTTGGATCAGCTGGGAGGGAGCTGTTCATCCTGAGGGTTGATATGGTCGATGGTCGTGTAGCCAATGAATTTGTAGGGACATGTTTTCCGTGCTATGCAGGTATGCTCGGAGATCCAAGGGCACAGCTTTCTGAGTCCAAAACTTACCAGGGAGTTGCAAAGGAGTCAAACCTACGGGCCCTTGGTGATTGTCATATGGTAATGATGGCCCACAAAATTAGACAGTACCTGGACTCACGGAGTCATCTAAAATTTATCAATTCTCCCATGTCTTGGCATAATTTCGAGTAATCTCCCGCAAGACATTCTCCCTTAACTCGGCCATCTACTTGTTGGGGTGGGCAATACCTGATGTATACTGTATCTTGATGAATCCACATTGATGTCCTGACATAGTATATAGTCAATCCTCCAATAAGCTAATCCCAATACTGGATGTTGATCATACTATCATGGTATACCCTCCTGTTTTACCATATAGGAAAAATCACCATTTTTCGAGGTAAATCATCTACACATGAGACATTTTGCTGGCGTAGCTGTGCCACATTCCCGGGTCCCCGGGTCCCCGGCTGAGGAATTCCAACCGGCCTTCGAAGTGGAACTCCTGGGGAACGAGCGCGACGTGGCGTGTCTGGGCGATACAAGTTGCCCCAGCAAAAAGGCAACATTTCAACAAAACTCACCAGAATTGGGACATCATAGGATATCATAGGATATCATAGGACCAAAGGTGGACAACTGAGGCTCCACCGTTCGTGTTTTTGTTGCTGTTGGCTTCATCTCCTTCCATTTCTGGTGCGGTTGAGGATGATTTGGACGCGCGCCACTAACTTCATCGGGGGCTGGCAGCGAGGCGACCGATGGCTGCCAGGGGCTTCACTCAGCAGGGTTTTGACCGCCAAGTTAGCCACTTACCCACTGGTTATGACTGACATAGCCATGGAAAATCACAATTTTTAATAGGTAAACCATCTATTTCTATGGGCTATTTTCCATGGCTATGTTAAATAACCGGAGGGTATATCTTATAATTAGGAGAAGCACGGATAAGCCGACAAAATCTCTGGATTTGACGTGGCCACCATTTTGGAAGTGTTCAATGGTTACCTGGGAAGTGTCCAGTGTGCAGAACCTGAATTTGATCTGGAAAAATCATCTTTCAGACCCATTCTGGCGGTCCAGGTTTGTTCTTTAGATTTATTGAATTAGATGATCAAGTATGATATGGCATCCCAGTTATTGGATGTTATTTGTGGAAGATGATGGATCAGATCATATCAGATGTTTGATGGTTTCATATGGTTTCTGGTTGGTGGTTTCAAACATTGTTTATTTTCCATTTCATATATGGGATGTCATCCTTCCCATTGACGAACTCCATCATTTTTCAGAGGGATAGGTATACCACCAACCAGTTATGTTTTATGGCCCACTATTAAGCACTATCAACCATTATTAACCACTATTAACCACTATTAATGGTATCATTGATGCTATCCCTTCCCTAAACCCTATCCTCACGTAGACTCGACCCTCGGCAGGGATCATCGGCATCCTTTCGCCCATCCTGAAGCTGGTGGTGGAGGCCCTCTTCAAATCGCGCTACCCCGAGATGGAGTTGCCGAGCTGCTGGGTTACCACTGAGCTGGCCACTTTTTAGAACAATTGGATAAAAAAAAAAAGGTTCATATACCCAATATGACTTGGGAGATCTTGGTACTTTTACCCATTTAAAATCATTTAGATATATATTTTAATGGGTACTTGCAGGGTCTAAGTTGATGGAAATGGGTGCCAAGCACCACAATCGACATCAGAATGTCCCTTCCTCGACTTCTGTAGCTACCCGTTGCAGTGCTGCTTCCACTCTAAGAGTGTCAAAACTTGTTCCATGCACTTCGAACGGCGTTGCTATTTCTACAGGGTCTTCTTTCCTTGGCTCTTTCAAACTTGTTTCTTTTTCCAACGCGCCTTGAAAGATTGTTCCTTCCTTCAGAAAAAGCGATAGATGGGTGGGTATTGGTCAGCTTCACATAAAAAGTTCCAAGTCCATCATTCCCAATCCCATAGGATCCATGTATGGTATATATACTAACATTGGGGGTATATTGATGGTAAATGTTACCATATATAGCATACATGGATCCTATGGGAATTAAATCAAAGCATCTTCGCGCCCGGCCCTTCAGCTGGACTCCATGGCGAAGCTGCTCAGGTTCCAACTTCGGTTTGGAGTTCCGCCGCGCCCTCGGGGACCAAGCGTTCTTCCATGGAGAACAGCCTGGCCCGGTGGATTTGAGTCTCTACGGCCGCCCGGATGCACGGCCATGTTCCCATTTAATAAGTTGAACTGCAGATTATCATCGTATGATGATGTATCATTATTATTAACATATATAATAGCTGGTAATTTCATGTAATTTCTTATGTCATACTGTCATACTATGTTTGTCATGAGTGTCATCATTGTGCCCTTTGTTTAGGATATTGTATGTATGGATGCACTGTATAGAGATGTTCTTCTTTGCGATTCTACGTCATCCAAAGGCACAGAGATCCACAGAGACACAGCAGCCATTGTGTCTCTGAGGAACTTATGCCGCTTTCAACGGATGCATCTTGTGCCGCAATTTTTCGCTGGGACGACAAATCAAGGCATTGCGTCATGACAAATCTCAACTGATCTCGATGTAACTACTGCTGTTCAACAAAAATAGAAGGCATGCTGTCAAGTGTCAGCTGGTTAGCTGGTTGAGAAACTATGACCAGCATGTTGCCATGGCCAAAAACTGCCCATAATGTCATATAATATCCACACACACACAGGCACACACACACACATTTTTATGTATATATATATATATATATCCAGGATTATATATACACACATATTATGTGTGTATATATATCCAGGATTATAGATGACCAACCGCCATGTCACGCCCAGGTAGTGCTACGGTACGCTTTCTACAAGCGAGCAAACTGGAGGTGGGGGGCCATTGCCATTGGGGCCCTGCCAGTGTAATGATGAGATCATGACATGATTTCAATGGATCTGGGTAAATTATAACGACCTCACTGCGACCTCGCTGGAATCATGGTTAGTAAGGGAAATCATCCCCAAATGGCCTTAATTCAGGTTAGTGAAATATTATAATTTGCCCAGAATGGATGAAGGCTGATGACGGCTGATGTTGAGGCCTGCAGATCGTGTTGAGCAAATCTCTTAAAAAAAACAACACAAGCTTCCGTGCCGGGCTGAAATTTTCATCCATCAAAGATGTGATGATGATCCCCAATCAAGCAGTGTTCAAAACCTCCGTTGGTTGATGACTATAGGGGATTGTACTATATTATACTAACCAAATCTAACCAATATATGGAGGATCATCGCGATCTGTTAGGGGAACCGCAAGCCAGGTTCCAACCGGAAAAAAAAACATTGCCAACGTGATCAGGTCGCCAGCATCACGATCGGAAAGATGAGAAAGTGTTATGAAAAGAAATGTGGGATCATAGTCAAACGTGGAGATACAGTACTCAGGATGCAACCATATGCGACATACAAGTCAAAAAACTATGTGCTTATCAACACCCTCAAAAGCACCTGCAAGAATCGTGAAAGTACCTTTGGGTTCAATTTTGCATATACTCGATTATTCAAACCTGGCAATTGAAATCCACCATGGATAGTTGATTTTACTCTTAAAACTTAAAACCTCTATATGGAATATTCAATTGCCATGTTTGATTACCAGAGAGTAGCCATGTTAACGCATACATTGAAGGTCCAGCTGCATTGTCTCAGACTTTAGCTTAGCCCTGCAGCCTCCAGGAGTGGCACGAGCGAATGGAGGCCCTGAACGTTGCGGACGTGGAGCACCTTGGGTCCTTAACGGGTAGTTGAAGGATGAATGTTCGATTTTTGGGGGATGATTTGCTATTGCTTTACTAGCATTAGTAGCACTAGTATGTTTGATCTTTCAGCCATAGCAACCTCGCCAGGTAGTTTTTTCAGTTGGTATTTGAGATCCAGCATGATATAGATATGATACCAAGATATAGCAAGTATAATCGGAGGTTTTATCATCAGAGGTTTATTATTTGGTTTGACTGATCCATGGTCCTAAGGTCAGTCGTTCAATTAGCTGTTTGATTGGTTTGATCCCGGCATCGAAGGCGAGTTTCGCGTTTCCAATTTGAAAACCTTGAAGGGGGGACATATGAAAATATACAGATGCCATAGATATCCATAGATCCTCTTATGCAATATGAATCTGTATATATCTGTATCACAATGTCCAGCTATCCAACAATTCCATGGATTTGGATGTGTTTTTGTTCACCGCACCTAACAACGCCTCCGGCCTAGGCAGCCAAAGGTCTATGCAATGCGGTGAGGTGGTGCCCAATGGGCCACCAGGGATCGGAAGTTTAATCCTGCAATGATGGGCTACGACTTTAAAATTGACTTATGGTAAATCATGGGTCATTAAATGTCCCCATTGAACATCACCCAACCATTAGGTATATGGTCTATAATGGCTACTATAAGGTGATGTCCAATATTCCCAAAATGGGACAGTTACCAACCCCTGGTAAACCACCCATGATTTTGTTTGGCTATGGCAACCATCCTTTTGGTGGTGCAGGATTTCGCAACCACAGTATCATGATTCTATAATTTTGCATATGGCATTTGATATGCTATGATTATTTAATTCATCCCAGTCTAACCCTGGGCAAAGTCCCGGTATCCTCGTCCAGTTGTGGGTAGTTTCAGCATGTTTCAGCTCATCTATATTTGGTATCAGGGACTCAGTTTAGGTCCCCATCATTGTCGGGAAGATGTTTTCCAACAGCTTCTCCCCTGCCAAAAGGTCAGGGGGGAGGACCTTTTCCTGCGACCGCAGCTGAAATAAATGCAGTGCCAAAGTTCATGAGCACTGGCTGCTGATTTCTAACATGTTTCACTGTCATCCCTATCATAAATCATACATATATACATATATATATATATTCAGTCATGGTTCTCAATTGACGTTGATTCTTGGGATAGGTTGAACCCCAACAGGGGAACCAAAGGAACTTGTGCCTGAAGTGTGTTGGATGGATTATATTTTCGCGCAACAGGGTCACCTGACACCTGCCATGGTCGGGATTTTGCTAAGGATGCGAGCTGCTCCACCTGCCCCACCGGCGCCGCCGCCACCAGCCTTGCCACCGGCCACCATGGACCCTGCGACCATGGCACCCGCGACCATGGCACCCGCGACCATGGCACCCCCGACCATGGCACCGGGATATGAACAACCCCAACCCATACAGTATGAGCAAACCCAGCCGCCAGAAGCCTAGCCTGTGGTGTGATGGAAAGGGACGTCCTGGTGGGGAGTGATGCAAGTGAGATCGTCCATGATCATCCGATCATCATCCTTATCCAGCACGCCCGGATTTGCAGGAGCTATATCTATGTGGACAAAATCACGGCTTGAGATGACCAAGAGCCAATTTCCATCAATTTCCCTAAATAAGAATGACCCAGCTGTATCTCGGGACGGGGGCATTGCAGCTTCTCAAAACAGACAAGTTTCCCAAAAAAGAGGTGATGACATGAAATCGCTCATTTTGTTAGTGCTTTGACCTCGAAAAATAAATGATTTGCATTCAAGTACTATGTGCTCTGAATAGACATATGTCTGAATTGATGGTTCCTTTGAATTGGTGCCCCAGTTTTGGGCCAAAGCCACTTCCTTGCCCTAAGAGGGGCATACCATAGCTGGGAACTCCAATGCTGGTCGGATGACGATTCCAGAGACACATCGCTAAGCCGCTATGCCAATCTCTCCTTGTCGGTGTTTTCTCATTCGTTCTTGACTCCTCATTCTGTGGCGGTGGCAGAAAAACAGTAATTTCTTGAACTTGCCAAAGGAACTTCAAACCAAGCGGCCATCCTTTTCGTGCGATCAGAGTCGGTTTGGTTCACCCATTCCCATACATGGGTCTACACTTGTTAGGTGCGGTCTAATTTAAGTAGTATAGACAGAAAAGCCCAACAATAGCCATCGAAATTTGCATAGTGTGTACCAACAATTTCTGGTAGAATTGGGGATGGCATATTAGTTAGTATATATCAGTGGGATTCAGTGGGTTTATCACATAATATACCTGAATCAATTCTAGTAACATACCAGAAACAACGACGAATTCGAGCAACAGCATCCTCATGAATTCCAATATTGCCACATGAATCCCTTCCCTCTATTCAATATGAACTATCCAAGACTATCCGGCGGTTAGAAGGGAGCGAAGCAGCTATGAAAAATCTATGTTTCCCTATTAAATGCGGAGCGAATTTTGAGGAGCTACCACAAGTTTCCTAACCACGTGATAGTGAAACACCCCCATTCTACTGGGGGGGATCAATACTTCAACTAAGAAGTTGTTATATAATCAGTATATAACATTATATAAGCATGTTTATAGTGAAGTATGGTTACAGTGGTTGTATCCCAACACATCCCAACTTATGGGGGTTTCAATCTGTGCCCAAGGCCTCCCGCAACGGCTGCGGCTCCAGAGCCGGCCGCCGTCGCGGCGGTTGCTCGGCGAGAATGGGAAGGGTAAATGGGGGAATACGGTGGGAACTTGCTGGATGGAACCGGCAAAATCAGGATGAAACCAAGAAATTATGGGCTGGTTGGTGGTTTGGAACATTTTTCATTTTTCCATATATAGGAATAGAATAATGATCCCAACTGACTTTCATATTTTTCAGAGGGGTTGGTCAACCACCAACCAGAAATTATGGGGGTTGAAGTGGCAAACACCCAGGCGATCAGCAAGTGGGTTACTTAAGACTTTGGAGTTTACCGAATTCTTCGGATCTTGAAGTGCAAAAACCAGGATTTAGCCATGGGCATGGACTTGACCAACAGCCCCTTCTTGGACTGGTCAGTGGGTTCGCCATTTCTCGGCCACTTTTTCCCTGAAAGAAATTGTGGCTCCAGGGGTGCCAACAGTCAACAGGGGATGTTACTCAATTGCTAGTTCGTTAGGGATGTTTTCCAGATTTTTCAACTCAACTTTGGAGTGATTCAACTTCAGCTGAGATGAGCTGGTTCATCAGTCATCCCTTCCCATGGCAGCGAGTAGGTCCCGGGAGCAGCGATGACCACACCAGCTGCAGATGTCATGACGCAGTTGCAGCAAAGTCAGAGATCACAGCCGGTGGTCACTCTTCCAAGTGGGTTCCTTTGTAAGCGTCCCCAACCATCAGTTGACCCCTAAAATGTGATGATTGTGATATATGTTAGATACCTCCAACATGGGCAAATAATAAAAAAAACAAGGACGACTGTAGTGTTTAGAAACAAACATGAGGTATTGTTCTCCTTTTTCAGGGTTGCGGTTGGTGATTGATCTTTTGGGACATGGATATTTTATCTGGGAGGCCGTTGGTGGGGATATGAAATTTATACAGCACAGTGCTGTGCACTTGTGCGAACAAGCTACAATTTCTACGTTTTTTCATCCTTGATCAGTACCAGCTGGGGCAACTGGGTTGGCCACTAAAGGGTCTGGAACATGATTGAAGTGTCGAAAAAACACCAAATGATCCCCCAGTTGCCATGGATAGGCTGCAGTACTTTAAACCTCGGAGAGGGATGATTCAAGCCGCTAGTTTCACTCTTGCCTATTGGAAAGAGTTGTTTCATGTTGTTTCTAGATTAGTTTAGTTGAGTGTAACCCTACAGTTCTAAACTATGACCTTGTGTAGGCAAAATATTGAGAAACATCGGAGTCCTACTGGTGTGGCCAAACGTTGTCATTCACGGAGCTGCAGGAAGACTTAAATAGCTTGGTATTCGAGCTCAGGTCCATGTGATTCACATGTATCCACATGTAATGTGGTTAAAACAATCATAGACCATCCCCCAGTCATCAGCATTTTTATAGGCGGTATGTCTACATGGTATGTTTACCATTCCCAGTCAGGGCTTGTTTTTCCATGGTTTTAACCACACTTTGACCCAAGGTTTGGCAGCAGCGTTACCCGCACCAGAGGCGGTTGTTTGTTTTTTCAGAAGCTTTGGATGGGCCTCCGGGTGACTCCAATTTCACGAACTGGTAAACATGGTACGCTTAAATAACGAACTAGTTACTGGGGATTATAAAATATTATAAAGCAACTAACATCACTGGGGGGCCTCACATTGTAGGTAAACCATCCTGATAGAGTTTTACTGAATAAATCGATGGCCCTCTGGTTATGACTAACATAGCCATGGTATAGATGGCATGGCCCATAGAAATAGAAGGTTTACCGTTCTTAAAAACGGTGGATTTTTCCATGGCTATGTTAAATGACCAGATGGTATTTCAAAACAACAACACAGAGGAATGAATGCTGAGGATTCAACCCATCATTTTGACGATAGAAACCCCGTGAATCTAACGTGGCAATGGTTATTCTTCCATGATCTTCTATTTATACCCACGATGGTGTTCCAAATGCCTCAGTGACATAAGGCGAAGGGGATAAGAATGGGCAAGATCAGCCCTCTGCGGTGGGACTCGAGTTTTCTGGCAAACCAGGCAGCAACCGCAGCTGGAGCAGTTGCCTTAGAGGGGAGTGAAATTCCGGGGGAAGAGGATGTAACTCACCGTTTTTCGCAGGGGAACACGTATTTCAGGGAATGAGCAAAGATTGTTTTAGGCAACACACCTGGCCCTCTAGCCCTGAGGCTGTACCAATGCAGCAGTACACCTTGGCCACGTTGATGTCGGAAGCTCATCCGGTTTGCAGGAGTCCAGAGGAATACCATCCTGGAACCAAAGATGGCAATGGAAAATTCCTCATTTTTTTGTTCGATGATTTTCCTATTCAAACCTCAAAACTTTATATATAGAGAATTTCCCAGCAATGTAAAAAATCACTGAAGGGTATTTTTTGTGGGTACGTGAGCGAGGTCACACAGGCAGTGCTGTCGGATTCAGAAACAGCCATACGGCTAGAGTCAGCTAGAGGATGGCAGTACTGGGGGAAAAAGAATGCATGCCTTTTGAGCACTTCAATCTCGCAATATCTCGCCGTGCACAAAATTCGCCATCTATACCATCCATACCATCTATATGCATTCTCTTGGGGTTTAAGTCACGGGGATACCCCCAAATTATCCAAGTCAGACCATTGCATACCATTGAGGCCGGGGATGGGTGGCCAATACGCCAGAAGCTCAACGGTGGATCTAGCTGGTGGGAGGTCCTGCGAGTGTCGTGTAGCAGTTGGCGACATGGAAAATCCATTGAACATCGCCATGTTTTTATAGGTGAAGTAATCTGGTTGGTGGTTTGGAACATTTTTCATTTTTCCATATGTTGGGAATAATCACCCCAACTGACTAATATTTTTCAGAGGCGTTGAAACCACCAACCAGTAATGCAAAAATGTGCCATTTGTCACAGCTATGTTAGTTGACTGGAGGGTGAAAGATGTCAAAAGCACCCTTCACATGGTGCAGTCAAAAAACAACCTTGGCAACGTGACAAATTGTATACAAATGAAGGTTTCCTAAAATGGGCGGACCCCCAAAGCATCCATTTTAATAGGATGTTTTATATGTATTATATTATAAACCAATATAAACAATCCATTTTTGGGGTTTAAAGAAACCCCTATAGGGGGTATAGCTCAGCAATTGGGTCCTCAAAATTAGACCGATGCCGAGGCTGTAAGTTGGCCAAGTTGGGCTTCCCTCCGGCAATCAAACACGGTGGAACATTTCCCATTTAGAATGTGTTTCCATGGTTTTTGCCATGAGTTACTATGATTTTCACATTAAATCTCTAGGATTTTCACATTATCACATGAACAAGCCTCCATTTAGTCTCCACTATTTGAAGATTTTTCCCCAATCAAACATGGCTAAAACGCTAAACATCTACCATTTTCGCCCCTTCCACACCATTGCACCAGGTGTTGGCTCCCGCCTCTGCCTATTATGGCGCAACCGCGGCGCCCGGCACCAACAACGCCGTTTGGAATGCCCAGCCTTTTTTTGTTGCCCAGATATGGGTTTGTTTGAAAATAAGATGCCCCCACATCGTTTGTTGAAGAAGAGCCAGTTTTTTTAGTTTTTTTGGGACGGTGTTGTTTTTTTATGAAGCCCAAGTTTGCAGTGTTTTATCCTCTTTTTTGGGGGGTGTGATTTCTGGTGAAAAATGTGTTACAGCCAACTTGGAGGGCTTTCTGGCACCCGCCTCAAGGCACTTCAGCAATACATCGCAGCAGCATATCCAACCTTAGATGCAACACAGCAGGCAGGGGCTCAGCGGAGTGGGTTTCCACATCAAGCCATCAAGGGTTGGAACAAAATGCTGCAGTGAAAACTGGTTTTCTTTCAGAAACACCCAAAGAGAGTCCAGATTGTTTCCACCAGTTCTCTTTCTAAAGTTTCCCCCATCTTGAGTTGTTTTCAGGACAGCTCATCATTTTCCGCATCACCCACATCACCCACCATCACCCACCATCACCCACCATCACCCACCATCACCCACCATCACCCACCATCACCCACCATCACCCACCATCACCCACCATCATCCACCATCATCCACCATCATCCACCATCATCCACCATCATCCACCATCATCCACCATCATCCACCATCATCCACCATCATCCACCATCATCCACCATCATCCACCATCATCCACCATCATCCACCATCATCCACCATCATCCACCATCATCCGCCATCATCCGCCATCATCCACCATCATCCACCATCATCCACCATCATCCACCATCATCCACCATCATCCACCATCATCCACCATCATCCACCATCATCCACCATCATCCACCATCATCCACCATCATCCACCATCATCCACCATCATCCACCATCATCCACCATCATCCACCATCATCCACCATCTTCCACCATCATCCACCATCATCCACCATCACCCGCCATCATCCACCATCATCCACCATCATCCACCATCATCCACCATCATCCACCATCTTCCACCATCATCCACCATCATCCACCATCACCCGCCATCATCCACCATCATCCACCATCATCCGCCATCATCCACCATCATCCACCATCATACACCATCATCCACCATCATCCACATATCTATATATATATATACAGTAAGATATATTATATCGATCTTTAGAATCCTTTAGAAAAAGTTGCTAGGGGGTTGGATATTTTTTCAAACAAAGGGAAAGATCCTTTTGCAGATTGCCAGGCGGCCTTGGTCCAGTACTACTCACAGCTGCAGGTCGCTTCCGCACAGGCCAGCAGTGCTCGAGTACTCGAGCAGCTCGCCCAACTTCGGCCAAGTTGAAGAGGAAAGTCACCAAAGAAACACAGAAACTGTGGTAAAACAACAAAATCATCGAAAACGAATGAAAACCAATACAAACATCTTGAAACACACTGATAAAGAGACCGAGACTGATATTATCTGTGGGAAGTGTTTTCATACTTGAGGCGGTGATTTTCGTGGGAGCGAAAAGGATGACAGACATGTCAAATATCACTGGGCTTCATTGGAAACCGGTGAAGAAGATTTCTTGTGGAAGGCTATAGGGCGGCTAGCACAGACATCGGCAGCTCACCTGCCAGGCGTCTGGTGGACTTGCAGGTGGTTTGGCAACAGTTGGGGCCCCCGGTTTTGCTTCGCTGAAGCTGTGGGAAAGACGAAGGTGTGGAAAATTTGCTTGCGTCTCAACATGGTTCAACTATAGTACTGTAGTACTGTAGTGCGTTCATGTGCGTTCTATGTTTTCTGTACACCCACCCATATGATCATGGCTGAAACATGCTGAAACCAAGCGCCCAAGATCAGAAGCATGTTGGGTGGACGGGGGGGGGTTGCCCGAACCTCAGCACCTTCTCGATGAGGTCGATCATATTAATCAATGAGTTCGTGTGTTCGTTGTGGTAGCAAAAAAAAGAAATCTTTACATCGTTGTCCTTTGATGCTTATATTCTGCCTTTATGTAAGATGTTTATCAAGTTCTTCATCAACTCAACTGTCATTGTTTTTTTCAAAAATACATGTTGAAAACAACAGGGGGGTCGCGTTTTTTTTCGTTCTCAACTGCGTTTGTTTTCAATGAGCAAAATATGTTACGTGTGCTTTGCTAGCTTAGAATGATTTTTGTCTTTGACAAAGGCCATGTAGCATCATCTGAGAAAGCAAATACAAGAGAAGAGTCGTTAGCGTAGAATCATTTGAGGCAACAAGATCAAGAGAAAAATTGTTAGCCGTTGGCATAGCATCATCTGAGACGGGAGAAAAACATGTAAGCGTAGCATCATCTGAGTCAAAGAGAAGGGTCGTTAGCGTCGCATAATGCAAGAGCAAAGTCGTTAGCGTAGCATGATTTCTGAGTGCAAGTGCAATAGAACGTTATTGCATCCCACCCCATACCATCTCACCCACCCCACTCGCACAAACAAAATGAAGTGTGGGCAACCCCCCCGTCTACCCAACATGTCGCCAGCAGCATGTTTCAAGAGTAGAGCATCTAATACAAGATATGTTATAGTGACTGCCTGGTTGGTGGTTTGGAACATGTTTTATTTTTCCATATATTGGGAATGTCATACTCCCATTTGACTTTCATTTTTTCAGAGGGGTAGGTACAAAAAACCAAGCAGCTGCTAGTAGAAAATCCACCAGTTGCAGGGATTGGTACCATGGATAGTCTAGGTACCACCCAGCCGTGACGGGATCACCAGCCCCCAACACAACCAGCCGGCGACCTCCCGAGGTGATTTCAGGTGGCTACCCCGTGGTTGCCGCTCGGTGCTTGCGCCATCACTGGGATGGCGCCACTGAGATGATCAGTGACTATAGGAGGATTCGAAATCTGATACCCTCTGGTTATGACTAACATAGCCATGGAAAATGGTCCATTTATAGATGGTCTACCGTTCTTAGAAATGTTGATTTCCCATGGCTATGTTAAATAACCAGATGGTATATTCGGATATTTTTCACCCCGCTGGTTGGGTGGTTAGCGTGATTTTTATGATGTTTATTTCACTGTCGCACATCCAAACACCCCGATGAGATATGTTGTCTTGAATACTCAGGTTCAGAGCCGGATCCCGGTAAAAATCGAACTTGGCACATGTGTTCCAGGTGTAAGCTGAACTTGTTCATGCTGTTACATGTTAGTTTGCCTTTTGCAATGCTTCAAGCAGTTTGTTTCCCGTGGCATTCGGAAACCAGCGACATGAACAGCGTTCAGGTTTATCATGCTCTTCTTCACCTCTAAGATTTGCTGCTGACATTTTCTAATTGTCCTATTAGTGTTATCTGTTATCTTATTGTATATTGCTATCTTATTGTATCTTTTTATCTTATAGTCATAGTAAATATATATATATATATAATAATAATGATAATAATAAGAAGAGGAATAACAATAATAATAATAACAGCAATGATAATAATATATATATATATACTTCTTCCGGTGGTGGTTCACACCAGGCATTTGTTACCGACTTTTTGTAAATGAAGCCACCGAGGCGACAACAGGGCCGTCCAACGCCTGGATCACCAATCGTTCACGGCCCAGTGGGTCACCGGGCTGTGAGGAGAAGCAAATGGCGCAGAGACACAGGCAACGGAACATGTTTGGATGTCATGGTGAGTATAATCTACACAGATACACAGATAAATGCATGCATGCATACTTAAATACCTACCTACCTAGCTAGCTAGCTACCTACCTACATAATACATACATACATAACATAACAGACCATTGCATTGCGTTGCGTTGCATTGCATGCATACATGATCATACATACACGCATGCATGCATACCTACAGTACATACATGCAAACATACAAATATATCATTGCATGTTCAAATGTATCTGGGATGGTGATCCTAAAGGATCAATTTCCTGGGTCCATCACATTGGTTTTGCGTCCATGTTCTTCTCGCTAGTCTTATTGATGTCAGCCCCGGATCTAATAGACCCCGTTTTTTTGGAGGAAGGTCCCGCGGACCAGTTGATCTGCAACGGTCGTATTGTTACAAAGTTTCGAAAATTACTGATGTGATGATGATTTCTTTTTAAATTTTAGTATGAACATGTTTGAACAATGTCACTCGAATTGGACTCCCTCTTCATGCGTGCTTTCTTGTTTTGAGGCCTGATTGAACGAGAAAAAGCGCGAATAGAGAAGAATTATGAGGAGGTCCGAGAGATTCCGAGTGGAATGGGATCAGATGTGGCACAGCAATTGCACGTTGTCTTGGCCAAAATGAAGTTCACTTCTCATTGGCATCCGATACTCTCCCCGTCTTTTTTGGAAGAACCTCCCACCAGCTGACTCATGCTAAAGTTTGAAGCTAACCAGTCCCACCATTTCTCATCAAGGAAATTTGACCCATCCATGATGCCCCGCTGCCGCCCTCAAAATTCAGAGATGTCCACTCAAATGCCATGTTGGTTTGAGTCCTGCAGATGCAATACATTGCAATACCCTGCTAAATCCCTTTGTTTTGCAGTGTTCTGCTGGTTTTTCACCATATTATAACCGTTGGAGAAGCCAACCAGAAAACCCCCATCTTTTTCCCCTTTTTTCCAAACGCCTCAGCCACACGGTTTCTTTCTCAAACGGCAGCCATCTTGGTTTCATGGAGCCATGAAGCCACTTGGAGCCAGGCGGATAAGTTGAGGAAACTGCTCCGGCAGAATGGAATCGAAGTGGATGATCGAGATCGAAGCTGGAGCGGTTGAGCAGTTTCTGTGACTTTTTTTCTGGGAGAAGATTGTACCCAAAGATTGGCCCAAAGATCACAAGAATCCACAATGACAAAACACATAGCATCACCTTTACTTGGTATAGTTGGTATATCTTGGTATATGTTGGTATATACAGTCATGTACAGTAAATATAGTCTTTCCAAGTTCATCCAAGTTTACCAAATATCCTGGCCGGGGCTCCTGGCCGTCAGGACTTCGCGAGATGGTCGAAGGGGCCCACGGCCCAATCACAATGACCCCATGGAGGAGGAGAATGAAGCGGCCACGTTGGTTTCGGCCATGCCCGGAATGTTGTCCGGACTGGGCGCGGTGCCAGCGAGTTAGATGAGGTGGCCGTGATTGTGACATGTTGTTTCGAAAGTACGCAAAAGTTTGTTCAGTGACGGATGGACATTGATTTTTGTGGTAGGTAGATAGGTGGATTATGGTGGATTCATAGATAGATAATTTATCGATAGGCAGGTAGATCGGTAGATGGGCAGGTAGATAGGTAGAAGACGGACTGAAACAGACAGACCGGCAGATAGATACATCGATTATCATAGATTAATAGAGATGCCCATTCGGAAGCAAGGGGGTTGTCAAATGATCAGACGGATATTGATGGGCAATTGTTTGGACAGTTGAATAACTCAGTTGATCCAACCTCAAAAGACCCTCAAACAGTACGGTTGACGGAGGCATTTACGTTTGGATCTTTTTGGGGGTTGCTATATGCTGCAATATCTGCAATAGCATGCGATAGCCGATAGCATCATTTTACATCAGTTTTGGGATTCACCCTTCATATCGGTTCATCATTGCCTTAATTTTGCAGACCCTATGCAGTTCGATTCGTTCAGCAACGTGGTGCCTCGCGCATTGGGAACCTCGCGACCTGCTGGATGCAAGTGGCGTAGGTCGGCCGCGGCCGCGCAGTCCCAGTTTCTTTGACGTGGCCGGCGTGGAAATTCTGGCGGTTCTTTGAGTGGGGCTGTTTAAGGCAACCACGAGCTCAGTGTAGGGGAATCTGTTTTTGTTGAACCAATGTTGGCTGTCATGGTTATCCAAATGTCATCCAAGTGCATGGTTTAGGCTGAGGGTTGAAGCAGACTCTACAGCAGGGCGCTTTGTTTTCTTTGTGTGTGCTACATTTGTGATATTTGTGCCTCTTGACCGTAGAAGATGTACAGTAATAATACCATGTAATACCATGTAATACCATGATACCATGTAATACCATTCAATCCCATTCAATACCATGTAATAACTATAAGACAACTGCATCTCCATCAGACATCAGAAAGTCACGTGACCATTGTGATCATTTCTTTCCCAAGCGACTGATCACAGTGGCAAGTGCCGACACATGGAGGGCGTGTGAGCACACGGCCTCGGTTGCATTGCAAAACAGGGCCAAGGCAGGAGGGCAAGATAGAGAAAGATAAGAATGATTCCACGCAGAATCACCCAGACAAATAGTTCGGGAAATCAAGTTTTCATGTTCAGTCTGAAAATCACAGCCCAGTTTCTGACAGACGCATTTGGTAATCAGATTGAGATAGAAAGGCCATGGAAGGTCAGTCATGCTTGTCATTTTTGGCCACAAAAAGGACCTAGAAAGGCATTCAGAGAAGCTGTCATTTTTCACAACCGCAGCATTGCGCTTTGCGCAGCCAGCGCAGCCATGGACCTGGAAGCCTTGTTGAATTCTTTAGGCTCTGGTGAGCTCGATGAGGCACACCTGAAGGGACGAGAATGATGATCTATGGATGAGATTTCTGAAATGATTGGTCTATGTTAGCCTACGTTTATAAACTTTATATAGATAGAATGATAGATAAGTTTGGAACCTGGAGATTATATATACTGTAACGACATTTAAATATGTGGAGGGCGGGCCAGACCGCGAGGCCCCGGAGGTAGTATGAAATACCAGTTCGTATATTTAAATGTACTTACCGTATGTTTAAATGAATTGGATTCCGTATGTTTAAATGGCCGGGCGGGCCAAGGAAAACCTTCCCGGGGGTAGCCTAAAATACCTGTTCGTATATTTAAAAGTCCGTATATTTAAATGTAGTTACCGTATGAAATTAAATTGTATGAAATTTGGGAACGCATCAGGCAAGTAAGTAGCATCCTGGAAACGCAGATAAACGCAGGTAATTTTTTGGCACCCCTATCATATAATAATATGCTGGAAATAATATATAACATGAGTCCATACATTTTAATATACTGTGATAGCTGGGACAGATGGCGATATCAATCGTTTTTGGGATCCCAAAGCATGATATGAATATGATATGTGTATATGCAGTGTCCTGTATATTATTTGTATATATTTGTATGTGTAATCTATACAGAGCCTGTTGAATTTATAGTTGGATATGATTTTAGTGTATTTAACTTATCGATGTTAGCTTGGCGCCCCAAAAAAAATGATGCAGCCGGTGACCGTGACACCGTGACGTGCAAAAATTCGTTCGCAGGCCCTCGCAGCGATGGAGAAACGCACCACGCAACTGGTGTCCCGATTCGGATGGAAAGCATTCCCAGGATGTCTTAGAGTATAATCGTTACCTTGTGAAATTGTGATGTCGTATGAGTTCAATATATAATTATATGGTTATGTTATGTATAATTCCACCATGTTTCCAACTTGTTTGTCTAATCCGGCTGGATATGACTGTTTAGTGCCTTTGCACGATCATGATGAGCACCTCTTCAGAAACTCTGCTTGAAGAGGTCTCAAAGAGGTGGAGGGCTGTTATGAGAGCCCTATGAGAGCTCTATTCGTGTCCACTCTGAATTTGTGGTAAAATGTTGCACAAGTTATTTTTAGGTGTAGATAGATAGATAGATAGATTAGACTAGACTAGATTAGATTAGATTAGATAGATAGATAGATAGATAGATTAGACTAGACTAGACTAGATTAGATTAGATTAGATAGATAGATAGATAGATAGTATTATAATGTATTATATTTGCGTGTGGTGTTTTTTTCAAGGCCCCCCCTAGCTGAACAGTACATTGGCAACATCACACTGACTTTCTTGCGAGGCTTGGGAGAAGTTACCAGATAGGTGCGGCCGGTGACATCAATCCCAGTAGGTTATTGTTGGAGGCTTGGGAGTTACCCAAACGAATGCGCCAGAATGATGGATTTTCTCCAAGTCCTTGGTTGCGAGCCCAACGAGCAAGAGGTGAGATGACCCCAACATACACAATTGAATGAATTTTAAGACTCATTGCAGACATTGTTGCATATGTGTATATAGACTGCATGTAAGACTGCAATTAGATGCAGTATGATGCAATTGTTTAGACCCTCCAAGTACCAATTTAAAAAAATGTAGAAATGCCAAACAGGTGCCATATGGGCCAACTTGTTTTAGTTACTGTACTTGGAAGGTCTAGGTAGGTGTAATCAGTATGTTTCAGAGTATGTGGCATGCTTCACCCCAGATCATTGCACCAAAAAAAGTCGGCAAAAACGGGAGGTTCGCGCGCGCCGCGCGCCGCGCTGGCCAGGATTGTTCTGTTGAGACATGGACAGAGCGAGGGCAATGTGGACCATTTGCTATACACTAGTCCCTCGGCAGATCCACTGTGGGGACAATAACATATGGGACTATGATGGGAAGATCATACAATGGGATATAACCAATCAATAGATATTGGAGATAGCCCTGTCATCAAACAGTAACATGAATGGCCGGGAAAATTCCATAAATTTCCCATGGCCTAGGGGAGTTCTCCAGCGTGCACCCCTGGAGTTGATCATCTTTCGAGTTCCAAACCGCGTTTTGTTCCAAAATGTCCATTGCCAGGTTAGACTACGACCCTGGAGATCAGATGTGACGATGGAAAGAATTACTAATGACACCTAATGACCAACAATAAACGGCGATGTTACCAGCAGGAGATGGTTCTTTTGCGAACCGAACATCGGGATGTAATCAGAAATAAGGAAAGAAGACTGGACTGATGGTAGTTCGATTTGTATAATTATGCATCTACCTACCTGGACTGATTCCAGGAAACATGTGCGAAAGACCTATCAAGGCCCTTCTAGCCCATCATTTGCCAGAGAAGCTGGTTGAAATGTGGTAGGTATGGTTCCAATCGTTTTTTTTTTGTTTTTGCTCTCCCATGCTCCAACATTGTAACATGATGTAACATGGCTACATCATCCTAATTACCAAGCATGAGCATAATGGAAATCCGAGGTTTTCCTTTGGAAAGGACATCATTAACAGAGATTTCCATGGGTTTCCCATGGGTTTCCCATGGGTTTCCCACGGTTGAGGCAAGGGCGACAGCCGCTTGGAGCTCACCAAAAAGGGGATCCGTCAGGCAGTCGGATCCAATGATGGGAGCTGGGAAAGTGATTGTTAAGTATGAAATGCTGGGGCTGCTGGGGTTTGAATGGAAAATTTAATCTGTGAATTCATGGTTTTATATGGAATTCATGGGAAATATCAATGAACATAATCAATGGGATTTGTATCTGAGAAAATGATAGAACATGAACTAACAGACCAAATGCTGTGTTTTTGCAGCAAACCATGGAGCTGATTACCGGAGGGGCTGTTTGAAGCATCCCTTTTCTCAGTCGCTGAACTCTTGGGGTACTGCAGGTACCCAAGTTTGACCCATAGTCTTCCCTGGGGATGAGCCAGCGAAATCCTGCACCTCCAATTTGGGATGGTTGAAACCCGAGAATAGGAGAAACCACCTATCAACCGCTGCAGGGTTTCCATCCACAGGTCTTCAGTGGATGAGTTGTTGATCATGGCACAACTGCGCGTGCCATGAACTTTGCCTCAAGGATGCAGAGGGATTGAGTGAAGCAAGCTAAGACACTGAAGTTCAAGAGGAGTGGTCGCAGACGCAGAAATCAGACATGTTGCTATCGGATACTTGTTATGTATATATATATATAATTATAATTAATTAGATAATATTATATATATATATAATGTCATATTTATATTATATAAGATGATCTTAGGTCTACCATCAGCCGCCATGACTGAGCCCGACCCCATGGCAGCTGAGCGTCTCGAACTGTGATTAAAATAGGGTGCCCTATTTTTGGATAAGCAGATACCCTCTGGCAAACTAACATATCTATTGCAAATGGTCATTTATAGTTGATTTACCCATTAAACATGGTGATTTTTCCATTTTTTGTAGGTTTAAACAGAGGGTAAACCTTATAGATACATGTCCATGATTTGCCTATTTGTGTTCCCGCTCAAAAAACAACAATTCGATGATTTTCTCCCCACCAGGCACTTGCCGAACCTGGCGCAAAATTCTCGTTTGGCCGCACAAGTGGCCGAAATGTCCATCATTCGCCCTGAAGTCTTGCGTGTGACACCTGCCTACAAGGCTTTGCAGAAATGTGGAGAGGCTTTTCGACTCACCAGGGACCTTTATCATGAGAGTCACCCGGTGCTTGATGTTTTCGAGGCTTTTTGTTTTGCTTTATTTCAAGCTTGTTTTCGGATTATGATCAGAATGACTCCAGTATCAATTGACCACATTTTCGGGACGTGCAGGTGAGCAGAGCGAAGAGATCAGCAGCTTTTGGTCCCACTCTTGGCATGGCAATTCGTGGAAGAAGATGCTCACCCTCATGGTGCTGTACAATGGTTTACCCTCGATTCTCTGCGGCACATGCGCTGCCTTCATTCCGATGGTCTTGTTTTCCTTCGGTTTGTTGCCAGGCTTTGTTCGTGTGGCAGGAGAGCAGGTCCTTTTCTCAGCGTGGAGCTTGGTGACTGGCTTCTTTGTTGCCCTTGCGACCTTCGTCTTGTGGAGACCACGGCAAGAAGTCTTCTTTGATCGCATTTGCATCAATGAGGAAAACCCAAGGCTAAAAGCGTCAGCCATTTTGAGCATCGCAGGGATGTTGAAAAAATCCCAGGAGATGTTGGTGCTCTGGGACCCCAGCTGGAGTGAGCGACTTTGGTGCTTGTTCGAGATGGCAGCCTTTTTGAAATGCAAAAAGGCCCAGCAGAGACAGCAAGTTCTGATCATGAGGCCAACATTTATAGGTCCATGCTCAATCGCAGGCTTCTTCGCATCTTTCGCTGCCATGCTGGCTATCATTACAGTTCCCATTGATTTGACTGAGGTCCCACTGGCGCCCCTCATGGGTGTTTTGGCTGTTGATGCTCTAGGCTGTTTCTTTGCCTTAATGGCATTGCGTGGCTACTTTTCTTCAGTGGAGGTCTTGGAAAAGAAGCTGGGCTCCGCCAGTTTTGACCGGGTCAAATGTCATTGCTGCGAATTTCACCATTTGAGTGAAACTGGCCAACATCTCTTGTGTGATCGCGAGGTGTTGAAGCAATGTGTGACCATCTGGTTTGGTAGCACAGCAGCCTTTGAGGAAGCCGTTCGCTCAGAGTTGCGTGACGTTGTTGCCACAGAACTGCGCCAGGAGATTTTCACCAGAGGGTGGGCGTTGCGAGTAGGCAGCCCATCACTTTGGGTATGTATGGACCTCATTGCCACACATATAAGAATTGCACAGTACGATGTTGCCTTAGAGGTCTTTGCTACTGGTTTGGTTGTGTAGTTGGGGTGCGCGCCCATCTTGGTTGAGCTGTGCATCTTTCTGACTCGAAGGTACTGCCGCCAGTGCCAGGTGGCGAGTTGTGGCAGCTGTAATGTGTTGTTGGACTTCTTCTTGAACCTTTGGGTGGACCTCCTGGTGAGCTTGGCTGTTGCCCTGCTTGGTGGGATCTATTTCTTGATTCGCTGTCTTCTGCGTTCAACCTGGATCCGCACCGGAGCCTTCGCAGGATTCCTGCTCATTCTTGGTGCCCTGGTCGAGCTGTTGAAGTGTGTCACGTTGACCAAAGGATCCCAAGGCCGGGCAGCGACGCCAGCATATGATGGAACTCATGAAACTCCACCAAGACCAAGATCCGAACATATCGTTTCACTATAGTTGGATATAGTCGGGAGTTTTTCAAAGATCTTTCAACTCAGCTTTTTGATGTTTTGCCAGTTTTCAATTTGCAGCTCCGTTTCACCAGATTTTTCAAGCGCAGTCTGGAGGTCCAGCTGTGGCGCTGCACGGATGATCTGAAAAAAAACCACCGGAGCTGCACGGTGACCGACCGGGCATATGACCACTGAAAACCCCAATGGGATCTGTCAGAACATGTCAAAATGATTCAAAATGTCGAATTGAAAAGCAATTCGTTCAAATTATGTCAAGATATTTCTATATATGATTCTATAATATGCTATATGTCTATTACTTTTGAGTTTCTTATATTATCTTATAATATTCCAATAGGGCTTCCTGGTCAGTTGCCAATTTTCCAAGCCCTGATCTGCGAGGCCAAGGAGGCCGGAAAGCGCTTGCGTTCCATCACACCTCCAGGCTCTGAGAAGATGGTTACGGCGGTAACCGGTAACCGTGAGCCCCAAGAAGATAGACAACTAAAATATAGTAACATCATGTAACATCCTACTTAGTATAGTGATGAGTTACTTTTCTACCTTTTTTGGTGGTTACTATATAAGTTGACTATAAGTTAATTGTTTCTAATCATCTTATAACATGTTATAACCTATTTGCATACAACGCACCAGAATCTTCTAGTGGCTCTTTTTTTTCTGCTCACAGATACTCACAGCATTTTTGGTCTGTCATGTCGAGTTATTGTCGTATTTATGTTCATTCTGTGTTTTTTAATGCTCACTTGACCAAGAAAAAGGCATTTATGTTTTTGTTCCCAGGTATTTACGCTCATTTCCGAGGAGATTACGCTTAGAATCTTTGCTTGAAAGCACAAAGTGGCAAAATGCCAAGAGCGGTACAATTACTGATTTGGAGAGAAACTGCTCAAAAAGCATGATTTCCTTCAACGAGCATCTACCTGGGGAGTTATTTGTTTCCGAGGGTGCAGGCGCAGGTATATTATCTATAGCTATAGGCTATAGTTTTTACAAGCCTGTGCATGATCCTAAAGGTGGCTCACCAGTACAACAAAGATCTACGCACCGATTTCACTAGAGTTGATCGGGCCATAGTTTTGCTTCTGGCTTGAAGAAACATCCCACTACTCGCAATTGGTTTAAGTAACCATATATGCTTTAGTTGTCTTTACTTAAAAAAATGTATATACATATATGCACACACACATATGTATATATATATATATTATATTATAACTTAATTTGATAATAATAATGTGCAAATAAACATAAATAAACCATCTAAACATGCGAGAAGCCACAACTATTAAGGAACAACTCGGATCCTGACTGATCCTGGCTCCTGCCCCAGGTGCCAACATCATCGTTTGCACCTCCCCCTTCGAGAGGCACGGGGCGCCGGCGCCATGGCTGGGATTCTCAGCCATCCATAGATGACTGGAGTGAACTTGTTTGTTCTAACCCATGACGGATCCATGGTGCTGCTATGGTGTGCCATGGATCCCATCAATATCCCATCCTAACCATATATATATATATATATCAATCTATGCTATATATGGTAACCCTTTATGTTAGCAAAAAAAACCAGCACCATGGATCCGTCATGGGTAATAGCTTCTCATCCAAGAAATGGATGAATGATGAATGGGTTGAGTCAACCTTGACGAAAGTCTAGGTGGCTCAACCACACTAAAGTCTAGACTTTGGGGATGTTGAGCAACAAGAACGGGGATAGGGGGAGAGGAACCAATAATGAACATCAACAATGAAAGGGTAGAAATTGGCTCCGAAAGCAAAAGCTACCACAAGCCATTGCACTTTATTGATCTTTATTGGAGGATCACAAGATATCACAAGCCATGGGATTTTGGATGATTTTGGGAATGAGACGACCCCTCTTTCAAGATCTTTCAAGGAGATGGTGATCCCTTTCTCAGTTTTTTTTTCATGACCAAGCAAGGTGGAGTCCCAAAAAAAAAACCAAGTCCCAAGTCCCTGAAACCGGTGGAGTTTGGATGATGAAGCTAGTGACTATAGTGGAGTCATGCAAATGCTAATCTTTGGGAAGGTTTACAGTTTGAGTTCATTTTGGGTCCATTCATCCATGGCTCCTGCCAGGACTACACAAACACTGTTGGCAGTGTACTCTGGCGGCTTTGGGGGTCCAAATCAGGATACCGAGCAACAGCCATTTGACAATGGCTGACATGTCGAAGATTGAATATGGTGCCATCCGGTTGCCACTATGAATCACGATTGCTCTAGTGCCCAGCATTGAAATGTGCCTTTTTGATGCTTTTTGTTGATTGGTCTGAGTGTACTTCTTCGAAGTAGACATTGCGCAGCTCTTTTCTGCATGGTTTCCCTACAGATTGAATAATTAATTATGTTTTTCTCGGCTTTGTTCACACAGATGCTTGATTGACTGTTTCGCTGAAGTGTTTGATTGGTTGTTCATGCATTATGGTTTTGTTGTTTGCCCCGGCTTCCCGCGAACCTCTCAGAAACATGGCCACGATGGTATTTTACATACTCTACAGTACGTCCACACTTGCAGGTTGGTTTGTTGTGCCCGTCATTGCTTTAAGATGATTTTGTCACACGTTTGGGTCATGTTTACCATTTGTTCTCGATTGTTTTTCGTACAATGTCTAGCGATGGTTGCAACATGTTGCAACACTTTTTCGTTTTATGTATGACTGTGTTTTCATTCAATAGCGGGTTGTGGCAGCAGGTGAGTCGCATCACTGTGAGAAGGTCACTGTGAGAAGGTCATGATCCCATGGTCAGGTGAGATTCGAAGGGAAATTTCATCCCATTTTGAAGCTTAGCAGTCGGTTTTAAATGTGCTTTCCGCTGCTTTCCCGTATTACTTTGTTCCTATGTTTTCACATTTTTCTACTTGTGTTTTCCACACCCAAAGTTGGATGATTTTCCCAATGCCAGGCTGTCAGGTCAAGATTTGCTTCAAAAGTCACGCAACTCACGCAGGACCTGGTGCAGCGCGTGCATGTGGATCCTCAGATTCGTGAGCAAGAATTTGGCAACTTTCAAGACCCTGGCCTGACTCAGAAGGTGCGCAGTCCCCCTAGTCCCGCTAGTGCTGGCTGCTTCAAGAAGTGGATAGAAGCGGGACATTAGGCATGCAATTTTTGCTTTTGCTTTTGCTGTTTGTCAAGGTCCTATTTGTTAAGGACGCAATCAAGGTCCACGAGATCAAGCTACGTTTTCCGGAATTTAAAACCGAAGTAATGCATTGCTAAGCGCGTTTAGACTCGATTGGCAGCACACCTGAATCCAAAAATCGATTGGCAGGACGTTCGACGTGGCCTCAAAACCTAAAAGCACTTCGCCTTCCAATCGAAGTGGGATGTTTGTGAGCCTGACACTATCTGACACTAGTAGATTGGTAGACCTCTATTGGCGTCCAGTATCTGAAGATCTCAAAAAGACTCGACCGTCGGAGAGCTCCTCCGGCTAAATCCGGTGGATCCGGTGCTGTGTAAAGTGTCACCATGTGTAGGACATATATTTATCAAAATGTATCAACGAATCAGAAATTTATCAACCAATAGAATCACATAAAATAAACAGTTATATTATATACTATTATTAAAATATATTATATGCTGTTATATGGACATACACAAATCATTATCTATATATATATAAAATTACAAACCCCTATAACCATCTATAACCCTTATACTTATAAATACATGTCACTGCTACTCCCTACCATTGGAGCGCACCATGGCCCGCAGAGCCGCAGGTCAGAGTGGAAGAGGTCCGAGTCGGACGCTTCTACTACAGGCTGCGTTAAGTTGTTTTGCGGATGTTTTATTGTTGTTTGTTTGGTAAAATCGCATGTGTTTTCTCCTCGTCCTGGAGGGTGTCCTTGTGTTTTTTCTCCATTTCTTCACTTCTATAGAAACAAGTGCAACAACTGGAACCAGGAAGGAAAAACACACCCAACAAAAACAGCAAAGAACCGACAGCAAGATGAGGAGGACAAGCAGCACCATGCTGCTTCGACTCAGCTGTTTTTTTCGCAACTAGATCGACGTAACATGACGTCACCAAGCTACATATAAAACGACCTCACCGTGCATGATACACAATCATCATAATATGGGGCCAGGAAATGTTTGACACACAATGAAAGAAAATGTACAACAGTCGAACTTGAGACGTTTGCGACTCGTTCTTGAAACAAAGATCTCACGCTGCCCAAGTTACAACGGGTACTCGATCGCTGGGTGAGGCGTCCCAATGCAGAGAGCTCTGCTGACGTCTTCGACCGAGTGACGCAGTTCTGGGATAAACTGTTCGGAGACTTTACCGGCAACGGGATGTTGACCCGCGACGAGGTTGGCTGCCGAGTCGGTGATGAAAGTGAACTTCCCAATGGGATATCCACCAGTTGGGTAATTTGATTGGTTTTTGGGGGCCACCTTAAGCCAAGCCAAGATTTTTTTGCGGAGGCTGGAGAAATGGATGAAGATGGATGAAATTTTCTGCAGAATGCTTAATTAGAACATATTTTAACTGGTTGGAGAAAGATCATCCCAGAACAGAATATTGAGATTGCTCTTGGATTCTACGTAGCCTGGGCACAGCAAAGATGAACGATGAATCCAAGCGGCACACGATACCAGCAACGTGCAACTCCCAATCGTATTCCTTCGCATCCAGAGCCTGTTTTATGGCTGAAGACACCCTGGCTGAACATCCTGAACCAGACGGGTGTCATACAGTCGGTGGTTAAGACACATCCGCTAAGAATGTGTGATTTAGCACCGGCATGGCCAGGTGTTTCTTGGTGTTGCAAAAAGTTCACGTTGAAACTCAAAGGAATCCACTTACTGTATTTCTTCTGTAGTTGTCAACATATAATTGCGTACAATATATATATATATACTGTATGTATAATTATGTGTAATTATGTATAATTATGTATAACCATGTATAATTATAATTGTGTATAATTGTGTATGATTATTCAACTTAGCTATGCACCTGAAGGGAGAGCCGTGTGATTTCCTACCGGCCGCCCCTTGTTGTTTTCAGGTGAAGTACGATATGTGCCTGGTCGTGACACACGGCTTGACCATCCGTTTGATGCTCATGTGTCTCTTGGTTGGGGAAATGGGGAGATCCGTATGTACTGACAAGGTCCCATTCACTATGCGAGAGCCAAGCCATAAATGGTGTGCATGATATATGATATCTATATAATATATGATATTTACTGACTGGCATGTACTATTTTTCAGGGTTGAATAACTATAGGTACACAACCGCCAGAAAATTCATCACCAGTTTTGCAGGGTATATAGATATTATAAAGCAGGCCAAGGTGGGTGCTTGTCGCTGTGGCCTTATTTGAGATCACTGGAATGTGCGTTTCACCAGCTGGTTTCACCGCCAAGCAGTTCAGTTTGGGCACCACCATACACCGCAACTTTGGGAAAATGAATGACATTGAATGATGATAAACTGTGGATAAACTGTGGTTAAAACTGTGGGAAAATAAATAAACCATGATGATTCTGCTTACTTATTGACATGTTTTAAACTGTGGATAAACTGTGGCTTTCCAAGAAATCACCGCTGGGAAACATTGGGCCACCATGGTCCCTCGAGGCTTGTTCGAATGGTCCGTCGAAACCTTCGGAACTGTGTGGAACCTGGGAAATTGCGAGCATATCGCCCTACAGAAAAACCTGGAGACCTGCAAATATGAGATCCTTGGCGGACTGTGCTTTGGTGAGGTCTTATGTCATATGGTTTGAGAATGTTTGAGACAAGGTCATCTCGACCGGTGATTTTTGGTCATGTTATGTCATGGTATACTTCTTAAAACCACCCATTTGGACTCCATAGATGGTTTCTTACAATTCGACATACCATTGTGTTGTAGTGTATTATGTAGTGTATTATACTTGTAACACTTGCAACATTTCAACGTACATCGGTTACACACAATCTTAGCAATAACTGTTGTCAGCATACTACCTATTGACATTCATCCATTACAGTTTTTAGATTGTTTTTAGCCTCTACCAAGGAAATCGTGTTATATATCATCGTCAATGTTCTTTATTTGGTGTTCTGTTATATTGATCTTATTGCCCTTTGGTAATTTAAGATGGCTGCAGAACATCACCTCAATAGATAAATCATGACAAAAAAAAATCCAACTAAATTACCAGAGAGCAACCTCTTCCACGTTGCCACGTGCTGTTACAGAGTTTTCGAAGCCACATCATTTGGATGAATTATACTGATCTCACTGGAATCATGGTTATCTGGGATTTCATCCCCGAATGGCCTCAAGTTTCAGCTCTTTTCATGAATCGATATCATTCAGCCAGAAATATCCAGAAATGATATTCATGATCAATCTTCCCATGATTTATATTGTATATATATATATATCATCTTTAATTCTGATACAATATATCCCAAGTTTCAACTATTTCCCCAGGAAATATGCTCAAGTATATTCCCAATATATCCTCGATAGGGAGGTTAACTATTTTATGATATACTCAATGTTCGCATCATATTCCCATGAGATATCCCCTAACTATATTCCCCAAGTTCCATCAAGTTCCCATGATTTCAGTATATTCGCAACAGGAATTCATAAATATTCATAGGAATTCCCAACTCAAAAGCCCATTTGTCAACGGTAGATCTCGCAAATCATATCCCAACTCCTCCGTCCCAACGCGGATCCTTTGGCAGGTTGTTTTTTTCGCTTCCAAGGTTTTCCCGAGACAGCCACAACTATTCCCAACGATTTTCAACGCCCAGGTTTTGCGTGGAAGAATCCTGGCCCGCTCGGGTGCCCTGGGCAACACGTCAGGCCTGGATTGTACTGGCCACCGCGCCCAAGCCGCAGGTGGGGATGGGTGAAAACGCCCCATCGAATTCATCGTCTAGTTGTTTCCTCCTGGTAGTCAAAACTGGCGAAAATTGCTCATTTATAGATTTTACTTCAATGGGAATTCCTTTTATATGGTAGGTACCTCCATTTAGGATCCTGAATTTCCCATTGATTCTACTTCTACTTCCCATAAACATTTTTTTTTTGAAGTGTTGCTTTTGATGGCCTGAGACATGCGGGGTGGCACGTGATTTTGAGCATATATTCAGTTTGAGGTGCCTGATGTTGACCCACTACAAAACATTTGGTTGGTGGGCAGCAATGGAAATGTAGATGGGTAATATGTATATCTTTATATGTACATATAGTTATAGTAGGCACTATATATAGGGGTCATTCATGAGATTAGTGGATTTAGTGGATTACTCATGGAATAAATCACCAACAAACAACCTGTGGTGTGAGTAGGATATCCCATGATATCCCAGTTGCCTCTGACCATCTCTGACCAAAAAATGGCACCGCCCACGGCAAATCACGGCACCATGGCAGGAGTTGGTTCACCGCTTATCCAAGCTGCAAGAAGCGCGCGAGAAACTGCTGGAAGCTGAAAACGTGGCTGACACGGAGATCGCCAAGCTGGATAAGATCATTGATGACATGGAAAACCAGCTCCCTGGCTGAATGGTGACGGTGGAATGGTTTCTGGTTGTTGTGTTTCAATATTTGTACATAGTGTATGTATATTCGTCTGAAGGCCATAGAGAGAGAGAGAGATTTTGTGCATATTGTAAGTACTCATAGGTAGATATGATCGATGACATGAAACTAAATGGTGTATAATAGTGTACAATTATGTGGAGGAGTTGTGTATAAGATATATGGTTTATATATGTTAAAAATGGTCATGGTGAAAAATATGATTATACATGGTTATATACACATATCATGTTTTTACTCAACTGATGCGTTTGACTGTGTGTTCACGGCAAGTTCACGGCTACTGTGTTTGTAATTGACCGGTTGCGTATTCCAGAGTTTGGAGAAACATATTGGCCCATGTTGAGGCTAAAGGGCCCTATACCCTCTGGTGAACTAACATAGCAATGGAAAATCACCATTTTTAATGGGAAATTCCACTATAAATGGCCATGTTCAATTGCTATGTTAGTTCACCAGAGGGTAGTTTTTATGTTTTAAGCTCACCAGGTGCGACAAGGATTCAGACATGGAGAATTGAAACCCGAAAGACTCAGGATTTTGCGCGCAAGATCGGAAGCATACACAGTGACTTGGGAGTGGAAACCATGGGTATCAGTGATAGAGAAGGTGGAGCGAAAACGACCTACCTGTGATTGAGTTTATCACTGCTTCAGTTGCACACATCTTCCACAATTGTTCTCCCCTCCAACCCGCAGAAATTGAAGAACCCAGAGCTAGTCCCCCAACTCGGCAGTAGGTAGTTGCAAGATGCTGTAAGGATCTAAGTCTGACCAGTCTATGCTGATGTTTTGCTTTCTCTCTTGTGATGCACAGCAGTTGCTTTCTCGCTGAGTTTCATTTCGAGATTAGAGATTTCCAGAGATTTCAGCTGGAAACAGCTGGAAATGCTGTGCGGTGTGTGTCTTTGATCAGCTGTTGGCTGTTTCCCAGTGATGTCCTTCTTTTCATCCGCTACTTGACATGGCTTGAAGAGGATGGGCTGAGCCACCCACTACTCTCTTTGACGAAAGAAGACAAGCACGGTGACAAGGAATTCCCACATGGAACCAAGCTTGCCAGTAGATACTGATATGATTCTTCATGGTTTTTTTCAAAAGGGTATCAGCTCATATCAGCTCGGCTTGGGAATGCTACTGAACTGCAGCCTACTATTGGTGGATTGTTCACCCTCGTAATTGCCTTGATGAATTTGGTGACTGGACTGGCTTTGGTGAATCATTTCATCATTTCTTATTGGATTTGAATCACGCTAATTGACGTACGCAAGCGCCACCAGGTCACCAGCCAGTCATCACCGTCATCACCTCCGTTGTTTAACGCCTGCAGGTCATCAACTATTTGGAGATCACGCAGCCTCGCACCATGCAGATCAGCGAGGTGATTTGCCGACTCGTGGCAGGCACATCGCGCACGACTGGGTGAAGCCCTGGGAAGCGATGATAAGCTACAAGCATGTTACAAGAGCATGAGATCAGAAAAAAGTGACATGTTCATAGATTGATAGATATATAGTTACAATCACCGACAGAATTATGGAAAAAAACAAAATGTTTCAATTTACAGGCGCCACCTGTCTATGATAGAAAAATTACGAACCTTCTTTTTTCCATAATTATTGTTTCCATAGTTATTTTTTTTCCATAATTCTGTCGGTGACTGTATGTCCATCGATTCGCAATTTGAATGCATTTAAAGGGAGAATATTGAATTATAGAAAATATGTGTCTAAAGATCTGGTATATGCCCCTAAGTTTTCCATTGATATACATAATATCATGTGATGTTTGCAATTTGAATGCATTTTAAGGGGGAATATTGAATTATAGAAAATATGTGTCTAAAGATCTGGTATATGCCCCTAAAGCCTGCCATTGATATACATAATATCTGGATGTGTCCTTTTGCCAAGCCAACAATTGGTTGATACTACATACTTGCATTTGCATACATATTTCCATAACCCCAAAAAAAAACGGGTTTGAATTGTGGATCCATGACATGTCCAACAGGTGGAGCCCCAAACATTAATTATGGAAAAAATAATTATGGAAAAACCGATCAATCTGCCCTAGCCCCTGATTTCACAGGAAAAATCAATTATGGAAATAATGGCCACCTCCAAGAATTATGGAAAAAAAAAAGGTTCGGATCACTTCCAGGATATTTTGAACCCTTATGGGGAAAAATCCAATTATGGAAAAATCGGACGCAGGCGCCGCCTGTCTAAGTTGAACGTTTTATTTTTTTCCATAATTCTGTCGGTGACCATGTATATATATATATAGAGATAGTGTATATATATATATATAGATATTGTATATGTTTTTTCCCACGATCAAGGACTATGATTGTTCCCGTATCTTCCGGTGAGGTTTTTCTCTAGCACCAGGATAGTAGTCTTCCACCGGAACCCATGTGAAAGGGTTGAGGAACTGTTCCAGATCCAGGCTTTGGAGGTTGGGTCATTTTGGGAAAATCATGTTATTTCGGGGAGTATCAGAGTATCCCCTCATTTTAGTTAGTGGACATTAGATGAGATGAGTAAAACTCCAATCCCTGTTAGCTAATTATTGTATAAATCCCCGCGTTTCATGATTATTTACTGTATATTAAGCTCCGATCCCCCCAACGATCACCATCAATCACCATCAATGATGGAATCCTAAAACGAAATGACATGGATAGATCCACCCCCGAACTAGTTTTCTTGGTGTGTCAGTTCATACTGGAACGGAATTATTTAATCATTCACAATCAGCTTGGATGTTTGACCCCTCCCAGGAGGCTTCGAACATGTTTGAAATTCGACCCCATGTTTCATGATTGACCATCCGTTTTTTCTGGTTGACCTATGTGTAGTTCCCCATGTTGAGTCTTGCGTTGATTTTTGTTGGCTGAACCCATTGGTCAGTCGCCAGGACATGATCACCAAGGCAAGAGCCCAGAGGAAAGTCACCGGAACTCGGTGGAGTATGGATAAATCCCCTATCAACAATAGGGTTTCATGGGATTTCACGGGAATTACTGGGATTCATACTGTGATTTCACGGGTTTTTTATGATGGATGCCCTCTGATATTTTTTTTTCACATAGAAAACTGGAAAACGGAGCATTGATATTCAGGATTTACCTATCAAAAGTGGTGATGATCCTTTGTTATTTTGGTTTACTGGAGGGTTTAACTCCCCTATTATCAATGATTACCAATGGAGATTTTAGAATATGTTGGATATATCATGGGAAGATCATTGCTGCGGACTGAAAATGGTGGATTTTCACCTGCTAGCCAAGGAGCTGATTGCCGGAGGGTAAAGGAATATGATAATTATTAAGATGAATTTGTTGAACTGGATCCTGCTGGTCTGTCAGAATCATAGATGTCCTTTTCCTACTGGTTGGTTATGAGAGGAGTTACGGTTAACCCCCCTCACAACCAACAGGCAGGCGAATTGTGACCAATGGTGCCATATGTTATTGATGTATTCCGGAGTAAGTAAGTTGGATAATAGGTTCGTATCAATATCAGAGTTGTAGGGTTGGCCTAATTTTGTTTGTACAATTTGATATGTTCCACAACAGTAATGAAATGATAGTGAGTTTCAGTACGATTGCAATGATACATAATGGCAAAAGTCTGGCCAACTGAAAGTGTTCGCTTTGTATGTCCGTTCGTCCCGTGCGGTTGGACCAATCATGTATAGCTTCAAAGTAAATTTGTAGAGGCGGTGTTCCCAAAATTGAGCACCCCAGATTGGCCAAAAGCGTGTTTACTGTGATTGGGAAAACAACTCATGGTTTTGGCATTAATGCCAGCCGATTGCTTGTCAGAGAGGATCATATTCCAATGCATTGTTTTGTGGAGTGTGTTGGAAAGCTCTGGATCAAGAAAATGGGAAGGACAAACAGTATGTCAAGTCGAGTCACTTTTTTTCGGGGGAAACTTCCATTTCAACGATGTTTAATCATGGTCAATCTTTCAGGCTTTGACCTGGACCTGTCAGGAGATGCAACAGATGGTGGTGGATGAAGCAAGACGAGAAAACATGGAGCAGAATATCGAGTTCATCGATTGGTGGGGTGACCAGTTGAGAACCTCGGTGAGATTGATAGCTGGGCCGGGGAATGAACCTTCATTGATATTCATTTACCATCTGGTAAACATACAAAAAACTATGGAACATCACCATCTTCAATGGGAAAATCCACTATAAATGGTCATTTTCCATTGTTATGTTAAATTACCAGAGGGTATAGGGGATGTCCGGTTGCCATGTTTGATTGGAGGGTAGCCATCCAGCAAGGTACTGGTAGATCCTGGATGCTCAGGGTTAGCCCCCTGGGCGCTGCAAAATCGTCAATGACGTAATATTGGGTCACCGGGTCACCTTCCCAAATTTGGTCGGTCATATCCCAAGAAATGATAGAAATGGTTTTAAGATGTGAGAACCTCATGCCACACCCATTCCTATTTTTGCTTTTTGAAATGATTGACCCCAACTTAAAAAATAACAAAATGGTGGTCCTTTGCGCGAATTTGGAAACGCCCAATATCTGCCTATTTTTGCCGACCTAAGCGGCGCAAACTCCCATGGCCCCGAGGTTTTCAGGGGAAGATGCTGCGAACCAACCGGATTTCCTACGCACATCACCGGGTGAAGTCTGGGAACATTTCACCAGTGTCACCCGTTCATTCCAACATTTCCAGCGCTTGAGCTGGCCACTGTTTCCGTTGCCCACGCCATCCCACGCTGGAATGGAAGCTGGAATGGTGCACTGGATGCTTATGCCATCTTATGCCAACAATGTTTGACACCTGCAAACTTTCAATTGATGAATGCAAACCAGGAGTGTGGAGTGCAGCACCCAGTGACCGGAGCGGCTCGGGGGAAATAGCCCTTGACGCCACTTCCATATTTTCCTTAGGGCAGCTGTGATTTTTGGGCCATCGAAAGCGGCCACAGTTTGTTTTGCTTCTTAAGCACACCGGCTTTGAATTTGGAAGCGAAGTGGTGGCAACAGGTCAGGTGGAGGGGTCACATATAATATAATTAATTAATTCATACCACCATAGGTTGATATATGTCGGCTGGTATTGTTTGTTTCTTTTCGGTTCCCATGCAACTAGCACTTTGCCAAATAAGCTACTGTCATCAAGGGAGTTCATGGTGATTGGGCTTTGGGTGTTTTCATGGTTTTATATGGTTTAACTGTTTTGTGGAGGATCAAGTTCTAGTGCAGTATTCCGGGAACGCATTTGCAAGCAGGCCTTTCGAGCCAGGAATGATCATGGTTTGCTCCTCCTGATCCTGATTCCCATTATCATCCTCATCATCCTCATCCTCATCATCCTCATCATCATCATCATCATCATGGTTGTGGATCGGTGTGTTTCATACCAACTAGAGAGAATTGATCCCCTGGGCCTCAGGTCCTTTGCCCTGGTGTGGGCACCTGACTTTGCCATTCGAAGTGATGCATTTGACATCATGTCTCCTACAGAGGCTTAATTCGTGGCCCTTTTTCTAGGTTCTACTGTGTCGGTGAGATGCGCATGTGTCAAGATCACCCTGAACATTTGACTGCTCCATGATACTACATTGGTAGGTTGCCAAGCAACTGATGGGCCTATGGTTTTGGTTTCATTCGCTTACCCAAACGCTACCCCGGACAAAAATACAACACTCGAATTTCAGAGTCTTGATGAAGCTCTTCCCAAGAGATCCTGGAAGCTATTGATTGATATTGATTGGTGTTTGCTTCTTTTGTTTGAATCTCATTTCTTATAACATTTGATTTCCTGAGTTTGATTGATTATAATTATCATCCACGTACTGTCCCCAAGGAAAAAAAACAGGTAAACCGGTAAACCCCACCTTTTCGCTGTCCAGCTGCTACAATGCACCATGGATCCCGGCCGCGCGCCGCACCGCCCCGCCGCCGCCGACGCCGCAGCGGCTGCTTGCGCGCAGCACGGGCGGCCGCCGCCCCTGCCACTGCCGCCCAATGTGTCGATTGCTGAGTTGCCTAAGAGGCTGAGACCTACCAAGGTTTTTAAAGCAGGACATCGACTGGATGACTGGATGGCGGCTAAGGGTATATCAGGATAGATGTGGCAAATAGTTTTGCTATCCTGATAGAATGAGGTTCACGTGAGAGAGAGAGAGATATATATATTTATATATAACAAGATATGGATGATATAGTGGCATAATTGCATAACATATTGCAAAAGACTGCGCAAGGGTTTTAAATTCTAAAGTAACCATTTGATGGGGATATCATAGGAGAGTGGGTGATAAGGGGATATAGTGGGACAACTCATATTTTTGCTTTGAGTTTGGCCAGGAAAACTCGTTTTTCTTGGACCACCCGACCAAAATTTGACGATGACTCAAAATTCACGGTCCATCATTTTAGCTCCTTTTTGTTGATCAGTGATGTGTGGAGGTTTCCTAAAATATGGCTACCCCCAAACCAAACAGGTTTTTCCCATTTATTCATCCTGTTTATTTGATGAATCAAGGGATTTCAGGAGTTGAGCGACCTGCAGAGGGAGCAGTTTCCTGCGATTCTTGGCGTTGGCGGTTGCGCTTTTAATGGAGCCGGGAGAAGATTCAAAAAAACGCCAGAGTTTCTACGTGTTACTGTTGAAAACATGTTGAAAACATATTAATACTTTACTAAAAGATATCAAAAGGATACCACTTAAGTTGAACAGAGAACCTCGACTTATGTAAAAAAAAAACTGCTCAGTTGTGTAACTATGTCAACAAAGCTTGAAATCCTGAAGGGAATCTCAGTGATAAGTGGCTGGTTGCTAGCTGCCAGCAGGAAAAAATATATTTAAGTAATGCACCTTCAGCGCCTGGGAAGTGCGGACACAGCATGGTTTGGATCCTGGCAGATGATACCAGGTTTCTGGGAGCTACAACATGTTCCCTGCCCTGCAAGGTCTCTGAACCTTTGGCGCCAGGTGGAAATGGGTGCACTCGGACGGCTTGGACGCTTGTGTGATATGTAGGCTAGTGCGCCTATTCCAGCTCAGCATTTTCGTATGCGCCTATTGACCATCATCATGTTCATGTTCGTGAGGAATTCGATGAATGACCCATCATGAATATATACATAATTCATATGCCTCGGTTCGTTTAGTCCGGTTTTCAGTAAGAATCTCCACTGACCGTTCATGATTTTCTGCGACTGGTTGATCGGCCAGCGCTGTGAAGGCTCACATAGGTGCTCATAGAATCGTCCCCTTCCAAAGCACAACACCACTGAACACCACAAGCGGCTAAACAACCTCGGCGAGTTTGATGGAGTTTTTGTCCTCAATTCCTGCAGTTTTGTCACCTCAACTGTGCCAAGTCTGCTGGATTCTGCTGGAAATTGTTGAGCTGCGGGCTGCCGTGTTTTGGCCATTCTTAACCTTTGTTTTTGGACTTGGGAGCAGTCATGATGGGAGAGGTTGAATTTCTTCAGTCCTGATCTCGAAACATGGGTGACAGACCTTCCCATTGAGCCGGACGTCAAGAAATTCAAGTTGGTATGGTTGTGTGGATCTTTCCAGGTACTTCCTCCAAGGATCCAATAGGATCCACTTATCGCTTTTCATCCACGATATCCAATCCATGAAGAGCAGTGGTCATATGGATCTTTGCAGGGCCCCAAAGATCCACATTCGGCTTCTGATCCCAGCTACCCAAGCCGCGAAGCAGCGTGGTTTGGAGCCGGAGAGACTGCGGAGTGGAGCGCCTTTCTTTGGTGCCAGTCCTGTCAGAGGTTGATGTCATCGGTCTGATAGACATGGCATCGGCTGATGCAGATCATTGGTGTGTGGAACTACTTGCTGGCCTTACAGCCTTACATGGTTGTGTTTTTGTTTGGCTTCGGTAGTGCAAGGCTTGTTAAGCCAGGTGCAAGCTGTTCCAATGAGCTTGCCGAGAGCCACCTCTCAGTCCGGCTCATGGTCAAAGGTCAACAGTGAGTGGTATGATGGTACCTGCATCATCCTTTGTCTGCCTTTTTTTGTCCTCTGGGTGAATAGTAGGTTTTTGAATTTAGCGGCACCCACCGCCAACGTCATGCTGTGTGGTGCCTCACACGCTTTGAATCCTTACACCTGCATTCTAGTGTTGTTTGTTGGCCGTGTCCATGCTTTTTGTTTCTGCAAAAAAGTCAGCGGAAGAGAAAAGGCACAGTAGGAAGACACAGGTATGCAGGTTTTTGGGAAAGGCATTGCCTTCCTGATGTACAAGCAGGTAATGCCTAGCAAGTTTCAGCACTTGGCAATAAAGAACGTTTTTTGCCTTGAAGGAGGCTCAGTTTTCGTTGCCGCCATGTCAATGAACCACACCATACCTTTGCTTGTTCAAGTTTAATCCTTGTGTTTAAGCGTCAATTCAGTGATTAAACCACAATGTTCCACCATCTTTAGATCTAGTCCAGTCGAGCTGGGCCAAAAGTCGCGCCTCAGCGCTGTTTTCCAGATGCTGAATTCCGATGAATTTGGCTGATGAATCATGAGGGGTATCCCGTGTACCCGGAAGTGGCTATCTTAGTAGGGTGTACCATGGTGTACCCTTGTGCCAGGCAAACCCATATGTTTCTTGATGCTTCATCCAGGACACAAGGATACCCAAGGCCTCAAAGAGATTTGAACCACCAGCCTTAACTAGCAGTCGTTCAATGCAACCACAGCGTTCCAAATAGCCAGCTCTGGAGCATCGCAGGCATGGAGAAACTGCCAGATGGACAGAACGGAGACGGGCAGAGAAGGGACAGCAGCGTTTTTCGGTGGCAGAAATGAACTGTTGGTTGTCTATTCAAAAATAATTAATGATGACGTTCGTTTATTATTTGGAGTTGTTGGGGTACGGAAAGTATATACTACTTACATACTTAGTCTGGAGATATGGTTTGATCATGTTTGATCAGAGTGAGATAAAATGAGATTTAATTTGTTCTGTTTCTTGAGGGTTGCCCCATTTGCAGGGGATTGCACATGCTCTTTTGTGCTTTCGTGATGCCAGCCACAGCAGCCAGTAGATCCACTTAAATGGCATCCCGGAAAGATTTGATAAGATGTGATGTTTGACATTTTTTTCATGCGCATCATGTGTTTCACAAGCACAGGAATTGCATGGATTTTTTGGGGAATTCCAGAGATGTGTCCTTCGGATCGTCTCAAGGAACGTAGCTTCCACAACCTCAGCCTGCAGATTGGCACGGACCATGCCTGGCTGTCAGAATGGTTGCAGACAGACGCGCTGAAGGCCGGACGTCGTGACGCCACCGGAACAGATGGGAAGTGGATTGGGGTACCCTCTGGTGAACTAACATAACTATGGAATGGCCATTTTCAACAGCTATGTTAAATTAGCAGAGGGTAATGATCCTGAGACGGCTAAAGTGGTTGGGTTTATGAACGATCAGAACTAGTCAAATTGATCACACTTTATCATACTTTATCCAGATAGTAGAGGATCTATAGGAGAGTACGCCGTGACAAGGCCAGAACCTACTACCCTCTCCGTAAACTCCACACGTTTTGTGGCTCTAGGATCGGCCCCCCGCGGAGCTGGTCGAAACTGTGCTGCACTAGTGGCTTCACTGGCAGAAATGACAGGGCCAATATACACTGCAAGAGTTGGGTGGGGTTGGCCTTCTGGTCGAGGAGCGGCAATCGGCAAACCCTTCAGGAAAAAAACAAGGAATTTTGTTGAAGGGCTGCCGTGGCTGAGTGTGGCGAAGCAGCGCAACTAAGGAGGTGGCATCGGAAATCCTTTCCGATGTCAGTACTCTTGGTGCTGACTGTGACAGGCATTTGTGGCATTTGCAGCCATCTCTTCAGTTCAAATCTGTGTTGGAGGGCCGGTATACTCTTGGCGTGCGGCTTCATGTATAAAGTCTGGATGCTTCAGGTGCAGTTTTGTTTATTCTAAGGCGGCCTCTTGAAACATGGACACATTCGCATAAGTTTCCTGAGTTTTTGTCCATACACCGCTTTCACGATTGATGATGTTTCTTGATTGATGTAGGTGACGGAGGATGCTTATGATCTTTTGATGATCTTTGTTTACACCGCTTACCATTGCTCTTGCAGGTCATGTTCAGCATCCACTTTTCGTCTCGCCAGGCTTTTTTCCAAAACCTGCCGAGAAGTCTCAGGCGACCGACTGGCACAAATTTTGGGCCCCGAAAACATTGTGTAGCGATAGGGCCCCCCAAAATAGCGATGTCTATAGCCTATAGCCTATAGCCTATGATTGCGCGTAATCTCAACACCTGAAGCTGTTTCACACAAAGTTGCGCACATGCAAGAGGTGAAATTATATAGTGGTTTCTCTAGCGATAAACCTGTCCTCTCCCTTGCCCTTCCTCTTCCGGAATGAGATGCTGCTTCCTCCTTCCTTCCTCATTTTTTTCCTCATTTTTTCTCCCCCCTTCCTCTTCCGTAATGAAAGCCGCTGCTTCCTTCTTCCTTTCTCTTTCTTTCCTCTACATTTCCTCTTCCAAGTCTTTTCCCCCTCCTCTTTTTGTTCCTTTTCATTTTCTATTCCTCTACTTATCTTTTCATTAATTACCCCATATTACCCCATTTGGTTCTTCTCTCTTCAGGAGTACAGAGAACATGCATAGCTAGGAATAGGCCTTCCACCCGTATTTAAATCAGATGCCCTGCGAAGACAACGAATCTTGACAACGGCTCAGTTGATTTGCCTTAGATGCCGCAGACTCATCCATGAAATTTCAGCACCATGCTGCTGGTCCAGCTGGTCCAGGCAGGAGCTACATAGATCTGGAGAAGCTTCATGAAATTACGCACCTGGGCCAATCCAGTCTGGTGTCAGTTGATCTTTGAATCATGTGATCTACCCCTCGGGCCCTCGGGTTATAAAAAATGACTAAATGACTAATTTATAGCTGATCTATGATGATATCTGGAGAAGCTTCATGAAATTACGCACCTGGGCCAATCCAGTCTGGTGTCAGTTGATCTTTGAATCATGTGATCTACCCCTCGGGTTATAAAAAATGACTAAATGACTAATTTATAGCTGATCTATGATGATTTTGCTCTGAGAAAATGTGATATTCCATAGCTGTAGCTGCGTGAAAAAGCCAGAGGGCATTTCTTGCAACATTTAGCTCGTGCATTTTTCTTTCGAAAGTTTGTAACCAATGGAAGTATCAAGATTGAGGGATTCGGTTCTGGAGAAAAAGCACCAAACATACCATCTGGTTATTTAACATAGCCATAGAAAATCACCATTTTTAATAGGTAAACCATCTATAAATGGGTCATTTTCCATGGCTATGTTAAATAACCAGATGGTATACAAAACATATTATCCGCATCTATAAATATATAATACGCATGAAATCACTCGCATAGTTGCACGGAATTGAGGGGTGAATTTGTTCCCTCGCTTCACCCTATCACCTTCAGCGACCCCACGCTCAAGGCAGCTGCTACTGGAGCGCTTCAACGTGAAATCCTCCTGCACGGAGCGAGTCGCCGATGTGTACAGCGAACCTTGGTTTTTCAGAACGCGCGTGTTGAATGGGTGCTGGGAAAGGTTGAACCACCAACATCCTAAGGAAAACTAGTTTTGGTAGATATTCAACATTATTCAACAGTCGGCCCGTTGAAGTTGTATGTGTTTTTTTGTTTTCCCGGGATCTGTTGTTTGACATGTTCCTAGGAAAGTTGTTTGATTCCTGTTTGGCTGCTTGGCTTAAGTTCGATCCTTCCGATGGCTTGCACTGAGAATGATTGTAGTTATCAAGATGCTGTCTAATTACAATAATAGAAATACCACTGTGCAAACAGGCCACGAGGTGTTTCTGGGCGGCTTCCACGCTGCAAGGTGAGCTTGCTCCAGTGTAATCTCACGCTCTGTGTTTCAACGCAGCGGCATTCTTCCTTTCACAGTGATGGCGCGCAAAAATCCCGAATCACGATTAGCTTAGCATTGCTTGTTGCGCAGGGTTTCCCTCACATCCATCCTCGAATTGGTTGGCTGGAAATGGGGCAGATCTTCGCCGTAGATGACATGATGGATGATTAAGAAAAATCCAAACTGACTGGTGTGCTGTATTTGTTGTCCTTAAATCAGAGGATAAGCTGGTATATATATATATAAGGGTTTTTGATGGTTTTTGTTACATGTTTCCCTGAATGTCAGATGATCAATGCCTTCCAAGCCTCTCTGAATCAATGCCCTGAGGGTCTCGCATGCCGAGGCTGTGTGCGGAAGAGGTGACACAGGCGAGATGATCCTTGAAGTTGGGATAAAGAAACAGATGAAGTCACTCACTATGAGTGGGAACCAAGTTCAGGCATCCAGAAAATCAGGCAATGAAAAGCTGTACAATGAAATTTGGCTAGGGTATGGTTTTTCCAGATGTCACCCTTCAGCTGTATCAGATGCATGCTTGCCTCGACAGGTTTGAGTCAAGTGGAGTTCCGTGGTTACATTGCTGCGGTCGGGCCCTCATAGATCTCGGATGTTTCTCCCATCCCCTTGGCGATAGATCCAGAGGAAGGAACCACTGTTGGTGCACAATTTCTAAGTCTTTCTTGGGGAATTGGGGCCCAACAGCTCTATGATCCAAGTGAAAAAGGTTGGTCCACTGGGATCTCAGCAGCCCGCCGGCATGGCCGCTGGGCCATGCCCAGGTACTCACCCAGGTCCTACAAGATTTGGATGCCAGAATGGGGGGGCGATCACCAGAGGCTGCTGAGAACTCAGACAGTTTGATCCTCAGGATTTTGCTAGATACCTCACCCACAGTTTGGAGCGAGGGTTCGTTTCGAGAAGCTGCTTATTATATAAACCTATATGTATATAATTCATTGTGCATATAACATAAACATACATTCATGCATATACGCACGTAATATATTATTTAAATATATATATATATTATATATACATATAATTATTTTTATATATATATAATTGGCTTCGGGCCCGTTTCCGGCGTTATTTTTTACGAGGTTTTCTACACGTGGTGATTTGCACTCAAAAGTCGTGTGAGTCAGACAGTGTTTCTGTGTGTTGCACTTCGAAGCATTGTGGGTGGAGACATCTGAAACACCGCAGGGGCTGCCTGGCGTCTCTGCACATGGTTGCGGAGCTTGGTCGCGGAGCTTGGTTGCGGAGCAATTGGTAGGCGGAGCGGAGGCGGTGAAGAGAGAGATCCAGGGAGAGAGGGGAAGAGAGAGGGAAAGAAAGAAGCCCCACAGTGCAGAAGCAAGGTGCTAGCAGAGGATAGGAAAGAGACTTTTCTCCAGTGAAGGTTTTGTTTGTGTGGAGAATGTAGGGGGCTCTTGTGGCCTTTGGGGGGGGTGGGGACTCTTGGGGCTGGTGGGGGTATGTGGCTGATTTGCAATTTCCCCCAGCCCCCCCCCCCCCAAGGATGCAATCCCTGGGGAAACGGTGCATTACAAGAACACATGACCATATTCTGATTGGACACTCTTGTTGGCCAGGCCGCGCTGTTCTTCGAGAGCCCCTGAGAATGCAGGAGGCGGGGCAGCATGTTCGGTGATGTTCCCCATGTGGGGTCAGAGGCCGCTTGTACGGAGCTACATGATGCACATGTACTGCTGTTTCCCTGCTGTGTTTGCACGCAGCCCTGATTTCGATGATGCACCCGCAGCCTTCTTAGAGCATCACGGATCTGCGTCCATTTGGCAGTCACTGCATCATGGAGCTTGCGCTGGAAGCGGTCAAGTCCACCAACTTGGTGTACTATGACAAGTACCAGTATGAGGAAGTGACGGTGGAGGGCTGCACCATTCAGGACTTGCCTCTTGTGCCGGCCAATCGCACGAAGAAAAGCTACAAAGAGTTCTTCCAACACGTCCCCAACGTGTCCGAGCAAGAGCTTCAATCAATCCAGGCTGCCTTTGTGGATGGCACTTTGAATCTGCCAGGCTTGCCAGACTGTGTCCGACCACGGGACTATACTAGTGGATGCAGGCTCTGCGCGAGTTCTAGCGCGTTCTCACAGCCAGTGTTTTGCCAACACGATGTTTTGCACTATCCTATAGTGGATGCAGGCTCTGCGCGAGTTCTGGCGCGTTCTGACAGCCAGTGTTTTGCCAACACGGTGTTTTGCACTATACTAGTGGATGCAGGCTCTGCGCGAGTTCTAGCGCTTTCTCAAGGCCACGGTTTTGTAAATATGGTTTGCTACTATTTTATTACTGTTGGAAACGAGCCCGGAGCCCGTAGGAACATAGCGGTTTCATCCTTTAAAGTCTAATAGTATAACCCCGGCAACATAAAGGTCATGAGGTCCCCACCCCTCTGCAGGCATGTCAGGCGGGCTGCCGCGCGGCGTGAATGAGTGTGTCTGGTGCGTAGAGAAGCGCAAGAGGAAGTGTTTACCTAGTTAACTCCTTTAGAAAACACATGATTTACATGACTCACATAATGCTACACACAGTTACAAGCACATAGATGTACAGGCACTATGTACCACGCTTACGCTTATTTTTCGGGGGTTAGGAGTAAGCTTGCCGAACGCCATGGAGCGTCTGCCATACGCCGTAGTCGCCGCACGTGGAGACAGTAACGAAGACACGGGGGTGCCTGCCCCGGGGAACCCGGCCGGCAGGCGCCCACGCAGCACCAGCCCGCAGACGCCGCCGGCAAACCATTGGCAGTTGATGTTGGGCCCTACGCAGCGACTACCGCAGTCACCACGCAGCCGAGCTCTGCAAAACTTGGTCAGGCGTGCCGGTGCCTGAACCTGTCCAGGAGGATTGGCTGATGGTACTTTGTATCCTTGCTGTACGAGTACTGTGATGGATAAGTTGTGGCAGGCAGCTTTCAATTTTTGTGGCGTGCCCATGTTCGCCTTTTTTTCACCTGGAAACAAACCAGGGACTGTGGCCGGCAGGTACAAAGAATTAGAGTGGCAGGCGCGCGTGACTTTTTTTTCACCACGGTGATCGTCGTTGCGACATGGATGCGCGCTGCAAAAACAAAGGCTGCGTAGACGTGTGTGAAAACACTGCAAAAAAGAACGCCTGTAACAGGCCCTAAACCATATATTTATTTATTTATATATATATATATATATTTATATTTATATATTTAAATAAATAAATATATATATATATGTGTGTGTGTATATATCGGAGAGAGACATGATATGTACATACAGTGATGTCCTTCATTTCACCACCATTGGTTTTCCCCCTGAGGTGGTGGAATTGTGGAATCCTTTCAAGGCCGGCATCTGTTCCCCACGATTCTGTCAACGGGACGGGGATCTGGGATGAAGACCCTGGAGGTTGGATCGCACAACTGACTAGCGCCATCGTCGACTAGAACAAACTGCGAGTCAAAATTGCTGTGCAGCCAACTACAAAGTGGGGCCCCCAAACGATAGCTAAGTTGGTTTATAACTCCAATAACTATGGTTTATGGTACCTATAACTATATAGTTAATGGGGTTTATAAACCATCTTATAACTGGGGGGCCCCACCTTGTAGGTGTGATGAGTGATGGTCAAGTTGCCAACAGGGGCATACTTTGCGCAGAATCTTGCGACTGACGCATCCCTGTCTCTCCGCAGCGTGTGCATGCACAAGCCATACCGACTCCATTGACCCCATATCTCCATGGATAAGATGATGATAAGATGTGAGACCCTAAAATTTCCTCTTTGTTGACGAAAACGTGACCTAAGATGATAAACCACTGGATTTTCAGGATCTTTTTTTGAAAGATCAGTTGAGACAACACCACTTGACCGGCAACCGCGATTCTGTCACTGACATCCGTTGACATCCACTGACATCCACGGCTCCGGTCTTGCTCCGGCCATGAAACGCGCACTTTGGTTGCTGCCACTGCTTGCAGCTTGGAGGCTGGTGCAGCACCTTACTTTGGAACATTTTGGAACCATGTTGCGCCACTTTTTGATTGTTTCAACTAGTTGCACAGTGTTATTTTGGGGCATCCATTTTGAAAACCCATTAGAAGGCTGCAACTATAGGTTTTTCGTTTGACCCCAAGTGGGTGTGAGCATTTTACACTGACACATTGAAAAAGTTGAAGAACATGATCCCTCAACATGGTCCATTAATGTCCATTAGACATGTCCCAAATCAGCTGGGTCTCATTGGAATTATGAGCACTTTCTTTACGCAATGGTACAGAGTACCATGAAACCAGTAAACCCAATAAACCCCAATCCCCAATATATGAGAGATATGTACTTATATACTCTTGGATATAATTTGATATAATATATAAGTTATATACTACAAGGTGGGGCCCCCCAGTTATAAGTTGGTTTATAAACCCCATTAACTACAGTTATAAGTACCATAAACCATAGTTATTGGAGTTAAAAACCAACTTAGCTATCTTGGGGGCCCCACCTTGTATTCATGTATTATAAATAAAGTGTATATATATACATATATCCCAATTAATGTCATGTTTTTTAGTCGGTTCCTATTTTGGTTGGTTTACTGGGATCATCTCCGTGAGCTCAGGCTGAACTTCGTGGCCCCGTCGGCTTCGCCACGGCCGCGACCGGTGAAAATCACGCGAAGAGCCGTCGGCTTGGAGTTTCTCCGGGCACCCCTGGAGGCGGGGAAGTGACAGCAGCTACTAGAACTATCCTCAGTTGAAAGCATGACCCATAGGATCCATGTATGGTATATATGCTAACATTGGGGGTATATTGATGGTAAATGTTACCATATATAGCATACATGGATCCTATGGGTGATGATGTTTGGAAAAAACATGTGTTTCCTGTTTCTAGCAGTTGAACGTCAGCACTTTGGCTGCTAAGTGACCATGGCAGGGCGTATTTGGAATGAAGATTCTGATCGCTGACTAACGATATGTTCAAGAGTTCGAGCGGGACGGTTGCCCAGCACCACGAAAAGACTTGAATTGGGTCAGTGACTTAGACTCTAGCTTTGCAGTAGTGATGATAAACAGCAACCAAAAAACATTTTATATAATTCTATTTTATCTCAAATCATCATCAATGACCATTAAAAAAAACATAAAATGCAGTGTGGGCCCACAAACGTGATGTGAACATTAGTAGATTCACCCCACGAATGTGATAGTTGAAAGTTACAGTTACAGTTATAAGTATCATAAACCAAAGTTATTGGAGTCAGTGATGATGAGGTACAGTTATTTAAGTATCACAAACCGTAGTTATTGAATATCAATGGATTGGTTTAAGGGAAAATCTTAACGGAAACCATAGATTTTCCGATTTAATATGGGGCTTTCCTGTTCCAATTTTCCCTTAAACCAATCCATTGAGAACCCTCTGGTGTTGAATATTGTCATTTATAGTTGGTTTGCCCATGAAAAATTGTGATTCTCCATAGCTACTGGTATGTTAATTTACCAGAGGGTAAGTATCAGAAATGGTCAGTGATGCTCCCCTTCGCGCCAGGCATACGCTGCTTCCAGGGTGGCTGACTCACCATTCCTGGCCGAGGCGGGGATCAGCCAGACTTCAGTGGCCAAGGTTCGGTCAAATTCGGATTCATATGGATTAATATGGATTAATCATAGCCAAAACTGGGGATCATACGATGATCTGACATGATATGACATGATATGACGCTAGAATGAGCCATTCTTCGTCCAAAGCGGATGGTTTATTCCCCGCAGTACGGCTGGGATGCTATGCCATGTGGCCTTTGAGAAGACCGAATTGATATTGGATAGTTGAATGACTGACCATCATTTATAGTGGATTATTAACCATCAACCATCATTAACCATGATCAACCATGATTAGTCATTCAGAACAATTGCTACATTGAAAGAGTAGATTACCAAGAATATGTGAAAACATGGATCGATGGTTGATGTCGATTGTTGAAGTACTAACCCCCATTTTTTTAGCGCCAGAACCATCCTTTGCAGGCCCCAGGAGCAGCGTTGCATTGGGGCCATGCTGCAGCCATGGTTCCAACCTCAGAGAGGGTGGTTTTCGAATGTGTTCCACCCCACTCCTTCAGTGTTTTTTTGGAGGTCGCATGGGAAAACCATGAAAAACAACCATGCAACAAACAACCACGAAGCATTGCAAAAACACATTTTCGCAGAAAGCCGCACCATATAACTCAATATACAACCATCATAATCATCATGTGGTTTTTTGCACATCTTCCAAGCAGAAAAGATCAGAAAAAGATACAGTGAATCTCTAGTCTGGGTCGTTCAGGTCTAACCAGGTCTCCCAAAGCTCTCCCAAGGTCCTCGTGAAATCTGAGGCCTCGGTCTATCCCCAGTTGGCCTTTGGTGCTTTCCTGGGGTGGCAGATCCGCATGGGCAAGGGACAGGCGCCATGATGGGCTGGTGACCAACCTGTGGTGGAGAAAAACGAACGCGTTTCATGGGATTTGATGCGGATTCAATTGAGATATATATTATTCTTATTGTGTTATTTATATATATATTATATTATATTATATTATATTATATTATATGTTTATATTATATTATATTATATGTTTATATTATGTTATATTATATTATATTATGTTATATTATATTATATTATGTTATATTATATTATATTATATTATATGTTTATATTATATTATACTATATTATGTTATATTATATTATATTATGTTTTATTATATTATATTATGTTATATTATATTATATTATATTATGTTTTATTATATTATATTATATTATACTATGTTTTATTCTGTTATATTATATTAGTTTATATTTTTATATTATATTATATTTTATTTTATTATATTGATAAATATTTTTATATTATATTATATTATGTTATATTATATTCTATTATGTTATAAATTAATATTATAATATATTATTTTATATTATATATTTTATTATGTTATATTATATTATATTTATATTATATTATATTATGTTATATTATATTATATTATATTATATATAATTTTTGTTATTGCTGTTGCTGTTGTTTTTGTCATGATTGTTATTATTACTATTCTCAGTGGTACTATTGATTGTTATTATTACTATGATTTTTGGTACTCGTATTATTGATTGTCATTATCAATTCAAAATTGGGAATATGACGGGATTCTAATATGTTAAACGGTAGGTACTTACTGTATATATAACCTATTATACAATTGGACGAAGATGATACACCCAAGATCCCAAGATTCGACCTGATGGACGAGTCACGCACGGATGCGACCTTCAAAGCTTCAAAGCGGCAGGAGACCACGCCTTTGTCCATGGGATTTTCTTCTGCAACCTTGCATCCATTGCTGAGTTTGGGCGCCTTCCTCTTCTTCCTCATTGGAGGACCTCCGAAATGATCAAGATCATGTGGAATCGCCGGAGTTTTTGAGTTTATTTGTTCCTTGTTACTATGTATATATTTAAACAGTATAACAGTGGAGTACCTCTTGGTGTTCCGAGAGGTTCAGAGTTGTGACTGACAGGACAAGGCGGTTTGGTATTGCTGACTGTCATGTCCTTGGTTGACACGTCGGGCAGCATATTTGCACTTTCATCCAGTGATGTGGGCATGTTTCCGAATCCGCCAAAGCCATCCAAAACCTTTGAACCCAATGGAATTCTGCTGGAGTTCATGCTTGCCAAAACATGAGAATCCAGTTGACTGTGGATGAAGAAACTGTTGGAATCGGAAAAGTACTAAGCAGTGACCATCCCATGCTGGCGCCACAATGGTGGTTCCATCCCTGGCGGTCTGCAGCGAGGCACAAAAGCAGACTATCTTGGATTCACCACATGCCGTCACAGCCCTGCTAGGTTTGGGCCTTGGCAGATGGCTCTTGGGAGACTTCCCCTTCCACTTTTCCAGGCGATGGAACATCTCCAGAAGGTGTTCTGTGGATAGTTACCCTTTGGTAAACTAACATAGCTATGGAAAATTACCATTTATAATAGGTAGGTCAACTATAAATGGGCCAATTTCCATAGCTATGTTAAATTACCAGAGGGCAACAAAAAATCTAAGGCTGGATTCATATTGGAGGTATTTTGACGCTTATTCCCCAAGGGGAAAAAGTTATGCAAAATCCGTGGTTTGCTTTTCTAGATTCTGTATCTTCTGTTGCAGGGGTCACCATCGTGGAAATCAGGCCTGCATTTTGATGGGGTTTGGAAAGCCTTGAAGCCGGCACTGAGGGTTGTCCCTCCTGGCACTTCAAGCGCTTCTGCCGGTCTTCTTTGAGAACTCGCAATTGCGAACAGCACATGCCTTTCTAGGCCTTAACGAAGGGTGGGGGAACGACTGCAGGCAAAACCCCTTGACCATTTGGATGTTCCCTGAAGCCAGCTACGGAGCTAGAACAAGGATATCATTGACACAGTACATAGATCGTAGATAGATCAAGATAAACACGAAGGAACGACCATGGAACTGCATCAAGTAAACTCGGGCCGCTTTTGGAGATTGCAAGGTGCTCAAGGGCGAAGCTTAGTGAACATTTGCTTTCGGGTTAAACACCATCAATGTTTTGATTTGACGTGTGGATATGCATTTGAGAGAATTTCTTCAGGAGCCGGAGTTTCATGCTAAGGATCATATGCTACGAGGCTTATGCTCCCTGTGTTTTTCTGTGCCTTCGTCGTGCCCTTGATTCTTGTGTCGTGTCACTTCCGCCCGCATTTGGCCTTTGCGGCTGAGCAGGGTAGGACATGACCAGATAAACCAGATGACTCAGATTCTATCAGGTGGAGCCAGGATAATTTGCATAGGGTTTGCCCTTCAGACAAGCCGTGAACGTTGAGCCATGAAAGTTGGATGTTGGTATACCAGTTTAATAGCAAATTCATTTGCAAATCGATGCAAATGGATGGTTTCATGGGGGATTCCCCACGGACGGCCTTAGATTTATTTGAAGGGTAAGGAGACTGTAGGAAATTCATGGCGCTGTTCGCGTCAGGCTCCTTGCTGCCAGAATCTTCTCTAAAATTCTCCAGAATCGGCGTTTTTGTTTCAAAGGCTCCCCTACCATAGAGGTGGGGGGCTAGCCGCTGACTTTGCCCAGAAAGCCATGGGAAACTGCAAGAGCCTTTTCCGAAGATCAAAGGTGGGATGGGCCATTGAGGAATGGTGCTGAGGGCATGGTTGGGTTTTGAAGCTGCACAATACATGTTGCCTGGTTGTGATCAAACATAGCGGAAAAAATGTTGAGGAATCGGTGATTTGTCATTGCCAGGTTAGGTTGCTTGAAATTTTCCGAAATGGTATATGAATGTATATGATATGCGAGCATTGAGTTTCTTTAGGACTACAAGATATTGCAATATAATATGTTGCAATACAATACTGCATTGTTTTCTTTTTTTTCAAATGTATTGTCTGGAGACAAAATTCTTGCATGCCAACCAGATTTGGGCGCCGCAGCTGAGGGGAAAACCGGCATAGACACGGGAAACTTACATGATGTATGAATATGGATGAATGTGGCCACATATATATATATATATGTATATATATATATATGAAACCTTTTTGAAAAAGAACATAATCCACCCCCCCCTGTTAGTTGCTATAGCTAGGGTGATCATGCCCAGAGGGTGCCTCCCATGAGATAACCACAGCCAGGAGGGCGATAGCAACTGGGCCACGCGACGAGCGAATCCGAGCGCCATCGTCAATCATCAACAGGTGCCGTAGAATCCACTGATTTACCGCCGGGTTTTTTTGATCAAAATGGCCAGTTTGATTCAAAATGATATGGCCAAAAATTTGTTTCAATCATTATATGTTTGTCCAAATGTTTGGACAAACCCCAAGGAGTCTTGTTGTCAGCCTTGGGTGTAGTGGCCAATATCCTGTTGTGCAACTGTTCCTGTGAACGATCACTTTCAGAGAGCAGTCACACGCGCGCTCCCCAAATGTCAAGAGCTGTGTGCATGTTGGCATGCCTTAATTCCAGCCATGACACATCTTGCGATATTTCTCCTTCACTGGTTTCGGTAGCAATTGGCTGATGATGGGAATTCTAGATCGGGAACCAGAAGAAGCAATCCGCAATATGTCAATGATCATTTGATCATCATTGAGGGTTCCATTTGCATCTCTTGCTAGGTTTGATCGCCATTGTCGGTTGATGTGGCAAGTGCTGCCGGTTTTGCAACGCATAGTTAGACCGATTGGGTCATTGGGTTGATATGTGCGTTGCAGCATGCGACGCACCATTTCTTCTAGGGATGGAACCCTTTAGTCTTGACCCACCGAAGGTATACAAGGTGTTGGTGCCCAAGAATTCGTATGTATTCTATTCAGCATCTCTCCCCCCGCCCAAAAAAAAACAACATATTTCTTAGATAGTTCTTGGGGATTTGGTTGAATGTGGTCATGTGGTCACCAATAGTAAACAAACCCAAAATTGTAGGTTTCTGGTTTATGGATGTTCATGGCAATGAATCTATCAAGTCGCTTAAGATGCTTAAGCTTAAATATCCCAGTGTATCCCAGTATCTCCACCCATACTTAGCCCATGATGAGTTCCATGATTACTAGTCACATCCCAATTGTTCTTGGGCTTACCACAGCAAACAAACCTCTTGTAAGTCCTCCAGTCGCTGCCTTGGAGGCTTGCAAGTCTTCAGACTTCATTAGGGCCTTCAGCCTTTGGGCCTTGAGTTGTCTTTGTTTCTTCGTTTTGTTGCGGGAAACTGTGAGGAAAACAGGAAAATGTAGAAACGTTGGGAAAACACAATAAACACGGGAGAAAGATGGATTGATGAAAAAAGTTGCGTTTTTTCCCCAAGCATGTTAATTTGTATATGTCATATGTCGAGTTCTTTCTGCTTGCAAAAAAAACAGCCATAAAATTGCCTTCCATCTCTACAAAAGAACAAAACCAATTTACTTTATCGACAACCTTGCTTGGACTCCTACTGTGGCAAATCCTGTCCACACACGTGATTGTGCGCTGGTTCACCTTGGACCCGTGGTTTTCCTCCCAAAAAATCCCAAAAAAGTTTCTTGTTCTTGGTGATATGGACGTTCATCACGCATTCCCGATGACTATACCAACATCAACAGAATGGTGGGCGAGATGAGGCGCCAAGCCCGCCATAGTCCGCCTGAGCTCCCAAACCCTAGGCCTCAGGTGCATAAGAAGCACCACTTGGTCACCAAGTTTCAGAAACAAACAAACACAAGAGGGTTGCTCCAGCATCTCCAAGCCAATGCGGGTGAATGATGGCCACAACGAGTCGGGAAACATTTCCATCAGCTGCACCGGCCCAGGCATAGGCCAAGCGTTTCACACGAAGAAAGGCATGACCAAAGTAGCACCAGTGAAACTGAACTGCAGTGCCTGCGGGCAATTCATCGTAGACGCCTGGTGCCAGACGGCTGGTGATGGCTGGTGGGAGGTTTACGCAAGGGCTCACAACTGCATGTCTTTCCCCCTTCTTGGTGGGGATATCTTTGGGAACTTGTCATTTGTCCCGCAGAAAAGACTTTCACATATTTTTACTAGATCTGATGGTTGGAGTGCTGGGTTCCACCAGCCTCATGCACGCGTGATTGGCAAAAGAGATAAACGAAAAAAAATATATTTTTTGCCTGAATGAACCAAGGCAAGAAATGGTTCTTTCTAGCATGCGTGGGTTCTGTTAAAACCCGTTGATGCATTAGCAGCTGAACTCCTCGAGAAGGCGATGGAGAGTGAGAGAGAGAGAGAGATTCTGCCGGGGCCATGTCAACAGACGAAAGGCCGTCCCCGCCGTTGTGGTTACCCAGGAAGCCACAGGGGAACAGAAGTTCTATGCCTGCGTCAGTTGCTGGAGGATGGGGCACGCCTTGGGCATTTGTACCACTTGCTTTCAGAACGAGAGGCCGGGGACAAGCACCGACATTTCAAGCTGGGTTTTCCGTGCAGGACGGAGTTAAGATTCAGAGATAATTTCATGGAACCTTGCTGGAACCCTGATGTAACTCCTATTCAATCTTATTGAGTATATTCCAGCAATGTTATATTCGATCTGCGAAATGTTTCATATTATTTATATAATATTGCTATATGACTTATTTCTAGGCTCCTATCTATCTATCGATCTATCTATCTATCTACCTACCTATCTATCTATCTAGCTATCTATCTATCTAGCTAGCTAGCTATCTATCTATCTACCTATCTATCTATCTATCTATCTATCTAAGGCGGCCCTGCACACTGCCAAGATATCCCGGGAAACTTCCTGAGCATTGGCAAATTGGCAGGTACTGCTTGAGCGATTCCGAGGACGGCCCGGCACCACAACCGCGGGCACATTTGGCGAAACGCATCAGCAACGGGTCCATGACCGGATCCGTAGGCGCCTTTGACCATTTCCGAGAATCAGCATGGATGGTGGGTTGGCGATTGTCGTTTTCTTGTCTAGATGCGTTCTGTGCGGAAAATGAGAGGATGATGCTGGGTGGCTTTGTTTAAGAATGAGTTGCTTCAACGACCAGACAGAAATCCAAGTGAGTTTGCATGAGGCTACCCTCTGGCAAAGCAGTGAATAATATCATTTTCTTGGTATGTCAGATTTATATGGATATATATATATATATATGTATGTATATATATATATGTATATATATATATATATACAATTTTTTAATGATCATATTATAATATATATATAATCCATTTTTTTCTGGTGCCAGATTTCCCAGTTGCGTCCCCCACTTCGTCAATGGACCATCCAGGATCTCACCCACTTCATGTGCGCAGTTGCAGTTGCTAGAATCCGGTACCGTTTTGTCCTATGGATATTGAATTTTCTGTTTAAGTTATATAATTCTTCCAAGGGGGTTCCAATAAATGTCACGTTTTCGCATTCATTTTTGCTGAAATTTCCTTACCCTCAGCTCTCATCAAACACGGCAGGCTGGAAAATCCTCCATTTATAGATGCTCTCCCGGGATTTCCCAGCCAGCCATGCGAGTGTATTCCCCAGTATATTCAAAAGTCTAATTAAATTCTCCATGAAATACCACCATTGTTGTTGGTAAAGCCCCATTCTGAAGTGGGTTAAACGGTTAAACCCCTTTTTCTGTTAGTTAGTAAACCAATGTTTTTGATAGGTAAACCAGGTAAACCCACATTCTTGATAGTTGCACCCAATTGTCGATGCTTAAACCTGTTTTTTGTTGGTTAAACTGTGAAACATGGTTAAGCGGTTAAACCAACATTTTTGTTGGTGAAAACATCATTGTTTTTGTTGGCCAGCCAGCATTTTTGTTGGTTACACTTTTATTTTTTGGCTGGTCCAACCTCATTTGTTTTGATTGGTTGGTTAGACCCACCATTACCATCCATTACACATTTTTGATGTGGCATTCCCTGAGGCATTGAGACGGTGGTGCCACCCCCGCTGGCTATGGATCCTTCGCCACCCTCGAGCGAGTCCGAGGACGAGCTGCAACTGCCAGGCGCTGTGGTGGAGGAGAAGAAGACGCCTGACTGCGGGAAAAATGGGGTAGGTTTGATCATGGCTGATGGGTCAAATCCAACTTGCTGATGGTGAGATCCAACTTGATGCTAAGACATTTTGAATAATTTGGAGGCTACAACGTTGTCTTACAATATATCTTCACCGGAAAAATCCAGGTTTTTCAAGGTGCTCTTCAAGTCTTCCCTGCAGTCCAGTCCCTCCCTTGGACCCATCCCACTCAGGAAGACGGGCCGGCGGCGGCAGTCGACCTCCCGCGCCCGGGCACGGAGAACATCAGTGGAGTGGCTGGGCTAATGGTATGATGGTCATGTTATAACTATAATTTATAACAGCCCATTATAGTGGTTATTATACTCTATTGTTCTGGTATAAGTGTATAACTATAGTTATACCCCAATATAACATAGTATAACCATAATAATAAAGTATAACTGCACCATATTACATGAAATATTACCATAATAGTCATAATAGTTTTACAATTCATCATCGAAATAGTCACTACAACTATTTATAGTTGTGCTATGGTAATAACTATAATTACTATTTTCGTATGGCACTACAGTCAACTAGCTGAGTGTCCTTTTGACTCTTTGATTTGTCTTGTACATATAGAGAGAGGTAGGTCATCCAAGGTTGGAAACTGAAGATCTCTCAGATTCGCCAAGCGTCACTTGGATCCGGGCTGTTGGGCGGTTTTTGGTGTGATATGGTGTGGGGATCCCATCCCCTTCATGTCAAATCTTATGCAAAGAGCCTCCAATTTGAATATAGCCCCAGTAATGAAGCAGGCTTAGGGCTTGGCGTATCCTCGTGTTTATCAATGCGGCAAACCTAATGCCATAAACATCCTGCGCGGGGACAGTTTACACCAACACCAAGATGGTTTATGAACGGTTTATGCCATTGGCTTGTGGCTGCCCCATGTTTACTATGGGCTGCTTTGCATTGTTTTGGGGGTACACAGGCACGCGTGTTTGTTTTGCGGCGCAGTAGGGATATGCGATTAGCTGGCGCATGTAGGAATCACACCAATTCATGCAGGTGTGTATATGAGCACCTGACCCTGTGATTTACTGTTCCATCAGTCCATCGATCAGAGAATATCAAATGGTCACATCACCGTACAAGACATCCCAGATGACCCATATCAATTCATCTGCCAGAAATTGCTAGAGTCTCATTTATATAATCTTTCTGAAGGACAACAGTAAGCTCTACGCGTTGCTTCACCGCATGCTCGCCATTGCCCGTGGCAGTTGAGAAGGCGACAGCCCGAGAGAAAGAGAGAGAGAGAGAGACCCTTTGTGTTGAAGGTTTGCTCCCAAAAAAAAACTTGCAAACGCACAGTTAAACCACACACCAACATACTCAAAATAACCCATCTAGGGCCAACTATCTTGGCTTTGCCATTGGTATATCTTCTTATTTGGGCTTGCCCAGGTTTCAGATCCACCTGGCGAGACTTCCAAAGGAAACCTGGCTGATTTCGCTTCAAGAAGCATTCAAGAAAAATGGAGTATCAAATCTCAGAAAGGGGATTGACATGGAGTTGACTCTAACGTGTCCACGTCTTTTGTGCGGAAACTTGGCTTGATGATGTTTGATGCGCAACAATTCGAGTGGTCCAGACGCGCATGTGAAGAATTTACTCGTGCGATTGCCTCCATTGCATGATGAAGGATGCTGAAATTCTACCGCAGTGCTGCTTTTTGGGTTTCGGAAAGATATCGCAGCTGAGGAAAAGTGCTTTCAAGACGCTTCCCTGGAATCGGAGTTGGCCATCCCTTCCCCAATCTGGGTCAACCTTTGATGGGCACTCTAGTAAAGAATGGTTTGCCATTATTTCATGGGTATTGTAAACAAACTATATGTATGTTTTTCGCAGAGTACCAATCGGATTGGCCATGAACTTTGCCAAAGGATGTGTATGTTTATCAAGCGGGGTGACTCGAAATGGCCATACATTAAAAGTCTCAGACCCCTGCTTCACGTCCGTCATCTGAGGCCAGACAAGCATGAAGTCAACACAGTGGCCTGGATTTCATTAGTTGGTCATTTGTTGATTTCTATGTTGGTAAGCCTTCGGTATTCAAAGGCAAGTGAAATTCCCCTATAAATTGATCATTTAAAAGGAACATCCTCCCTCTCTCTCTCTCTCTCTCTCTCTCTCCCTCTATATATATACACATATGAGGGCTTTTCCAGCGCCGTGTTTGATTACTCGAGGTTATTTCATATTCTTTTCCCATTCGTTCGGTATCAAGGTAGTTGTCAAACAAACACGAATCCACAAATCCATCCAGACTGGGGAACTCAATGCATCCAGCAAAAATATCATCAATTAGGTGGACCCTGCACAACGTCATGTGGCATATCCAGTGATCTTCCAGTGATAAATCATGCCCAAGATCACCAGAAATGGGTTGCATAAACCCACAGCAACGGCCCCAAGGTTGTCGACTCAAGGGTCGATGTCTTCCTTTAAGTCAGGTTCCAGGCGGCTCCTGTGGCAAGAACTTCTTTGTTTCTTTTTAGTTCCTCCAAACTTTACGGACATTATACAGACACGGATATATACTATAGATATAGAAAGATGTGCATGTAGATATGGAAAAGTACATATATAGACTAGATAGATCATTGATAGGTCTAGAATGATTTAGATACATATTTTTTGACATGCATACACACATACGCATATCATATATATAATTATAGATCTACGCATATCTACATATATATATATATTCACATATTAATCGAAAATAGATTCCAACTTCATTCCCAGCTGGTTTTATGTCCAGCCATCCGAAGGCGTTTGTCGAGCCAGAACTCTTTATTGGTGCCTCCCAGTGATGGCAGCCCGAGCCCTCAGAAGCACCTTGGGAGCACGGTGCGTTGGCTGATTCGAATGATGTTTTCTGATGATGTTTGATTATAATAATGGTAAATAAGTGTTGAGAATCATGATGAATACTATAATATTATCACATTTATGATTATTAAACTAGATAGTGTTGTTTTACATGTTTGACTCACTGCCGATTGTTTATTGATTTCAGATTGTGACGGACATTTTTGGGTAATCACGAAAGCTAGCGTCAGCTAGCTGGAGTCTTCTTGCTTTAGCAAGTATTCCGGGGGCTGCTCAAGGACATCACGTGATTTTTCACGCGAAAGGGGTGGACCCCCCCCCCACCACCCCACCACCACCCCACCACCACCACCATCATCATCATCATCATCATCGTCATCATCATCATCAACGTCATCATCATCATCATCATCGTCATCGTCCTCGCCATCGTCCTCGTCATCGTCATCATCATCATCACCACCATCATCATCATCGTCATCATCATCGTCATCATCATCATTGTCATCGTCCTCCTCATCGTCATCATCATCATCGTCATCATCATCATCATCACCACCATCGTTAATCAATTACATTTTATCATTATTGGCAATTATTGGCATTATCACGAAAGCCAGGAAGGCTTCGGTTCGTTTAGGTTCGTTTCGGTTCGTGGAAACCTCAAACACGGGCGGTTCGGTTCATCCGTGTGCCGGTTCGTTTCGGTTCGTGTGACATGGCGGTTCGGTTCGGTTCGGTTCGTGTTGTGTAGTGTTGCAGGACGAGAGGTCTTTGACAGAATGGGTGTGGATGAATATCAAATAGTAATGTTTTGTTGCAGCAGAGGGATTTTGTTTTTGAATGTTTGAAACTGATGGTGGGGCCGAGTGTTTGCAGCATCTAAGTAAGCAGTGTCCAAAACCACGGTTTGTTGATGACTAAAGTGCTTATGCTGTTTCTTGGATTGGGGATAATGATTATCATCATCAACTATTAGAATTCTTACATCTAACCAGTTTACAGTGAAATTGACAGATCCATTGCCAACGGCATTTTCATTGCGCGAAAATCACTTTCAGCTGTCGAAATCCAGCCGTGGCCGGCAGAGGTTCAATCAGCAGCCAAATGCCATTTTCATATGGCGAAAGTCGTTTTCAGGCATCGAAATTGAGGCAGTGCCTGCAAATCTCAAACATTAGCCAAACATCATTTTCATTGTGCGAAAATCAGTTCCGAGCATCGAAATCAACACACATCAGACAAGGACCAAAGCGAATTTTCGTGTTTTCCTTAACTATTAGGTGTTTTCCTTAACTTGATTTTCACTGCGCGAAAATCATTTTCGGAGTTGTTTTGGCAAAAAGAGGAAAAAAAGTAGTAGTAGTAGTAGTAGTAGTAGTAGTAGTAGTAGTAGTAGTAGTAGTAGTGGTAGTGGTAGTGGTAGTGGTAGTGGTAGTGGTAGTGGTAGTGGTAGTGGTAGTCGTAGTGGTAGTAGTAGTAGTAGGAGTAGTAGTAGTAGTAGCAGTAGCAGTAGGAGTAGTAGTAGTAGTAGTAGATAGTAGATAGTAGTAGTAGTAGTAGTAGCAGTAGCAGTAGTAGCAGCCAGCACTGATCATTTGCAATTCCTGCTGCACTTTGGCAGATTGTGTTGCGCAGGAATCCACTCATTACAGTTGATTCCTCTTTCCAATTTGATTTTCAAGTCGCGAAAATCATTTTCGGACCCCCCGGAAGCTGACAAAATTAATTTTGAGAATGTGGAACCGGTTCGGTTCCATTCGGTTTGCGTAAGAATACTTGGCGGTTCGGTTCGTGCCGGTTCTTAGCCGCCTGCCGGTTCCTGAACGGTTCGGTTCACGGTTTGTTTCCTAAGCCATACTGGGAACTGGTTCGGTTCCATTCGGTTTGCATAAGAATACTTGGCGGTTCGGTTCGTGCCGGTTCTTAGCCTGCCGGTTCCTGAACGGTTCGGTTCCCGGTTCACGGTTCGTTTCCTAAGCCATACTGGAAAGCTAGCGTCAGCTCGCTAGAGTCTTCTTGTTTTAGCAAGTATTCCGGGGCTCCCCAAGGACATCGCGTGCTTTTTCACGCGAAAGGGCCCCCCCCCTGCCCCCTGTCCCATATATATATATATATATCATTGTTATATATCATATATCATATATCATTGTTGCATCCTCGTTGGGACAAACAATGCCGCGACACGATGATGACAGTCCCTCCGCAACTCACCTCTTCCCTTCCTTCTTTCTCCTACCCCGCTAGCTTTCGTCATCCACCCCCGGCCTCAAGTGCTGTGTTCCTTCGCAACGCTGGGTGGGTACTCTCTCATTTTTTTTTTCAATATGAACCCTGTGATTGAAGTAGTCCAAGCACAAGATTTTCAGATGAACTCAGTTGCGTAGCAATGCTGCCGCATGGTTTTGAAGGAAACTAACTGCTTGCCATTTCAGGAAGATAGACTCAAGGTGGTCGGGGTGGTTTGATTTCCATGGAGAGGGATGATACGCCGGCGCCCAACTGTGACCTGTGGTTTTGATATGAGGTATGGGTACAGCTAGCTAACACCCAAGTTTTGGACCCATACAGTTTGGATTTAAAGAGCCTCCAAAAAAGTCTTAGCACATGGGATTATACAGAGAAAGAACACCAGTTTGCAATGCTTCAACCATCATTTTTGGTGGCTAAAGCAGCTAAACCAGCCACAACATTCCAGGGGTCTTCGAAGACTGTCGACGCAGGAAGCGGTCGGCGTGGTTGGTGTGGGCAACCAACTGTTGGAAACGAGGGAAATGGGACTTTAACAAACCAACATTGGGAGGTAATATGAGGTATATAATAGTGATATCTCAAAGTTGGTGTAATCATAGTCAATAGTGATTTCAACCTCCCATGATTACAAATACCAATAGTGATTTCATGGGTGTTGAATGACCAAAGTGGGTTCAATGGTTATCCCATCCCAATATCCAACACCCCCGACGAATAATCCCTTAAATATAATATGTGGTTAAAAAAATCCCAACGAAGGCCCATATGATGTCTGAGGATAAAAGGGAATGGGATTTAATATGAAGATGAGGTATCACCCCACATAACCATTTCATTGGATATAACCAGCTTCATATGATTTTTGGGCCTGAAAATGGACGGTGAGAAGCCCTTAAAAACATGGCCAGTTTCATTGGGGATCATGATGACTCAGACTGCCTTCCACCGACCTTCAACAGCTGGCGAAGGTGGTCTAGGCTTTCCACATTGGCTTTGCATATCAGAATGTTCTCCTACCTAGAATCAATGTTTGAGCACACGATTGCATGTAATTATGTATCATTATGTATCTACCCTTACTTATCCTTTCTATGTCATTTAATGTTGGGATTCCTTTGAACACACCCCGAACTTAATGACACCGGTGGTCAGCCGTTTTTCCCTCACTGCTTGCATTAGTCAAACATTCCAACATTGATTATGTAGTAGGTTTAAGGTGGTCATATGTTATATATATATTATTTATAACTGTATACATTATATATATGTTATATACTTGTAAATATGCATCTATGATATAGGCTATAGGTATATAGACAGAATGTGTCAATTGTCTAGGGATAGGTTGGATTTAGGTGGAATTGCCAGATATCCAATATAAATCCCATCTACCCTGATCAATATCTATAGTATATGTAGATATATATATTATTTATGTATTTACAGCAAGATGCGCTTAATATTGTAGTACATGAATGTGTTTGGCTCAAACAAACTCCACTGCAGGAGCTTCATGCGACATCACCGGGCCCCACAAAGTCGCAGAGCGCTCCCAGTTTGAAGCGACGAATGCCGCCTGGCCTCCTTGCGCGTGGCTGTCCATGGGCGACAGAATCATCCAAAAGCCCACCAGAAGTGTTTCTTTGTAAGGATAAACTTGATAAACCCCATGGTTTATCATAATTTTCTATATCAAAACTGAAATTATAAGAATATTTCGAGTGTATCCCCTAATTTCGGGCACACCCATTTGACTGGGAATCCGGGAAACAAAATGTTGTCGGGTTTTTGGAAGTATCATGGCCATACTTTTTGTCGCCATGTTTGGGGAGATGAAAAGGGTACATAGGATGGTTTGATGATTCCTGTATTATATTCGTTGTTTGATGCTGTCCTGTAGAGGTTGCGATCCCACATTGAAAATGATGTCCAACTAGACTTTGCGCATTTTTGCGCAGAGTTGTTGCGAATTGCAAAAGAGATGTCCAAGGGCGAAAGACTTGAACTATACGCAATATATTTATATATGTATTCGGTAGACCAGATTTGTGGCTCCACACTTCCACACCAACGACTTGCATACCTGAAACCAATTGGCTTCTGAGAAAAAAAACGAACAAATCTGAATTCACGGTCGTTGAGGGAAACTTGACGGAACACATCCATTAAATTGTGTCCTGATAATAAATATATATATATATTATTTGTTTATACATATATATATATTATATGTGTGTGTTTTCGCATATATATATATATATGTGTGTGTGTTCTGTTAATGAATGAAGCCACAAGAGATTCACATCTTCACCGCAGAGGTCCTCGCCGACCATTAGCCCGGATGGCAGCCCCATGCCAAAGCAAGTCGCCAAGAAACCCACACGGCGGATGTCAACACAAGGGCCGATGAAACTTGAGTCGAACTGTGGGAATATGAGGTCAACAGGAAAGTTCGTCGTAGTCAATGTGGTAAACCCAAAAATAAACCATCCCAAAATCACCATGAAGGTGCCATAAACACTCATAAACCACCCCCAAATCGCCCCAAATCATAGGTTGATTCTTGGCTTTACCACATTAACAAACATCTCATTCTCAACTGCTCTGGCAAAATGTTGTGGCTGTGCTTGGTACTATGTCCGGTTGTTTCTTGGCACGGGCCCTTTGCCAGCATGAAAGATCAACAAGTGGAACACTGATGGATGCCAAAAATGAGGTCCTCAGTGCCCTAATGAGACATGGTCGTCATGGTCACATGTTCGGGTTCTGGTTTGAGTTACCCTCTGATTATTTAACATAGCCATGGAAAATCACCATTTTTTATAGGTAAACCATCTATAAATGGGCAATTTTCCATGGCTATGTTAAATAACCAGATGATCGTAATTATATTGGTGAGCATCATTGCTACAGTAAACAGTTCGTGAAGATATCTCACGTTCGGACAGTGATGTGTCGCTGGGACACGGAACACTGCACATGATCAACAAGTATCCTGCGAGGTCCAATGTACTGTACATCATATGCTAGAGTCAAAGCGTAAGTTCAGATCAGGGTCAAGGGCGACCAAAGACCGTCCAGACCTCCGGTAACAAAACCAAGGTCATTGCAAAACGATGCAGAACAGTTGGCAACCACAGACCATCCAGACCTTTTAAAGATGTTTAGATGTTGAGCGATTCAAAGCTCAGCTACCCCGGGCAATGCCTTTGTGTTAGGAAATCGACGCCTCCAGATGGTGACGCCAGCGCGGGAAGCAACGCTGCCAATGTCAGCAATGGCCCCACACCGGAGGCGACACCCAAGCGCAAGCCGGGACGGCGGATGTCCACGCAACAGTCCTTCAAGTCGACAGGTGAGGTATACAGGGTATACGCTGCGGCCGGGAAGCGATGGGAGATATGGGAGGGCTCCAAGAATGTTTTCACCGTAAGGACTTCACCAGTGATCCAACCATGTTTTCTGGTGGATCTCTATGTAACCGTGATCCAACTGGGATACCATTGTTTTCACATTGATCTCTATGTAAACTTACAGATACATGATATTACATGATAATGATTGGTAATGTATAGTTCTGATAGAGAACCATAATATACTCCACAATGCTCCATAATTTTCAGTATGCACCATAATATACAGCATAATATCAGAATATAGTAGATGCATAACTATATATATATTTAATTCTATATAGCCATAAGCAATATAAAAATATAACAATATACCGTAGGAACATATCAATATAACAATATATCTATTTAACAATATCTCAATGTAACAAAACAATGTAACAATATAAATCTAAACATCTATACATAATCATCCATAGTCTACAGCAATAATCTACAGCATTGTTTAGCAATGTATCATATATATAAATAATTATATGTAATTATATATGTATATAAAGTGCTAAAATATACACATCATCTGCTGCAGTGGTAGACCCTGCCAGGCACCGGGGGTTCAGCGCGTCGCCAGTCGCTGGCGGTGCCTCTGGAGGAGGCCGCGAACTCGACGAGTTCGGCGCCGCGTCGTCCCAGCACCTCTGGCGGCAAGCGGCGGAACTCCGGCGCCAAAAACACGGCAACTGGGCCGCAGAAAGCTCCGGAATCCCCAGGAAATGATAAGAAATGTAGATTTGCAATGGAACCATGATGGTTTAACGTGGTTTATATTGCATATTGCCATATTTTGGAGATTGTTTCATGAATGTGAAGTTTTACATGGTTTATAGCCATTTTGTGGGATACTGGTTCATGTTGTTCTTGTGATTTACCATGACTGGGTAAATTGGAACCACTTCACTGTGCTCCCTCACTAAAATTATGGTTAGGATTAGGGGTAACTATCCCAAAACAGCCGATTTTTTTCAGGTCAGTGAATGATTATAATTTACCCAGATGTACATGATGGTTTATAGCCGCTTATAGCCGCTTATAGCAATTTATTAAATGGGATGCAATGGGGAGGTAATGGGAATGTGGGATATTTTCTATTATGTATTCGGGAATGTCATCCATCATTTGAAGCCAGTATCGAGGGACGATAGAGTGTTTTGAACACTCAAATGGCGGAGTGGAATCGTAATGTCTAGTTCAACTAGGTGAAACTGATTTAGAGACATGTTGAACTTTTGCTTTGGGAATTATGTGGGCGTTTTCTTAGTCAAGGAGGTGACCCCAAACATTTGGAATGAGATTTGTGATTTGACACATAGACATGGGATGAAATGGGATCTAACGGCGGGGAAGGTGAGGATTTTGACCCCCAACGTAGAACTGGGTATCTAAACTGATCTAAGCTCACAAGAAAAACAATTTGAACTTCGGAATGCCCATGGTTTTTCTCCGGGAAAATCACCCAGAAACGGCTTCTTTTGGTACATGGGCCATACGAAATTTATGTTTAAATATTGAATGTGATTCATGGATGGATCTACAGTGGAAAGTTCCACCAAACATTTGTAGAGGGGAGGGACCCAGAGAAGGTTGTGGTCACAGCTCTTTTTTTGATAGCATGGAAAACTATTTATTTCGCGGAAACAAGCCTTGCTAGAAGTGCTTGATACCCAAGGGGTTTACTGTATATTGCGAGAGGTGAACAATTTTCTGACAATGCACATCATGCACCTCCCGCATTCATACGTTCTAAGCAACGAGATGCCCAAAGTTGTTCTCGGACTCGGGAACCGTTACTTGAGTAACATCGATTGATTTAAAGAACTAATACCAACATGCGCGATTCTAATTGGAGGGTCATTCCAACTTAGTAACTGGTTATTATCCTATTCATAACTGGGTTATAACCCCACTTACTAACCAGTTATGATCCGTGGGATGATTGTGGAAGTGGATTGCAGCCCGTTGCGAGCCATTCCCCAGGCGGATGATGAGGAGAAGCGGGCGGAGGAGCAGCGCCGGCAATCCGACGCTTCGCAGAGTTGCTGGGATGGATCAGCAACCTTTGACCCTTTGAAACCCCGAAAAAACATAAGAACACATAATAAGAAAACCCGTGTAGGTTGAAGTTTCCTTGGCAAAGATGGCTAGAAAATTAGTTGGCCACCACTAGGCCACAGGGAAAGTTTGTGAAGGTTCGCGGCTCCCAGAGCATCCTGTCAAGCACTGCCTATATAAATTCTTGGGGAATCCGATTCCTTTTTTTTTTTAATACCCTCTGGTAAACTAACATAGCTATAGAAAATCACCATTTGTTATGGGAGGGCTATTTATTTTTGTTTGTTTTTTTCGCGGCAGGTTTTGGATTTTTTGGGGGGTTCCTGGTTCTATGTTTTCATGTTTCTCTGATTTTATGTTTTTCTGCTTCTCTGCTTTTCTGCTTCTCTGCTTAATTACATTACTTCTCTGCTCTTCTGCTTTTCTGCTTTTTGCTTTCCCTGCTTTCCCTGCTTCTTTGCTTTTCCTGCGTTTCTGCTTTTTGCTTTTCCTGCTTCTTTGCTTTTCTGCTTCTATGCTTTTCTGATTTTTTCTGCTTTTGTGTTTCTTTGCCTTTCTACTTCTACTATTCTACTTTTTCTTTTCTTCAGTCATGTGTTTTTGCTGCTCTACTTCCTGCTCCTTTGCTTCTTTGCTTCCTGTCTTTACTGTCTCTTTGTTTTTCATGTTCTTTTGCTTTATTCTGTTCTGTTTGTATCCTAAATGAAACCCTAGAGGGACCCTAGGTGAAACCCAAAGAAACCTTTAAAAATCTTGATAAGAAACCCTACATGAAGCACTAAATGAACCCTAAAGAAACCATAAATGAACCCTAAAGAAACCATAAAGTAGTCCTAAAGAAACCATAAACGAAACCCTAAAGAAACGTTAAATGAAACCCTAAATGACATCCCAAAGAAGCCCCAAACAACACTCTGAAAAAAACATATAAATGAAACCTTAACTGACACTTTAGCTGAAACCCTAAATTGACACCCTAAAGAAACCCTGAATGAAACCCTAAACTGAAACCTTAAATGAAACCCTAAAGAAACCCTAAATGAAACCCTAAAGAAACACCAAATGAAACCCTAAAGAAACCCTGAATGAAACCCTAGAGAAGCCCTAAAGAAACTCTAAATGAAACCCTAAAGAAACTTTAAATGAGACCCTAAATGAAACCCTAAATTGAAACCCTAAATGAAACCCTAAATGAAACCCTAAACGAAACCCTAAAGAAACCCTGAAGAATTAATGAAACCCTAAAGAAGCCCAGTTGAACGTTTAGAACTCCTGATAGGAAATCCTGATAAGAGACCCTACATGAAACCGGAAAAAAAAACCTAAATGAAACTCTAAAGAAACCCTAACCCTAAAGAAACCCTAAATGAAACCCTACATGAAACCGTAAAGAAACCCTAAATGAAACCCTAAATCAAACCCTAAATCAAACCCTAAAAAAACCCTAAATGAAACCTCAAATGAAGCCTTAAATAAAACCCTAAATGAAACCGTACATGAAACCTTAAATGAAACCCTAAATGAAAGCCTAAGGAACTCTCAAGAGACCCACATGAACGTTTGAAGCACAGAAATGTAGCAAATGCCATGCAAATGAGAGGTTGAAATGCCAAAATGTGACAAATACCATGCAAAATGGAAGGCAAATATGGCCAAATGTAGCAATTACCATGCAAAATGCAAAGTGACCAATCCAAAATGTAGCAAATACCATGCAAAATGACAAGTTCTAGTTCCAAACTGTTGCAAATACCAGGCAAATAGTACCAGGAAAGAAAGCCAAAAAAAAATCCAAGACCTGAGGCAAAAAAAACAAAAACTATTCCACACCCTTTGTTATGGGTAAATCAACTATAAATGGCCATGTTCAATAGCTATGTTAGTTTACCTGAGGGTATCCATTGCCGGATCCGCTCCCAGGAAGTGTCGAACACTTGCACAGACGAGACCAAGCACCTCTTCCCAGCGGCGTGTGGTCTGCTATCTTCGTCGAGGGCCGCAAAAAGCACACCAGACATCCAGAATCATTAGGCAAGTTTTTGATATGTTTTTTTGTGCTCTAGTAAGTGATTAATAATTATATAATCATATTAATACTGTATATTGTTAATCCATGTTAATCCCATCAAAGTGGTGGAAGTCACCTGCAGATTTTGACTCTGAGCTGTGTTTGAGTGCGTTTGAAAATGAGAACCCCTCAAAAGGCCCTGTTGGAGGCGATGGGCAATGATTAACCAACACATGGCTTCCTGTGGGTTCCCTATTTTCAGACAAACCACCGAAGAAAAATAAAAGCATCCCTCTCCCCTTTCCCACTTGATGTGTTTCAACATGTTTCAACTGTTTCATTGCCGCCCTGCAAAGGAAAGGAAGAGAGACATTTGATTTTCACCGTGGATGGGTGGCTTGCATGCACACTATAGTCATCTATAGTCACGAAGTACTGTACTGCTAGGGGTTGCTACGTTCGACCCCCAGAACACCTGCCATGTAGTGGCTTAACTGTCCCTCACGTGCACGCCAGCAATCCCAGCAACGCCATACCACTGAGAGAGATACGGCCCAGGTATATTTCTGGCGCTGGGCAATTCAATAGCTCTTTGGAGGGCCGCTTCAAACTACCAAATGTGAATTGGACTGATCCTCGGCAGGAATGTGATGAATCTTCCCCACTTATATAAAACTAACAATACCTACGCGCTATTTTGTTAGATGTGCAAGGAGACCATGTAGAAATATACCTATAGAATCTATATATAGACATTCCAACGTTTGCCGCCTAAATATCTCCATGTTCTCTATTTTCGACCAAAGTTGTGACATGTGGAAAATGCCGAGCGGTTTTTTTCCAACCTTTGCAGGCCACAGATCCAAGCATCAAAAGCACACATTTTAAGTTGGCTCCTCGAATTTGATGGTGGACCCCTGCACACTTTCGTTCGAATCATGTGGAACTATCCAATATGATCCAATTTGTTTGGTCTCCTAATCTTGTCCAAGATATAGAAATAGTTAGTTGATGAGATGCTCTCATTTCTGCCATTTTTTTCTAGTATTGCCAGTTGTTCGTTGAAACCCCTCATGGTTGCTTGGTCTCTTTGGCGAACCGGGCTGGGAAGCCGAGCCAGTTCGGCTTCCAACCACGGATTGATGAACTTCCGGGCGTGGGGTTACCTGGGGTCCCCAGGTGTTCATCGATCCCATGAAATTCATGTAGTTCATGTCCATCCACTATTATACTACATGAAAAAAAATATTATTATATATACAGATATATTATTCATTCTATCCATGATAATTTGTTTATAGATATATGATGATACATGATATTCAGATCATGTCATATTATTATATCATTATTATTCTATATCTATATCCATTGCTAGATTTCTTGAAAAAATATGAGGGATTTCCATGGCCGGCGAGCTTGGCAATCCCGACTTGAATTGTGTGGCTGGGAAACGTGAATCTAATACTATAGTTGATTATAACATAATATAAATGGATGATTTATAGATGTTTAATGATGTTTATATGTTTTCAATTTTTTTTATACATGTTATACATGTTATAACCCATGAAAAATCCATACGTGAACTATTCCTGAACTTACCTGGAGCTGTGCGCTGGAGCAGGAGACCTATTCCTGGGGCACGATCAAGGTGAAAGCCGAGTGCTTTGGATGCCTTGGCCTTGCGACGATGAACTGTTGTGATATGTCAGATATGTCCCTCTTAAGATGTCCAGGGGTCCAATGTTGTTCTACTTCGGGGCTGATTAAATACATGATACCAGACTGATAATACATATGATACCATACAATATATGCAAATACACGATATCATATTAGATCAGATGTGGATGTGCATGTCATGTGTTTGTGTACCGATGTGTTTTTTTTCGCGATCAAGTGTCGGCTTGGCCATTTTCCAATGATTACTATCCCAAAATGACCAAAATTTCAGATTGGCGGATTGGTGAGTGATTGACCCAAAAATCAGCATTCCATGAGATCTTCATCAAGAAACCATGACCTGCTTGTTCTATCCCCATTCTACTCCCATAAAAGCCATCCAAATCTGCACAGGCTTTGCAAAGTCCCATTACGACTCGAACCTTGGCTGCCGAACTCTTCCGGGGAATGGTCGATTTCCATGTGATGTTTGTTCTTGTTCCATTCAATTCCTACTCTTCATTGGTTCAATGGTCATTTTTTGTTCCTTATACGTGCCGACGTCTAGCCGTATTCGCTGCGTCCACAACATCCCAGCTGCGAAGGAGGGAACCTTTGAGACATCAGATTCGGGATCTGGCTCCGTCACCTTCCTTCCAGCTGCTTGGATTCGGATTCGGGGAGCCACCAAACCATAGCCTTTAAAACTTTATTTACCCTCTGGTTATTTAACATAGCCATGGAAGCCAAGGCCCATAGAACTAGATGGTTTACCTACTAACAATGGTGATTTTCCATGGCTATGTTCGTCATAACCAGATAGTATCTATCATGGTCCCACTACAGAACTGGAACTCAGCCAGCTGGAATCCCGGTGGATTTCTCCATAGAGCCGCACGACGCGTATCGCGACTTTGAGGCTGATTCTGGTGTTTGAGTCGTTCGGCCATCCACTGCGACTTGAGTTCGGCCGATGCCTGGACTATGCCTGGACCAAAAACCCCCACGTTTTTAAGGAATGCAGGGTTCCTTGCACCAGTGCGTTGGCTCAGCTTCTGGAATGCATGGACTATGAATGCAAATTGTTGATCATATAATTGCAGATCATCCCCATGGATCCGAACCGGCATTGTGCGCACACTGAGGTTCTTTTGTACATTTTTGGATATGTTGTTGATTATTGTTGTTTTTGTGGTGTAGGTTATACACCTTAGAAACATAGTAGTAGAGAAACATAACTCTTATGTGTGACTATACCCTCATACACTTTGTACACATCAGATATCATCAGATACTTCAGTGAGCTGTGCCATGCATCTGGAATCATCCGGAGCCACACCTTTTGCCACGTCTCAGAGGATCATAGTGGCCCCGCCCCCGGTCTCAGTCTCAGGGGGGGGCATCGTCAGGAACGCAGAGAAAAGCGGCGCAACTTTGATAGTTACTGATAGTTGATATGATGTTGACATGGAATTAAAAATTGCTTAAGTTTCATCAGTAAAAATGGTGACGTTTACCCAGAAAATGTGGCGGGGCAAAGGTTTGTCCATGACATTTGGTGACGCTTCGTGCTGCGCAACTTGGGATTCCTGTCTTGATGGGCCTTGCCGCTTCCATTTCATGGTGGTGGAGGTGCTGGCCCCTCGTGGTAATCGAACTTCACCCAAAAATACCAAGGAGATTTGATGTTCCGTCCCTCTTTGAATAGGATTGGCAGAAATGCCGTAGCACACCCACCAGCCAGACATGGCGCCTCGCGTCCGGAAACATATCTACGGAAGCGGGTTTCAGAGTGAAACATTTTTTGGTGAGACCCGTTCACACAGCAGGATAGATAGAGCTTTGGCTCCTGAGCAGAAGATAGCAGCAACTTCAGATGCCATTGTTTTGTTTCTCCGCTGTTTATCTGGGGCATTTTCCAAATGTTTTTTCTCGTGAACTGGATTGAACATCACCAGGTTCGCTAGTCATAGACACTATCCCAGCACTAATCAGACAGTACCCGTGAAAGATTGTAAAATATCATGCACGATTCCACCGAAGCACAATTTTTCCCTGTCCCAAACAACCTGCCAGGGGCCAAGAGCCAAAAGGTTGGCCAAATCTTCTCCGACCTATTCCCCAGGAGCCTTGAGGAACAACCAGGCACTATGCAATTTGATGCAATTTCAACAGCCTCAGTGGATTTTAGACACTACGAATTTGCAACATGGATCAAAACAACCATGTTTGATGCTTGTAGGGGTTGAACCTCTTATAGATGTTGACCATCCTTCAGCCATGGGCGAAACCTCATTTTCAAGCAGCTGGGCTGATCAGTGCCACCATGCCTGGGTGTGCCGACTGGTCCTGTCGGGTGTGTCTTTTCGCGACAGCGCCTCGCGTCGGAATGCAGGAATTTACAGCATCCGCAAGACCAGAACGATCGTTTGTACAACTTACTTTATCAACTTATTTGTTGATATCTAATATCTATCAATAATAATTATAACAATATTTTATGACCCATGAATTCAAGTCCCCATGGCAGTTAAAGTCCAGGGTTGATGTTGAAAACAAAGTTCCTACAAGGCGAATTTTATTCACACGCTTTTTCAGATCTAAAGATGTCCATTCCAAAGCTGGAGGGGCTCAATGGCCACCAAAACTCACGCCGCGGTCTTCTTTAAATCCAGTCATTCCTAAAGCACTGGCGTTGGTAAGGTAGGGATGGCAGTTTCATCTGGTTTTGGGATGCCGAACCTTCATAGTATACTTGGCTATGGACAAATACTCCAGGAAAAACCTTTAAGTGGTATCCTTCCAGCCTGTTGTATCTATGATCCCTCACAGCCAGCTGCAGATTGCCTATGCAATTCTTGCAGGTTGGCACAGCAATTCATTCGACGGCCCCAAAAAAGATGCTGCATCGGCTGTGTGTTTCAATGCAGAAGCGGGTCCTGGAGCATCAAAAGGGGTGGGGGTGAACTTGAAGCATTTACAGTACTTGATCAACAAATAATAGATGTGGCTGTGCGATCGTTGACTTACTCATTGGGTGTTACTGTACCATGTTACCGTCAGCGGGAGGCAGTTTCATCGTGCTGCTGATGGTGGTCCACGCTGCATTTGGTGTGGCTTTAGGCTTGAGCTTTTGAGGACCACTGATGATGTGGGCAGTGGGCAGTGGGTAGTGGGTAGGATGCACCCTTCCAATGGCAAATATGGAACGGAACGACTCGATTCCTGTGTACAATTCCTATGTGTAGCATTTCGGAAAAATAAAAATGTGGTCACCATCACGTTAACGTTTGTACATGTTTGTGACATTACTTCGAAGTCTTTTTTCAAGGAAATAAATCCGTAAACAGCTCCCGGCTGGGGGAAGGCCGCTGGCAGGAGCTGAGCATAGCTGATCTGAGCCCAACAAGTGTTCGCCTTCCGAAAAGAATGGAGGAGTTCAGATAGGCAGCGGATACGCCGTGTATCTGCTGATTTAAGATGTTTTTTGTCAGTTGCAGCTCCAGAATTCGCTGATTTTTATTGATTTTTCACATGTTTGTTGCTGGTTCCATGAGTGGTAAAATATCAAGTTTTACTGATGTGTCACTGCTGGATTTGCCCAGCAGGTTCCGTGATGTTTAAGTTTCATGCTCACTCTGTTGGGGTCGACATCACAAGGGCTAAGGGAAGCTTGGCAGTTGGGGCTTGGTATACCCATGGGAGCCACCAGAGAGCTGATCGTTTCATGCTGCCCAAGCCGGTATATAAGTTATATTTACATATATATTTACTGTAAGTATTAATAGATAAACTACAGTATATAATTTACATTTATTATTCGTATACCTACTATGTATATATATATATAAATAATATATGTAAATGATATTATGGATCAAGATTGAATATCGCAAACATGATGACTCTAGACAAGATGACCAAGATTTGTGGCTGAACCGGGCTGACACTTCGACCCATAGCCATATAGTACGGTCTTGAGGTGTGACTTTGCAGCCATCCTCAAAAAAAGGCAAGGTGGCGATCTGATGCAGTTGTAGGAACCCACTGAACTTGTTTGAGTCTTTTTCCTGGGATGTTGTATGATATTGACTCGTCAGTTCCAGGTTTCCAATTATTCTATCTCTTTGAGGACAGGTTTCAAAGCCAGAGAAGCAAACTGAGGTCATATCAGGGCCCGAAAGGTCATGACGGCAATGGCGCACAGACACACAAGGGATTCCGAATCGCTGGTGCGTGCACAAGACAATACGATAAATGGATATAAATGGGCTAAAATCATCAAATCCAACATAGTAAAAGGATGTAAAAGCTAATTCGACTATTTGCTAACACAAAAACCGAGGAATTGTATTGAATTTGTATGTCAAAACCAACTATACCTCAGGATACCTCAGGTATTTGGGAAATGCCGTTCGGAATTCCTTGGCCGAGGAATTGTCGTTCGAACCTGTTCAGGCCCATCTCAAGACAATATTTTGTTGCGGTCAAACCCGTACCTGTACATGGAAAAACCCATATACCGTATACCCGTTCAAACCTGTTCAGCGTTCATAAGCCGTTCACTATCGCTTCTTGAAGGCAACAGTTTGTTGCCTTTTTCTGTCCATGTTTGTGACAAGGAAGAGGCGTTCATGACGAGGAAAACCCGTGCTGCACAAGGAAAAGGCGTTTGGACAGGTCAATGCCTAGGGTAATTGTAATTGTTAGGATTTGCACGGCATGTTTTTGTTTGTTTTTTTTGGGGGGTTGCCAGGTACATATTGGCCTAGGTCGATAATATATATATATATATATATGTGTGTGTGTGTGTGTGTATGTATGTATATATTATATAAAATAATCCGGCAGACGCGAGGGGTAGATTTATCCCTATTTGTTCCGTAGAAGTCATCACAGATTTGTTCTTACACTTCCTTCATGCTCCTTCATGCCGCCCTGCAGCCACTTCTGGCTCAGTTTGAGAGGGTGCTGGGTCCGGCAGGTGTGGCGGGTGATTACGAGCAATTTGCTGCCTGAATGGCTAGAACCAAGCAGAAAAGACTTGCCATATATACTGTAGGACGTGTGAACTAACTGCGACAGAGCAAGAGAGAGCGAGAGAGAGAGAGAGAGAGAGTTGAGATATGCGCAACTATGATCAATTATGTATACACACATGCAGACTTATATGTTTGAACAATGCTATGGTTCCAGCTTCTTTTCATTTCTTGATTTGTTTTGTGGAACGGGCCATGAAGCCATGAAAAAAAGGCCCTGTAGCCTGTAGCATGTTGGACTCCCATCATTTTCAGGCGGACGATGACGGCTGGGGAGCAGCTGGCAGAGCAGCTGGTGGAGGCTATCTCTCCCTATGAGGACAGCGAAAACTGGGAGGGCCAGGTTCTGGAGGCCAAAAAGTGGGATTCAACGATTCAACACGATTCAACCAACCCAAAGCGGAATTGAAATTGGATAAATTGGATTTGATCAGAAACTGGGATTCTGCCAGCACAAAGCCACAAAGCAGGATTTCAGCAAAAGAAGCGAATGAAGGGGAGTCCAAAAATGACGGTATGCACGGCTCGAAACAACCCTGGTGTGGTGGAAGTCTACCGGTTTAGCAGGAATATCATTTGCATGCTGATCATGTTGTATTCAAGTCAGCAATTCCATAACACATTCGCACTGCTGGCAGGTCGTGTTTTTTTTTCCTCAAGCTCATGTCCAGATGTGCGCAGGACGTCAGGGGCTACCTGCAACAGACTGTGTAGCTTGGATCCAGTGGATCCACGTGGTAGGACAGCCATCCAAAAGTGATGTGGCTCTGTCTGAAAGATTCTGAAAGTAGGGTCCCATAGGGTCCCCAAAACAAAAGCCATCAAAAGCCACTGGCAAATCATCATTCTCATGATTTTTATATATTTTTATCACCTGCGACTGCATAGGTCCAAGGTTCTCATGTGACAAAAGGGACAACTTGTGATCTACTATGAATCTACGGCGTGGAAAATGTTGGAAAGTTTCAACTGATGAGTCCCTAGTATATCTACAGACTTCTATAGTATTCACGTCCCTTTTTTCGGGATTGATTTGAATGACGAAGGCTGAAACTGCCACCTGATTTGCTGCGCTTGGGATATTTGCAGTCGAGGCTTCCCACCATGGGAATAGCAATCGAAGACCTGCTGTCTCTTGACGCGGGGACTTGAGAAACACAGGGTGGCCGAGAGTGGTGTGGATCGACAACGCTATGGGGATGGGTCAAAAAACCTATATTTGAAGGGGTAATACAAACCTATAAAATGAATACAACTAGATACAATGTAATCTATTTTGTGTACTCACGATCCATTTTTGGGGGTACCCAATTTTGAACCATACCGATATTTGTTTTAATAAGAGTGTTTTAATGGCCATGTTCAACTGTTGTTGATGATTTGGTGGGATTGTGACAACCACTGTTTGAAAAAACGCAAGCATATGCGCGATGATGATCCTAAATGAGCCAAAGCGGCCACTAGTTTTAGGAAATGAAGCGGCCAGCATTTCGCGGGATAATATAATGCCTTCCCAGCAAGGCCTCCGTCGCAAGTTGCAGGTTCGTAAGGTCGATCGTGGATGCCAAAGCCCAAGGATTGCTGTCTTCCTCACTTCTTCTTCATGGGAAATCCTCATATATAATCTGGCTGGTGGTTTCGAACATGTTTTCCATAAATTGGGAATAATCATCCCAATTGACTAATGATTAGCAACATGATCTAGAAAAGGCGCACCTGCCGGCCGCCCAGCCATATGGATTGCAGAGGGCAAGTAGATCATAGATCTCCATTTCTGGTTGGAACATGTTGAAACGCTACCCATTTCATAGTTGGCATAGAACCAATTCTGTGATTTCAGACATGTCCGCCGTCTTGGCATTCTTCTATTGACTCTATACGAATATATGATGAGCACGAATGATTGATTTTTTAGGACAGCTCAGTAACAAGACCAGCTGTTTCGATGATTTCTGGATGGTACCGACATGTACGTTGGATCGTGTTGGATCCAAACTTTTCATGTTTCAAGCTTCCTTGCAGGATGATGCCTGGGTGTTTATTCTTATATCTTGGGTCCTGAAAAAGGTCTCCTTATAAGCCATTCTTAGTGGTTGTTGGTGGTTAATAAGCCGTTCATAAGTTCCTGATCCAATTTTTGCGGGGGGTCACCTCACTGGGGATTCTCCTATGCTTATCCCATCAGCCCATGAAAGATCGTCATTTCATATCGTTTCTGCATCTTCTCGCTCTTCCTCACCATAGGAAAGATAGTGCCCCCAGTTATGTATAGTTATGTTGCTTTACAATCCTCTAACATCCTCTAACCCTGTGGATTTTTACAGTAATCCCCTAAGCCAGCAACCCAACATACCCAACAGTTGGGCTTCCAAGTTGGGCTTCCCCTATAAATCCCCCCATAAATCCCCTATAAATCAGCTCAACCGTTGGGGTATGTTGGGGCTTCCCACATGTAGCGTTGCGACCCCAGGCACCACGTGCACGCTAGCGGCGAGTTGCAACGTGTCCTCCGCAACACGGACGAGCGTCGCTCGGCGCCGCGGCGGATCGAGGAGATGCCGGAGGTGGGGCGGGGCGTTTCGAAAGGGGCGTTGCGCGGGGCGTTTCGGGGCGCGTCATGGAGATTCCATATGGGAAGGATAGGATAGGATATGTATATGGATATTATTTATGTATATGGATATTATTTATGTATATGGAATTCTATGGATATATTATATTTATAGACATTATTTATATGTATAAGGATCCAATAATCCAATATATTATTTATAGATGGATATATGGGTGCAATGATGAGATATGTATATGATATAGGAATATCATGGGCAGAATTCGGCATAATGTGATGGATTATCATAATTTAATTGGAAATTCATTAGACTTAACATGGGATAATGATGGAGAATGGATAATGATGATATAGTGATGATGATGTTGTTGTTGATGATGATGCGGATGTATACCCTGATATTTTGGGGAAATCATCAGGATACGTATGGGATAATGGGGATTTAACTATTGAACATATGGATTTAAGAATGGAATGATACACGGCGCTCACTTGACAGTTTGACCCTGAGAATTGTCGTTTCTTAGAAGAAATAATGGCCTTCCAGCCCCATTCCTGGCTTAGTTGCGGCGATGGTAACATATATCCCATATGGGAATCTTATTTCATCTAATCATCAAAAGTTTGCGGTCTATCATGGGGGAAATATCCCTGTGCACGCTGGAGAGAAGTCGTACATCGAAATCTCGCGACAGGATATTGGGCCCACTTCAATAGATATGCATGATTCAGGGTGTAAAGACCTTGTACCCACAGCGTTTCAAACTGTTGGTAGGAAGAACCCCCCCCTTCTAGCCTAGTGAGCAGTTAAGGACTAACATCTGGAGTTTTTTTTTGTGGTGCATAGTGGAACTCTTCTTTTGGAGAACAATGTTTGCACACAAATTCGTAAGAACTATCCATTTCTCTCCAACATTTTGATCGGGGTGAACCGGGCCCGGTTCCATCATGTTTCGATCACATCCTGGGATTGTCACCCAAATTCCCCTTCTTTTTCAAATTCACACTTCGTTTAGAGGCTCGTGAACCTCGAAGGATAATATGATAATTCATTTAATATATATATATAATGATGCTATTGCTAGTCAGTTACAATCTGCGGGCCCTTGAGGGAACAGAATCTGCCAGGAGCAAGAGGTCGTCAAGAAAACCACCAGCAGGTGGCGATGGGGTCCCCCATGCGATGACCCACGGATTGGTGGCCTTGTGTTTTCGAATGAAACCTGTTTCCAGATCAACAGTGGCTTCAGTGATGGGTTGGTGGGTTGGTTGGTTGGTGGGTTGGTTGGTTGGTTAGGTAGGTTGGTTGGTTGATTGATTGATTGATTGTTGTTGAATGTTGTTGATGATGCTGGTGGTGGTGGCGGCGGTAGTGGTGGTGCGTTCATGATGATACTCACGATGATATTCATCATGATGATACTCATGATGTCAATGAAGCATAAACATCATGATGAACTGCTGATGATAATCATCATTATAATCATATATAATCATTTTAATTTATCATCATCATAATTATGGTGTTGATGATCATCATAATATGGTACATTCATCTTATATTCATCATTATGGTGGTTTTGATGATCTCTGATGCTGATAGTGATGACGATAAAAGATCAGTAACTGATGCTTCTGATTTGCTGATGGGCCTGCTCTGACCGATGGACTGGTCCTCACAGTTTTCTTTTGCAATCTCTGGATGTTTGGTTCATGCAAAATGGGGGACAATCAAGTCTCTTACATGATTTGTTTGTTTCTAGTTCATTTGCTGTACCATCTAGGTCAACTCCCAAGGTGTTTTTTCTTCATATCCCAGTTCCAACGGAAACCATGTTCTTTCTTGGGGTTTCATCCATTCCCTTGCGCACATGGCGATGCAGGAAGCCCTCGTTGAATGGAGGCACCTGCGGAACATGGAAATGGTGGCGAAAGCACATGGTTTCCTGTAGATTTTCCATTGAACCAATGAATAGGATGGTATTCTACAAGTAACGGGTTTCCATTGCTACTTGCGGTTGCCAGAAGGTACCTATGGAAAACCAACACGTTTGGATTTTCGCTTCTTCACAGTTTAGTCACTGGCAGCATGTCCACATATTCGACCAATTGGTGTTACATTATGCAAGACCTGGCAGAATACCAGTGGAAAGGCTTCCCGTTGCATATTTGTCAATGCAATCACATGTTCAAGCGTACCCGTACCCCCAGAAGAAAAAAACACACATCCAATCCCAAAGGCACCTTCCAAAGCCACTTTGTTAGTTCTTTTCTTGATTTCAGGGGTAGTCCGGGTAGTTGTGCCAATAGTCTTAATGTTATCAGGTTTTAGGGTCCCTGAATCATCCTATAGTTTCCAGATTGGTTGGAACATCTTCACCGGAAACCACGGATTCTCCCATGAACTAAGGGTGCTTAAACCAGAACCCTCCGGTAAACTAACATAGCTCTGGGAAATCACCATTTTTAATGGGAAAATCCAGTATAAATGGCCATGTTCAAAAGCTATTTTGACATAACCAGAGGGTATATTCCATTAATATCCCATTAAATCACTATAAAATCCCATTAAATCACTATAAAATCCCATTAAATCACTATAAACCAGAGGCTAAAGTTTCCCTTTTAAACCAATCCCAGCTGAACCCCAGCTGCAGGCGGCAGCAGCTCCATGTCACTGGGCAAAGAGGATGGCACCGGCAGCATGGGAATGGCGAGTGCCTCCATGAGCGTGGCATTGGAACCTTGGCGCCGTAGCCAACCTGGCACCGTATTTTGAACGCTTCCCAAAAAGGGACATGCCTGGTTTCTATGGGAAATCCCTGGTTTCTGTAAATGGCCAGATTAGAAATGGGAAAATCATCACTGGGTGATGACTAACATTGATATGGAAGTCATCACTGTTTTTCCAGAGGTAAATCAGTAAATCCCATCATTTTATAGCATGTTTATCATAAAACTAGATGGGTCATGGCTTCCAGAGCAAACTGTTAAACAACGTGGCTGCCTTATGTGTACTTTTTGTTGGGGGTATAGGAATAGCTTCTCAATTTACTTAATAATGTGTTTCCCTTTTTCTGGCTTGTTCCTTCTCTCTCGCGCGGCATAATCCAAGTTTAGGATGGCGGATGGCTACAGATGTGGGGCACTGGTACCTTTCCAATTCTGGATACGAAGTTTTTTGAAACCAACCCCTGGTGGTGATGGATTCGTGACCAACTGGAGTTTCCGGAGAGTCGACCCATGATAGTCTCTGGAATAAAAAAAGCCACACGGCAAGTCCATGTATATCACTGTAGATGTCCAATTTATCCGTATTGCACATCCTAATGTTGTTGGTGAACTGTATTTACTGCTGTTTGGCTGGAGACTCATTTGGAATAATGTGATAGGGCCCAATCATAAACCTCTAGTTTTACCATTTGGGAGTTCTTGCAAACGTTCAAGACTTTAACAATTGATGGATAGTAAACCGATCATTGTTGATTATGGGATAATAATATTATAGGGTAATAAGTTTTTATAAGGCAATAAGGTCGGATAATAAACCTCCATTTATAGATGATTATTGATGCTTATAGTTGTTTTTCCCATCCAAAAAGATAATAGACAATATTTTTTAAAAAAAAAGCACTGTAGATGATTTCCCGCTATTGAAAGATGATGTTCCCCCATTTTTCATTGCAATGTTTTTTACATTTTTTGTATGTGGAAAATTCATCTATAAGTTTAGATGATAATGATTTCATATGATTTCCCACTATGAAAAGTAAATACTGTAGATGATTTCCCCTTTTGATCCCTTTTGATGTTCCCATTTCAAAACAGCTATGAGCGTCGCGCCTCAAGGGGCGACGTCCCAGCAACGCCTCTGACCCCGTGGGAAACCTCAGGGATCACGGGTCGGTGTCCTGGTGACTTCACCATGGAATACAATGACTGTAGACTGTAGAATGGAATGTAATTGGGATATGGGATATATATATATATACATACGTATTTATGTATATATTATATATATATGTGTGTGTATGATTTACATATATATATATATAGCCAACTTAATTTGTTCTTGGATTTGTCTGAAAGATCCGTTACCAGACCCTATATGGTTTATGTTCGTTTTCCTTATTAAAAGGCCATATCAGGAATTTGCTACCACATTTTGGCTTAGGGATTCAGCGAGCTAGGATCGTTTTGGATGATTTTGGTCAGGATTTGTGAAGGTTTTGTGGGATTGTTTTGATGGTGATTTGTCATTTCGTGAGGCTCATCCAGAACTGGGAACTGGATTGTTTTGACAGGAAGAACGTTTTAGGATGATGTTGATAAATGTTGATAACAGTTTTAGTCGCCCTTGGCTAAACTCTCAGAGATGGCGATGGAGAGGGAGAGAGAGAGAGAGAGTGAGTTTTAGTATGTTTTAGTATTACAGTATTAATCATGTGAAAAATCAGTGCCGATCATCAGTTGGTGTGGTACTTACGCATGTTTGCTGCACGACGTGTGCAGCGTCAGACCTTTGGAGTGCAAGTTGCCGTTGCAACCCGTGGCGGGTTTCATCCCTCTGCCGGAAAGCATGGTTGCCCAATACTGATTTCATATAGAACGTCGTTTCAACTATTTAGGTGTTGCCAGATTCCTGCTTCCATATCCGTTGGAATCCATGATCACCCAATATATCCAGTCTCGATGTTCACCAAGTCAATCGCCATTTGCTTCCCGACCTAGTGAAACCATTGCCCCTTCTTATACCTTTGCGTTTTTTGTCTGTTTTTTTCCGATATCTTCCGGTTTGTTGGTAAATCCCCGATTTATATCGATTTATGATGACACAGTAGCACCAATTCTTCTTTGCCCACTGAGACCGGATGATTCTCCCCTCCTGAGGTACCTCCTGTCATTCCTGAAAGCCCAGAGGAGGTGAAGTTTGATCCCCTGGCGCCTTGGTTGGGAAACATTGAGATCTTCCCACCCACCATGGCCCCGAAGAAGTTAGGGCAGACGACCTGCCAACTTTGATCCCAATCCATGCATCAGGGATGGCGAAATGTCTCAACCGTTGGTGATTTTTAGTTTCGCCACCATTAGAATCAAAGCTGTATCGGTCATAAAATGATGGTCGCCATGCAGCCTCATGTCGCTATGTTGCGGTCACCTCCTTATCATTACCAATAATTGATGTTCTATGTTTTTGTATATGCTTATATGCTTGTCTTTGAGAGATTTAATTTATAATACTATATTGTTTTGATACTCATGTCACTCATGTCAACATTTTCCCACCCCACACTTTGCACAGAACTTTGCACACACTTTGCGCTGAGATTTGGCTGTCGGAACGCTTCAAGAAGAATGCCCCTTGTCCAGGAGGATTGGACCAGATCCCGGGCAGAAGACTCACCCGAAAACACCAACAGTACCCTCCGGTGTCATCGAACATGCCTGGGAAATCAGAAACTAGCCGTGGAGGTTTGTTTTCTGGATGGGAAACCCATCGAACTAAAAGGATCTAAAAGGTTATTTTCCAGCCACGTTTGATAACACCGGGTAATCAGATGCAGTGCTAAGTCCTGGAAACCACTTCGATGACTGAGGCAACACAGGACCAAAGTCAGTTCCGCGCCAAGATCAAGGAACGAGTGCTGCTTCAGATCAAGGCTTTGGAGGTGGCTTGGATAGGATGGGAGGATGGGACGTCCCGATCATTTTGCCGGACAGGCCCAGCATCTGTGTAGCTATAGTTCACCCTGTGTTTTTTTGGATTGGCTATACGGCAACGTATGCCATGTATTGCCATGTTGGGTAGTCATATTTGACCCCGGGATAGTAGTAGATGTAGTAGAGATCATTGGTTAACTTGGTTCATGTTTGCTAAGATTACTGTTGGTTGGTGGTTTGTCCAAGTTGCATGTCTCCGCTTTGGTCCGTGGTTCCCCGACGGACCTCCAAAGGATTGGATGCAATACACAGCGCAGCCTTTAAACAATATTTAAACACATCAGAACAAATACTACAAACACATACGTGAATGGATTGATTGCGGGTAGAGCGTAGAAGCTTTTAGAAGTAAGAAACCCTATTGACCTATTACCCCCCATCTGTTGTTCTGCAATTGTTCCTTTCAAGCAGATCCAATTGGGGTATGCTTGGCTTGATGCCCCCAAGCGGATGTTGTTCATATCCCATATGAACATAACCCTTTATTATTGCAACATATTGCAACTATATCCGCTAAGAAGGTTGGTTGTATAATCCCTTCCTAATATTTAACGCCTTAGTGGGATTTCCCAATGATAACGGTTTACATCTCGGGCTTATTGACCACCACCAACGGCGAAAAGGTGTTCGGTTAATTTCGGTTTTATACAAGCATTTTTGGCAGCAAAGCCTATTTTATTGAGGGTTACTTAAGATACCAATATTCCTTAAATCCCGGCTCTATCCCATTCTTGGTCTCAACCTCCCTGAAACTTGAGACTTCACCAACAAAAATGATGAGTAAATGAAGCAGAATGTCTAATGAATCCCTACATCGTGGGGTCTCCTAGATAGTATATTATATACCTCCATCTAACTTTTGAAACATCCTCTCCTCCTAATCAACCCAACAGTTATTGTAGTTATAAACCAACTTAGATATCATAAATCAGCTAGAAATTCCATTCAACCCCCATTTCTTCTTGGTTTCATCACCATTTTCCTATGGTTTTCCTATGGCTTAACCGGCTGAAGCCCCATTTTCCCATGGGATTTTCCCATTTTCCCAGGCAGCGGAGGAAGCCGAGCGCGCGCGCCTGGCTGAGGCAGAAGCAGCTGCGCGAGTGGCCTGGCAGCATGGAAAACTCATGGATGACCCATGGAAAACCTTGGTACAGGATGGGGCCCCCTCAGTTTTTTTTTTAATAAACCATGAAATAATCCCCATGAATACTATAGTTATATCTACCATAAACCATTGATTTCAGCCTCTTATAAACCAACTGAACGCTATCGAACGGGGGCCCCACCCTGGTAGAAACATGGGAAAATATGGAAAATGGGGAATGAACTGAATGAACCACCCCATTTTGGAGGGTTTATACACGTTAAGACTGATTTTGAGGATGGTGCATGATTGTTTTAACCACATTATACATGGTGTTTTAATGGAAACATCATCGAACTACTGGGGATTCACTCCCCAAGTTCAAGTGGTTGACAGTAATAAAGCATGGTTTGCTTGACAATTCTGCATCGAGTTAGATGATTTCTCAGCTATAAGCTTCCATTTTGGTGCGATTTTCCATTGCCACGTTTGATCACCAGAGGGTGAACTTGGCAAAACCCTCTACAAAACATGGTTAGCAATATTGAAATATATTGAAATATATTGAAATCATGGAAGATCATCTGTTAAATCTGTTAAGATGACTATGTTTGATTCTAAACAATCATCCCAATCCCATGGCCCGTTTGGGAAAACCCGGAGCCGAGGCCGACGACGGGGAGATCACTTCCATCGCAGAAGCGCCTGAAGATGGTGGAAGCTGATTTTGGCAGTGAAAACCCATGGCCATCAAAAAACCATGGGGACCTTATTGAAACATGGGGGTTTAAGGTTTCTTAGATCTTTTATTTATAGATGGTGGTTTGAAATGTGTTGAAACACTGGGTTTAGGCTTCAAGACCAAACATCTATTTGGTGAAAACAGTTCCTTATCCTTCCAAAAACATTGGAAAAGATGACTGTTGATGGCAACATGTCTGCGTTTCACTCTTGCCACTCAGAATATTTGGAGTGGCTTAGTGCAAGAAGCACTGACCAGCCAGATGAAAAACTTCGCTGATAGGCCTTCCAGTGACGCCAAGTTACCCACAAATGACTTTCAGGTTGTTTCAAAAGCCAGAAGTTGAGTATAAAAGCAAGTCATTCAGACCTTATTGATCCTTATTGGTGATTTAAATCATTGTATGTTCTGCATCCTACCGACGATGATCACAAGCAACATTTTTCTTTAATGAGGATGGTTTGAAAGTACCATTCAGCGGATGGCACTTGTCAAAAGCTTTTCTCTGCAAGATCTCAGCTATTGAGCTCAACGCAACTGACAAGCCAACTGCATAGGAAGATTGGGATTCGAGTCAACAAGTGAAGCCCGGCTCAGCCGCAGATTCTTGTGATGTGTGCTGATGGACATCTATTTAATTATTTGTTTTTTAAGAGGAACTGATCCTTCTCTTTGGGGCGGGGATTCTCCCAGTGTGACCCAAAAAACACACAAAAAAAAACAGGTTTGAAACATCCTAATTTTTTCCGCTGGTGTGCAGTAGGATCCCAACCTTCCATGGCTGACTTTGAGTTGGACCTTTATGGTGGGCCATCGCTGGGACTTGGGCTGGGCCTTGTGGTTGTCAGTCATGGGCCACAGACTCATTGTCATTATTGGTACCCACCATAGAAAAGATTGGGTAGACATGGTTAGACCCCAAACTTGCGGGGAAAGCACTTCGCAACACACATGTTCGGGATTGTTTAGGTGTGTTTTGCCCAAAAATGTTTGCTGATTCCAACATGGATTTGGGTCAAAAAAATCGAATTACTCTACTTCGAGTGATCCCCGCCGTGGCATTCTATTTGATATTATTTCTGGCATTCTATCTGATATTCTTTCCGGCATTCTTTGTGGCATTCTATCTGACATTCTTTCCGGCATTCTATCTGACATCTATTCTGACATACTTTCTGACATTCTATTGTGAAATTCTTTTTGACATTCTTTCCGGCATTCTATCTGGCATCTATTCTGACATACTTTCTGACATTCTATTGTGAAATTCTTTTTGACATTCTTTCTGGCATTCTATCTGGCATCTATTCTGACATACTTTCTGACATTCTATTGTGAAATTCTTTTTGACATTCTTTCTGGCATTCTATCTGGCATCTATTCTGACATTCCGTCTGGCATTCTTTCTGGCATTCAAGTCCAGGCGTGCCCCACAGCATCCGGAGCTGGCAATATGGTGTCCGGCGCGCACTCCACAGTGCAGAAAGAAGACCGGAGCGATGGCAGCAAGTGAAGGAAGGAAGGAAGGAGGAGTTGCACATTTGTTAAAATCTAGAGGCCGTCACCTGGCAGGTAGAGAAATACTTGGGAAATATAAATGCTCAACCCCCACATTTTGGACAACTTGGTGACCATTTCGCGCATAGCTTGTTTTTGTTGGCGCCGAGATGTGCCGAATATCCGTGCCGATTCACCGTGCTTGGTGTTTAAGCCAACAAAGAAATAATGTTGACCCACAAAATACAACCAGGAATCACATGGTTAGTAAGCCCCCGGATTTCCTTAAAATTCACCACCCAACTAACATAGACTTAGACCAACATTTGGAGTTGGAAGACTTCAAACGGAGTCAAAGTGCTAAAAGAAATCTCATGGCAGGCAACCTGGGTGGCGAGGTCGAGTTGGAACCGGTGCTCGAGAGGGTGGCACCACCGTTTGGGATGCCCAGCGTGAGCTGCTGCTGCAGATGGGGGTGGTCCCCTACATGCTGAATTGAAAAACCCGCTGGAACTTGAGAGATAATGGCGATACACTTATATATAAATATGAAAATAAAAAACAAGAAGAATAATCATCGTCATTACAATCATGATAATAAGAGGACCAATGACAGCAAAAAATAATTGTGATATATAGTGATTAACAAATAGTGATACAATAGAATATGTGATAAGCATGCAACCAACAATGTATGATATGTGGTCCGTCTCGGCCGAATAGGTACTCATGGCAATTTCAATGAAAAAAATGGTCAACCATGTGACTTTGGGCTTCCAAAAATTGAGAAAACTCCATGTCTTCAAATCAAACATGTGTATTGCTGGAGATGTCACTTTGAAGGTTTCCATGCTTCATCTGTTGAATGATTGCCATGAGGAATTGAGAGGATACAGGCTCTATGCAAAGATTAGACTCTTAACACGTGGTTGAAAACAGGGATATTGATATACCGCATGACTCGAATTCATTGGAAGCTTCCCATCATGATGAAAGCTCCTGCACTACCAAAGCATCCCAGACGAAGAAGGCATCATTTCTCCACTGTTATGCGTTACCCTTTGGTCATTTATCATAGCTATGGAGAATCATCACTTGTCACAGGCAGTCATCAAATTTCCATGGCTACTCTCCACTCATCAAACAAACACAGTAATAGACAATTTCCATTCATAGATCATTTTCCCATTAAAACTTACATTTTGTAGGAGATTTCCAATTGCCACGTTTGACGCCGGAGGGCCGGAGGGTATGCTGTCCTTAGGACTCCTCCCTGGCGAAAGCCGAAACCCACGTCTGCCACGGTCGGGGAGGGCCAAGGGCAGGTGAGAGAGGTCTAATTGTGAATATGAACTTCATATGAACCATTTATATAAAATGATAGGGAAATAATGGGGACATAATGCTCAAATGGGGAAATGATGTGTATATGGAAACACTTATAGTTTTATGCATTGTTTGATATTTATATGCTTATGATGACAGGTATTTTGAACTATTTCGATTAACGCATTACAATCATAGTGGCGTACATATTTAATAAGAGAAGCCGTGTAGGTAGTGTTTGTGGTCACGTCTACTTCCATGATATGATGAGGGTACTGTAACCATATTTAGCAAGGAATTGGTGATATGTACACCTACCTTCTATTTGTTTACTTGGTCTTGTTCATTTGTATATAATCCATCATTGATATGTTTTGAAGTCGTTTGACATTATTGAAATAGCATGCTCATGGAGGGCGTGATGTCCAGTTGCAGTTGCATAATATGATGTAATTATAATAATTATACCTCATATGAATATGCATTTGAAGTTTGTACACATGTGTGTTTGGAAAATTGCAACTATGATTAGATGTACACATAAACATATACACAGCGTTTTCTACATTTTTTTTTTTAATACCACCCTAAAAGATAGAAAGATAATTTGCCACTATTTTAATCGGATTCGACTTTTGTATCTTTTCAGGCCTTGAGATTATATATATATATGTGTGTGTGTATTTATATTCATTCTGGTAAACTACCATGGCTATGGAAGAAGGACTATGAAAAAATAGTTTGATGGACCCTCCACAGGGAGAGGCTGACCGAGGTGCGGAGCTTGGCCCGGAAGAAGTGGGGGATTGATGATTTGTTGCCCAGAAATAATGGGGAATGATATGGAATTATGATGTTTTATGGAGATTTACATATGAAGCGATTTGATTGGATTTATGAATCGTCAAGTTGGGTTTTTAGGGCTGATTGGAAACAAAACAAATGGAAGTCCAACCATGAAAAACTGGCTGAACTGGTGATGATTTCCTCATTTTGGGGAAATTCAACATCTCTTGCAATGGAAAATGGGGTGTTTGGACCTCCAATTGATGGCCATGAAATGATGGCAAACGTGAGGCTTCAAACCATTGGATTTTGGGGAAGGGGTGGCTCCATTTTCGTCATCAATTCGGTGGATCAGTGCACGTTCACATCAAAAGATCGGACATGCATTTATCAAGGCTAGGTGGCCCATTTCGCCAATCATGGAGGGACAATGTGTTTGCAAATGTAGCCAAAACGAAAACACCAACCATATAGATCCATATAGAGGGACTTCCTAGAACTCCAACTGGAGGTCGACGGTTTTGGGTTTGCCAAGTCATGAAGTGTGATTTATCATAGAATATAATAACTCATTAAGATTCATTAGGCATGATCTATCACTTCTCTATCGTATCAGTGATATATATCTGGTTGGTGGTTTGGAACATTTTTTATTTTTCCCATATATTGGGAATAATGATCCCAACTGACTAATATTGTTCAGAGGAGTAGGTATACCACCAACCAGTATACTTATATATATATATTCATAAATCCATAGCATGTTTTCTTCATCGCCAGAGATGGCCCCATTTGCCGAGGTCCACCGAGCACCTCGGGGGTTCAGGCGCTTTTAGAGCCTGGGGCCCTAAAAATTGGCAGTGATCCTACAGGATGGTCCCCCCGAGTTATGTGAATGTTGGTTTAAAGGGCCCCATAAAAGCTATAGTTATATCTACCATAAACTGCCACAAACCCCAGTGAATTAAATCACTTGTAAGGCAACTGAACGCTATCTTGGGGGCCCCATCTTTGTAACACCCAGTTTTTCATCTTAAAATCTGGGGTGAAATTGAAGATAGACAAGAGTTTAGAGGAAATCTAATTTGTCTGATGCCATTTCAGGGTGGAAGGAGGAGGACAGTGATGGTGGTGATGGTGATGATGACGATGGTGATGATGATGGTTTTCTCGGGCAATCTGGATGATGTTTCGGTACAACTCCAGTATTCTTGTGGACGTAGCTGGCAGACATGTGGATTGCTGGATGAAGACATCCACTGCGGGAACAGTGCCTGAAGTCAAGATCTGGGAACCATTGATGTTGGATGTCGGACCTCAGCAGTTCAATTCAGATTGACTTTATATATATATAATAACTGGTTGGTGGTTTGGAACATGTTTTGTTTTCCATATATTGGGAATAATAATCCCAACTGGCTAATGTTTTTCAGAGGGGTTGAAACCACCAACCAAATATATATATATGTATATATATATATCTAATAACGAAGGCATTATATCAGAAGCATGCGACCTCTTTGCGCAACCGACTCAGGTTGCTGCGTCGGGGGTCTCAGCCAGCTATTTACTGGTGGATCGAAGACATCTACCAGCTATATAGATATATAGACTATCTAATCTTACCAGTTAAGATAGCTATATAGATCTATAGATATAGATGGGGATTTTATGCTAAATAAAAATCTAAATTCAAAGTAACTTCGTAAGCCAGACTTGCTGGTATTTTCATGTCGTCTTCCGGTGGGTCTTGAAGCCAGGAAAATACATGAAAATACAGATGACTGCAGATTACACTATATAAATCTATATCAGACAAAAATAAGATCAAGATAAAAGATTACGAGAACATCAATGTCATATAATGTCATTATATGTCATTATGTTATTGAGTAAAGTAGGTGTTTTCACTTCATCCCAACATAATATTGTCTGGTTGGTGGTTTGGAACATTTTTTATTATCCCATTTACTGGGAATAATCATCCCAATTGACTTTTATATTCTTCAGAGGGGTAAGTATACCACCAACCAGTATACATACATATTCATATCTATCATCCATAGCATAATGATTGCTGTTAATGGGTATTCTGTTGTTCATCAATGTTGTTCATAACATAATGTTAATAGCAATTAACAACAATAATAACCATTAACAACAATGTTGTGTTAATAACTTAATGGATATTATGTTGTTAATAACCGTTTGATACCCATTTCATCAATGATCCCAGGATAACTCTTTGTTTGATACCAATATTATGTTGTTAATAACTGTTGTTAATAGCTGTTTGATACTTACCCTCTGGTTATTTAACATAGCCATGGAAAATGGCCCATAGAAATAGATGGTTTACCTATTAAAAATGGTGATTTTCCATGGCTATGTTAAATAACCAGGTGGTAATTTGATATCGTTCTCTTGTTCCAATGATCCCATCAACAGCTCAACGTCCCGAGGCGCAGGTGCCCAGGATTTCTTGGACGACGACGAAGCGGATGAAGCCTTCGGCGACGCGGTCGGACGGGGTTTTTAGGACATAAAATGATGGAACAAAATGCTTGGCGTATGGTGATTTATAGGGATTTATGGGGATTTTATTTATAGAGATTTTATTGTGATTTATAGGGATTTATCGTGATTTATAGAGATTTATGGTGTTTCATCGGCTTGATCTTGTGGCTCCAATCATAATCCATCTCGGGCTTATGATTCGGTATACCGCATAGCCCTAGAAATGGAATGATTTAAAATCACACCCAGATGCTTGGTTAATGAAATAGTGTGTGTATGTGATGATAAAGATCTTGGAGATGTAATAACGAACTCAATATGACTTGCGTATGTCTGAAAAACGGTGGTTTAATCATCAGCCATGGGGGGTGAATGGGACTTAATGTTATATGTCGAAACATCTAGAACCAACGCATGACCATTGAGGCAGTGGCCACTGAGGCATTGAAAAGCCACAAGAAGCACCTGAGGAGGCGGATAACGTGGGTGGCCAAATGGGAAGATGGGGCCAAACTATAAGATCTAAAGATGATTCTACATGAGTAAGTGGTGTTTATAGTGGTTTAGTAGGGATATAATATGATAGCATAGTATAATCTGAGAATTATTTGGATTTGGTGGGATACCCAGTTAAACCAACCATTTTATGGGTGCTATCATGGGAATTCTGACGGGGAATGATGGGAGTCGGAGTCATGTCACCACCCGGCCAATTGATTGAATTGATTGGGAAGAGCCTAAGTCTTGGCACAATTGGTTGAGCAGAAGCCAACTCTGGCCAATTTTTAAAATTGGGTTCAAAGATAAGCAAATCATCTCCTCAAGGCCCCATAGGAACTCATTTGTGCTGGTGTTGTCTTGATGATCCCTGGGTCTACTCTACGTCAAACGTGGCACTTGAAAATTCATGATGTCATGTACCGTTTTTTTTCTGGCACCCCAACAGGTAGGGGGGAAAAAAAAAACGCCATTTATAGGTTGATGTTTCATGATTTTACCATGTTTTCTAGGGGATTTCCCACGTTTCATGACCGCCATGGGGACCCGTAGGTGGATGACTTGAGCTTGAGCGGTCCACTCCGCAAGCGGCGACGCTCAGAGGCCATCAAACTGATCTGGCCATCAACATGTGCAAACTTCCGTAGATGATTAACAAATGATCAGTATATGAGAATTATCTGGTTGGTGGTTTTCAACATGAATATTATTTTCCATCATATATGGGATGTCATCCTTCCCATTGACTCATATTTTTCAGAGGGGTTGAAGCCACCAACAAGTTATGTATTTATATATATATGGGAATTTGATGGAAATTTAGACCTCAATTCTTTTCACTTCCGGTGATCTATGACCCACCATGCCAGGCCGAGTCTGCAGGCGCTGCTCCGCACGCAGTTCCCGTGCGCCCAGCGATTTATGACCACCCAATGGATGGCCGGTCTGGCCGGGGACCACCCAAAATATGGTCCTGATCCATCCCCATACACTTCAATCGTCATGGGCTAATTCTTACCCGGTGATTTTTTTGGTGATCTGGCAATGGAGAACCAGATTTGTAGTATCAAAAAAAAATTGCCATAAGTGCTTTCTTTGTTTCGTTCTCATTGCCAGCCATAAACCTGAACAAACAACAGCCTACACAGCTAGGTTTTTTGCAGTAGCATTTGCCTTGTTGATGCCTTTGGTCTTTACATCTGCGATTGGATGTCCCCAATTTAGGACTTGTCATTGCAATGTTTGATGACCAGAGTCACTAGAGGGTAGAGAAAATGAGAAGCTCACCGAATGGGTCATGCTGGGTGCTTCTGGAGTTTTTTGAACTTTAATTGAAGATCATGCAAATGTTTCGGCCATTAGCAGGTTGGCCGCAGCGGGAAACCGTTCTTTGACATGTATCACAGTGCATCCCATAGAGGACCTGGTGAGCCAGTTTGGTCCCGAAGAGATTGAAAAGAACCTGAAGTGAATGGTTCAATCTCCTTTGTGGCATGGGAAAAAGCAAAGACAAACATATCATGGCCCTCGGGTTCTACCACCCCTCCAAGGTTTCCGTCTAGCTTTAGCTGACTCAGAAGTAGTGAATTTCCCAATGCCAAGGCGGAAGATGAAGCTTTTGACTTCGAATTTGAAGCTGATCTTCAGAAGGTTTCCGAGTGGCCCAGCTGTTCTGTTTTTTGGGGGAAGGATGGACACAGACCTTTAAAAAAAGAAGGCATACCTTTGGACATGTTGGTTGCACAAGAGCATTTTTGCATATACATCGTTAGTTTATGTTAATTTCATACGTATATAAATGTTATATGATGGTATATGCGCGTGGATGCAAACACAATTCATACCTACATCTACCTAGACTACGAACGTGGGATCAGCAGGGAACCAAACACATTCCAGCGCCAAAGAGTCCTGTGATTTGAGGTCCAAAGTGCCAAGGAACAGTTTGGAGCCCCGGTCTGACCAGGTTGCTCCTCAAAGCTTGTAGCGCAGCAAACCTGAAGCGATTGCCCCGGAGATATCCTTCACTCTTAAACATAGGCCTTCTATATATGGATAATTACTATTTATATTGAACTGCAAGCCCAAAAAAGAGAAGGAACAAAGAATAAATGAAGATCTTGACCAAGTCAGTGCAAAACGAATCAAAACAACCCATTTTTGTCGTATGCTAACTGAGGTACAGGTGGGATGCTGAGCGAAGATGGGCTGAGTTCGACGCAAATCGTTGTGCCGGAGGTGGGTCAAGCCCCATGGGCGAACCTGTGGGCTGTTGATTGGGGGATACCATTCTAGTAGCATCATATGGCAGTGTGTCAAAACCTTGTACCCCTGGTGAACATCAAAATAGCTGGTAAATGGATGTTCATCCCCCTAAAAATGGCATTAATAGGTATTGATCCATACCCATATCCCAAAATGGGGACAACCCCCACTTAATCAACCAGGCTTTTTAGGACTGAGGTGGGGTTGGAGATTAGAAAGCGATCAATGGAGACAAAAAAACAGCACAAGTCGTTATTTTTGCTGACAAATAACTTGGACACTCTTGCTGGAGATATGCGCTAACAAAACTCTATGAGCAATGAATTCATGTTTTACCTACCAACATCGGGAATGTCACCACAAGACAGAGTTATTTGGCTGGTTTCCGATGTGACGGTTCCCATCCCAACAAGTGGGATGATTACCCCCGGATACCTAAGGGTTTCCTGTTCTTCATGGGGGCTCAAACCTAGTGACATGTGTGATTTTCAATGGGCCCCAGGCGATTCTTGTTCCCAAAATTGGGAAGCCTGTACAATACCACAATTCGTGCAACGACATGCAACGACCATGGGATTGTCTGTCAAAATTTCAACAAGTCCCTCAAGCATTTGAGACGTTTTTGAAAGAGAAAATCATCGGAAAAAAAAACGAATGAGCCGAAATTGATTTGCGATGTTAATTCACCCATGGTTTCAGATCGTTTTTCCATGTTTTTCCCTTCCTCCCAGGATTTCACCCTGCCATGGCCGCCAAGGCACCAAAGGAAACAGCCCTTCAACCCGCGTATGTCGCGGTCGAAGCCCTTCCGACCACGACATCAAAGTAGGGAATCCTGATCCCTGCCAAGGATCATGGTCCTGCTTTATATGGCGCCAACGGGCTTTTTGCTAATTTGGTAGATATATATATATGATATATCATGACACACACAGATATATATATATATAATTATATATATATATATAATGATATACATATATATATATATAACATCCTCCAAAGACTTTTCCATTTTTTGGGGGGGCGTTGCTGTAGGGGAATTTTCCGGCGTTTGGGACTTTTGAGCCAACACCGAGGCTGCACTCTTGCTTTTTTATGTTGGGCTGAGGTATGTCTACAATGGCCGGATGAAGTGCTGACCTGAGAAAGTCGCCCCCGTTCTCCACAATCGAAAGCAGTTTCGGAATGATAGCAAACAGAAACTTCATGAAACATCCTATGTATCTATGTCAGCTCATATGCATTCGATTCAAATTCTACCACCATGTTTGCTTTATATATATATATATATCTTGATATCACCATATATTTATACCATTGTGGTTGAAATAATATATATATATACATATTATTATATATGCTTTATGCATTCATACATTGCATTCAACCATCCCCCCACCAACTTAGACCCTGAGAATAGCTGATTTTAAGAGGAGTCTTCCAACTCCCAACTCAGGTTAAATCAACATTGGCGGGGCCTGTGTCAGAGAGAAAATACTATCTATTAATATCCCCATTCGATGGTTAATCAGTTCATTTAACATCCATTTCAATTTCGAATTTACGGCTTTGATTTGTTTCAACTGATTCATTTGATTCACATACAAAAATAAGATACAGGTGGGATACAGGTGGGGTTAACAACAGCATTAAGATCTCCACTTACCCAGAGAGATCCATCTGAGACGCTGGGAGATGCGAACCTTGAAAGCCAGCTACGTTCGACCTCCCCAGGCGTGCCGTTGGTCACATATTTGTTCCGGGTGACATATGGGGATTTGGTAGGAATCAAACCATCCGTAATTTTCTATACGGATTTTACAGGGATACAATGGAATATAGATGAATTATGATGAATTAATATATATATATATAGGTATGTAATGGATTTGAATGGGATGTTCTAACTTGCATTTTTTGGGGAGTGAACTATTGGAAAATCACATATGTGTTCATATGTAATATCGATATGTTTGAATGAAGGTGGGATCAAGGAAAGATTGGTCCTGACCCAAGAAGCGCATGATGATATTTCGCAAGATTATTATTCTGAGTGTGACAATCATCCCGAATGCTGCCTGCCAGTTTTTAGGGTTTCCTGCAGCAAACGTTGAAAACTGTGGCGATGATGGAATCGGTTCTGGACATCACATTTGGCATTGGGCACATGACATCACGAGCGTCGAAAACATCTCATGTGGGAAGTTTTGGATGTGGTTTACATATGCAAGGTGTAATAGAATTCTTCAGAGAAAACAGTTGACGTATGTTAAAGCCACATCCATAATTTGTTAGCTGGAACTTACAACGCAATGTCTTGGGCCCAAGCTGGAGATATCTCATGATATCCCAAGTGCAGTTGATATTCCGGATTTCCTGGGCTATATAGGGCTATATAGGGCTATATACAATTCTGTTCGCCTCCGATCAATCCAACATGAGCCGAGGAAAAGCGGCCAGGCAGGACCGGGCGGAAATGATTTCCATCCCCCGTTCATATGACATACTCCCCCTTTCTATGGTCCCTTAAACAATTGCAACTCCCCCAGTCAACCATGTTTGTTTTAGATGTTTTTTTGGTCTGGTGTTACCCTCTGGTAAACAACCATAGCTATTGAAAATGGTCATTTAGTTCGTTGATTTACCCATTAAACATGGTGATTTTCTATAGTTTGTTGTATGTTTAGCAGAGGGTACATGGATTGTAGAAGCAAGGGATTCATATGGTTGATGTTAAAAACCATCTCATAGCGGTTTTGGACCAAGAAATATATGGAGGTTCAACATGGCACCAGGAAAAGTCAGGGTTGAAACATGTTGAAACATCACATAAGACATGGTGATGTAGTGGTGATTGCCCGAATTGGATGATATTGATGTTGGAGATATGAGGAACCCTGTTGTAGCTATGGGAATTGCTTGGAAAAATCTAAGCCGGCAAAAAAAAAAATCTCCACCTGCGCATCCTCAATATAGAGCGTGTGATCTCGGAGTGGCAGCGGTGCAGCGAGCTGTGAAGACAAAAAGTTAAACGACGTTAAACGGCAACCAGTGAGTGGGACAGGCAAGCATATGGTTTCTGGACACTTAACAGATCTTAACAGCAACGAGATCTAGAGGTGAGATCCGCAATAACAACATATAACAACTATATAGCTGATCTATAGCTGTTTGTGTCATTTTGGAGTATCAAACATGTCCTGACCCATGTGGCGGCAAGCCGCCCAGCAGTGAGCCCAAGCAGAAGCCATCCCTGACAGGTGGACCACCGCCCAAGCAAAAGGCGCAGCTTTTGGGGGGGCGTTTAGATATGTTATGATATGTTATATTATCTTACAACCTTGGCTGACTGAGGTGATTTAAGGTGGATATATCTGACTATAGAGTTTGATGGATTCATACACCAAAATTATAAACATGGGGCCACGTACTGGCCAAATCCTCTTTGGGTTGCTTCCAAAATTCAACTCCTTTTGTTTGATTGAACCATGAGTGTACTTTGCAAATCCAGTGTTGGTACAGTCTTGATCGGAGCCAGCGCGAGAGGTGAAGTTGTGCCGATTCTTTGCCATCTATGGAAACTGCAAATTTGCAGACCGTCGCCACCTTGGCCATTCTGGCAGATCAGAAGTGGCGATAAACTGCAGTGAAGAGATATACCCTCTGGTAATTTAACACAGCTATTGAAAATGACCATTTATATATTTATATATATAGTGGATTTACCCATTGAAAATTGTGATTTTCCATAGTTATGTTAGTTTATCAGAGGGTAAACAAAGCTCTGAGCTCCCCCAGGTGGAAAGTTTAGAAGGTTGAGATGGGATTAGCGGCCACTGCAGGTTGCTATTACGCGCACAGCGAGGCCGGTGCTGGTCATGACTGGCTAAGGACAATACGTGTGTGGCTGGTCAAGGACATTCAAGGACAATCATGGGATTTAAGTTCGGCAGAGCAATTACATGAGATTTAAGTGCGTCTCATTTTCTAGAAATGCCCTGGAGGTTCCTTTCCGGAGGAAGAATACCGTCAAACTGTATCCCAAATCGTGGAGAAAATGTCAAGATTGATTCATGGATTGGGAATGATTGGGACTTGTAACGGGGGTTTGCCACACTTAAGCTTACACTAGTCACTAGATGTGACTGACCCTTGCCTTCAAACAAAACATTGTTTCGTTTCGTTATTTTCTTGGAAGCATCAAGCTAACACCATGAATCATAAAGTGCTACAATTTTCCAGGGTGTAACCCCCTCGGGTGTGCCAGGTGAAACCCTTTGGTAATTTAACAGTTTGACATGGAAATGTACCCTGTACCGTAGATCATTTACCTGATATCTATTTCCATGGTCATGGCTTCCATGGCCGTGTCACCGTAGGCTGAGTTGGATTTGGGGGACGACGTGGAGGCGCAACAACGGATCATCTCGGAATGTGCCTACAAAGCCTGGGAAGATTCAGAGGCACCAGGCGCGGCCGATGAACCTTGGAGTGAAATCCCATTTGGCTGATGAAACCCATCTGGATGGTGAAACTCAATTCGGGTTTTGAAACTTGAAACCATTTGGATTTGGGTGAAGACAAGTTGCATCATTTTAGACTCCATTGAACTCCATTGTATATTGTGAACTCAGAAAACCCAGGTGCATTTTAGAAATATATATATATAAATCAATCTAGTATATATATATATATATATGCATACATGTTGTATAAATCATATAGATCCCAATTTGGGCACTGAAAGCCCAAACAGAAACCATCAGTTTGCCTTCCCACGTCTCACCTCCATGCCAGGTGGTTGCAGCTATGCCCAAGCTCTGGCTGTTCGCCTTGCCATCCGTTTCGAGGCCGGGATCACTTTCAGCGTCACCTTTTTTCCGTCAAAAAACGCTGTTTTTTGAAATGCTGTTGGAATCTGTTTGATACCAACATATGGAACTATATATATATATGTGTGTGTGTGTTATGTGTATATATATATATAGATATAAATGGTGTACCTGACATTATGTGACCCACCGGTCGGCCCGAACTCCAAGGCGCAGCCACAAAACCTACTGTGCCTGGCTCAGATATTGATCAGCACGGCTTGGGATCGCAGGGTTCCAGCACTACCCTTTGGTAATTTAACATGTCTATGGAAAATGGTCATTTATAGTGGATTTGCCCATTAAAAATGGTGATTTTCCATAGTTATGGGACAGTTTACCAGAGGGCACCCCAATCATTGGATTCTTAATCTGTTCATACCCCCAGGTCACGCCCGGATTTTGGACCCATTTGGAGCCTTGTAGATCTTGTGTCCTGCCTTTAGGCCACTTTTCATGGAATTTCGATCATTGCATAGCCAGCTGGTGATAGAGCATGTGATGTTTCCCCAATTTAAGGTGCCAAAAGCAATCGTCATCCCCAACCTTTTCGGCTTACTGAAAAGAAATAGCAAACAAGAAAAACGACGCAATCTGTGGTTTTTACACTGAAATGCCACCAACAAAAAGCCGTGTAAAACCCTAGCATGTGATTCCAAACGCCCATAATTTTACCAAAAATGGGTGGTATAATCCCTCCAAAATTGGAAGTTTCTCCCCAACAAACGTCCCACTTCACCTCGACGCGGAAGTTTCGCGCGCGCGCGCTCCGAGGCCCACCATGGAGAAGACCGGTTTGCCAATGCAAGGGGGCTCCCGTGCCACTGCCCGTTGGCTCAGATCTGCCATGTGGGGACGGTCTCTACAACCCATTGATGGTGATTTCGGGGATGGTTTATTGCTAGGTTTACCATTCACTGATTTTAGTCTATGTTCATTGATGCTACTTATGATTTGTTAGCTACTGTTTGTTATCTACTGTTTTCATCTTTTTCCTGAAGATTTATGAACCTTAAGTCTCAAGTAACTGATGGTGTTTTGAATATGCCTTACAAGAATGAATAGTGAATGGGGGCGGAACTTCCCTCCGCGAGGGTGACGAACAGTTGAGAAAACCCATTGACCCCCCGAGGGTCCCCCCGAGGTGAAGATGCTTCTGAGGCTGGCAGGGGAGTGGCTGTTGCCTCAAAAAAAAGTGTGCTACAAAGATGTTTCTATCCAAATAGAATCTAAAGAAAAGTATAATCAGTATAATCTCATACTCTTCACCCAGCTTTTCCACAACTTTCAGAAGAGATGTTTGGAAGATGCTCCGGCTAATCGTGGACAACATCTAAAGTTCTCCACGATTTCATGGTTGTGGCCAGTGGCCGGGCCCGGCTGTTGGGCTAAGATGGAGCATCTAAAAATGGCATAGCCTGATACACTACATCAATGATAACATTGTAATATAGGAGGAGTATGCAAAAAAAGTGTCTAGGCTTGTCTGAAAATTGGGCACCCGTAAAATCTCATCATTGCATATCATTGCCATGCGTACCTTATTTTAAGATATTTTCAGACACACCTTTTTCGGGAGTGACAAGTGTGACTATATTTGAGACCTAGGATATGTGATAATGTTATATAATGTTGCCATGACTGCAAAAGCAAGGCATGTGTGTGTTTGAACCATCGCCAAATCGGGACCTTGAAAGACGCCAAAATTCCCATTGGAAATTGGCCAAATTCTGTGCTTCCGCTTGGCCAGGTTGTGCCACCCAGACAAGTGCAGCCATCCAGAGGTAGTGGGGGGAACTGGGCAACGTATTCATTGCGAGGCCTAAATCAATCCTTGCAAATTGCATTGAAATTCAGACTCAACTTCCAAACCGTTTCCAACCTTGTTTTTGGGCTTCAAGCAGGCCAGATGTAGGATCGCAAGAAACCCTTCATATTGCATATTCACGCGAAACAGTGCTGGAACCTGAAGGTGTAACCCCTAGAAGGTACATAACCCCATGGTGCTTTCTTGGTGCCTCCTACGCTGACTGTTAAATCTTTGGAGTGATTATGGGGAGTGGGGACTCATTCCAAAATCTCCTTGGATCATCTTCATCTTCAATCAGGTTCCAGAACCATTGGAAGCTGAGAATCTTTGATCCAGAATGGCCCAGATATCATCACTGGTTGGTGCTGACTGGAACATGGCTGGATTGTGATTTTCCATTCACTTGGGAAACATACTCCCAACATCTCCCAACTGACTTTCACTCCATGATTTTTTCAGATGGCTAGGTCAACCACCAACCCCGCAATGCCAGGCCAAACGTGCGGTGCAAATCCTGGGACCGGTCCTAGCCAGCTGCACCTCGTGAAGGCCTGCGATATGCCAACGAAATGTTGGGACGATTTCATACGATTTCAGTGTTTGAAAGGATGTGTTCAAAAGTTCGAAAAGAAGGATATGACGGATATGAAAGATAAAGGATAGTGTTCATGTGATTTGGGCGATGATCATTCCAAGTAGCCTTTAAATGTCAGAAAGGCACGGGCATTTGGGGGTCACTATTCGCTATCATGAGCAGATGCGGCCAGTGCATTCTCTTGGATGTCATTTTGTTTAGTAGGTTGCTGCCTGCCTGCGGCGATCCCTCTTGTTCCTCTTCACAGATTTTTTTTGCAAATATGCACACACCGTGGAACACCACCTTACTTGAGCATATCTAGCTGGGGAGCATCATCAGCTTTTGCAGTATCCGGCAATTTGAAGAATTGGATGTGAGGGATGAGTTCTTCAAACAATAGGTCAGGATGGGCCAGCTGCTTGGGTGTGATATGTCTCAATCTTGCAGGCTCTCCATTGGTTGGTCTACATGCACTGAAACCAAGTTGGTATTCATCCCTTGGTTGGTTTTCACATGGGAAAACTAGGATGCATCCCACTTCCAGGGGAAGGTTTTTATTGTTTTTCCGCCCAGGTGCGGCAATGGTCACATCGAGAGCATCATCAATATGGTGCTGGCCACACTGCAGATGAAAGAGCCCGAACTTATGGGTCGAAGCGCTGCATATTTGGAGTCGGTCGAAGCATGGGTCAACTTGGGGAGAACTGACGGGTGGTAGGCTGATGGGCTTTGGCCAGAAATGAGATCAGCATACTGGTACATCTTGGGACCCTGCTAAAAATGAAGCACATTGAAGCACTAAATAACATGTTTTTGTTGGCAAAATTATCTCATGCCTCGTGTTTTAGGGGAGGATCAATGCCAACTTCCTGTGTAGGTTCAGGGAACGGATGGAGATATCACAGTTGTTTTGTGGTGCTACCAATGACCCAAGAGCTTGTTATGTTTTGTTGCACAGTGACAGTGATGCTCAAAACCTATTTTGAGACAAGTGACGTTTGAGATTTGTGTTTGTTATTTTGTTTGTGTGTGTGTGGGTTAGGATTCTTTGGTGCATCAATGTGGTGGTGTGTCTACACACAGAGTGCGCAGAACCGAGACTTACTGGATCGAAAGTCAAGCAAACATGATGGCCCCATGGTTCCATGATAAGAGTTCCCCTTGGAAGATGCAATAGAGTTTGAAAACGTGTAAATTGGTTTTTGCTTCACTACGTGGGGCATGTCTGGCTCACAAGTACTTGTACTTTATATTGAATGTCACGCTTATGGATATTGCGCCTATTTCGTTGCGTGAATCGCCGCGGAGCTCGGCCACGACGTGAACTCACAGGTATATCGGACCCGTAGAGATGAGCGAAGACTTGAGGCTTCCCATGGCTTCCAGGGATCTCCGGGGCACCCGAAATCCAAATCTTCAACGCTTTGCTCCGCGACCTCTGGGGGATTGTTGCTGGAGGTGACCGGAGGTGACGAACGAGGCCTGGATCTTGCGGAGAGGTACAATGAGGAGGAACTCGTCCACAATTTGACCCCCTGAAGATGATAAACACGTAGAGAACCACTTGAAATTTGAATAATTAGTCACAGCATTTGAACATCTAATTATAGAGTTGGAATTCCAATTGGAATGATCAGGGCGTGTTGGGCAGCCTCCCTATCAATCGGGGATTCATCAATCCTGACAGCCTGACACGCAAGCAGAGTGCATCTCTATGGGTGGCGCATGAATGGCACATGGCTTCTTGGAGAAGGTGAGGATGCGGCAATCTCTGGATGCTGCGTTCACCATCAATTGTTGTCTGTTGCGGATGTTAAAACGTAGTAATAATACAAGACAAACCTGACATACATCTAATCTATAAAGCGGATATATGAAAGATTTTTATGCTTGTGTTTATATATGTTAATGAATATAAATTGATATGGTAAATTAAAATGGAAATACATATGCATATAATTACCAGTAGTACCGCGCAAGGCGGCGGCGGAAGTTTCAAAAATAGGAATTAGGAAACCTACAGGAGAGTTTGGTTGTTGTGAATCACAGATGGCAGAGCGAATCCACTGATGTACCGACAGGTGGTTGGAGTTGTGTTTTTTGGAATGGTTGCAGTGTTTGCAGTGGTCACCTTACCACAACTGATGGATGTAGTGTGGTGTAGTGCAGTTGTAGTTGTACTTGCAGTTGTAGCTGTAGTTGCAGTGTAGCGTAGTGGAGCTGTAGTTGTAATGTAGTGTAATTAGTTTAGTGTATGTAATGTAGTGTTAGTTGTAGTTGCAGTTGCAGCTGCAGTTGTAGTTGTAGTGCAATGCAATGTAATCAGTGTAGTGTAGTGTTGTGGGATGTAGTGTGGCTGTAGTTGCGGTTGTATTTGTAGTTGTAGTGTGCTGCAGTGTAAATAGCGTAGTGTAGCGTAGTTGCATTTGTGGTAGCAGTTGTAGTTGTAGTTGTTAGTGTAATTGGTGTAGTGTAGTGTAATTAGATGTAATTAGTGTAGTGTAATTAGTGTAGTGTAATGTAGCGTAGTATCTTTGTATTTGTAGTTGTAGCGGTAGTGTACTGTAGTGTAGTGGTACTCGTAGTTGCAGTTGTAGTTGTAATTGTAGTTGTAATTGTCTATCTATCTATCTACCTATCTATCTGTTTGTCTGCCTGCTTGTCTGTCTCCTCCGGAGCCACAAATCATTGGAAAAACACATAGTTTCGCGACTTTCCTACCTTTTCGCGCACCTGGATCTTCTTTCTTCGGAGACTTTATCTTTTTTGATCTGTTTTCTTCTTCTCTTCTCTTCTCTGACCCTTCCCATCTCTGCATTTCATCTGTCCATATTATTGGAAATTTGACTTCTAAACTTCCTTCGATGATTCAC